GAACCGTAAGGCAGAGTGGCGGGGAACAAGGCCCACCACACTGGGGCGCCCGCGCGCGGCGGCGGCGAACGGGCCCCAAAGCGTCCCCATCAATAGTGTTGTGGCGCGGGCCGAAGGGAAAGAGAGGCGCAGCGGCAATACTGCCCGCGCGCGCCATCACATTGACACCCGGAAGCGGAGCCGTGATACTCGGGCGGGCGTGCCGAGGAAGTTCGCGACGGCGGTGGTGGTTGTGGGTTGGTTGTCAAGTTGTCTCGTTGGCAATGCGTCAGTTTTCAAGTTGGTTGCCCATACGCCAGAACGACAACTCAACTGACAACCAACAACAACCAACCGAAGAGGAGACACAGCCGACATGCGCATGTCCATTCTCAGCGCGACACAGTGGACACATCCCCCACATGCGCAGCAGCCAGCGCGCGCGCGCTGGAAATACTGCCCACATGCGCCAGCGCAGTCCCGCGTGGAAGTTGGGCAACCGGGCGCGCCGTGGTTCGCACAACAAAACTGCCGAAGTTGAGCGATTAGCACAAGTGGAATCGAAACGCGGCCCATACCGCCCTGGTTCGGCGCAAAATGTAGGGATGGTTGCGCGGCGAGTTGCGCCGTGCAACTTGCCGTGCAACTCGGGCCATACCATCGCGATTCGCAACGCAAAACGTGCAAAAGCTGCACGAGTTGCACAAGTTTCCGGGAAATCTCGGAAGGGCCATACCATCCTGGTTCTGCGCGAAATGTTGCGATAGTTGCACGGCGAGTTGCACCGTGCAACTCGCCGTGCAACTCGGCCGTACCGTGGTGATTTGCAACAAAAACGTGCAAAAGTTGCACGAGTTGCACAAGTTCCCGGGAAATCTCGGAAGGCGAAAATTCCGGGACCCCGGAAAGAGATGAAGAACAGCAAAGAGAGCGGATTGGAAATCCGTGCTGCCACGAATTCCCAATCCGCATGGTATGGTGGGCTTTGGCCAGTAGAATTGCTATGTTTCCATAGCCTAAAAAAAGGCGTTCCACGAGGGCACCACGCCCGGGTATATACGCAAGGTTTGACCCCAATCAGGGCGCTGCGATGGATTTTTCTGGGCCTCAGCGCGTGCCGTTCTGTTGTAGAAATAAAAGAGAAGGGTACGCTGTGGGACCTAAAAAGCAACCGTTTCCGCTCGTGTAGCCTCAAAAACCAGCGCGGCCGCCGGAGAGTACTCCCGTCGTGATTGGCCTTGTAAATGTCACGCGATTTGCCTCTTGTGGCGACGCAGTCCGCCCGTGGTTGTGTTTGCTTTGGCGAAGCGTTTCGAAACAACACAAAAACGAACGAAGTGGCATAGTCCTGTGCTGTTTGCCGCCGGATTTGGAGGCGCGGCAAACCGGCGCACATTTCCCGCGGAATTTGCCCCGAGGATTTCCCAGCGGATTCGTCAGAGGACTTCAAAATCCCCTGGCGAGTCCTCTGGCCCAATTTGGTCCGCCTCGGAGGGCCTTCCGCGGATGCTACGCACGGGGGCCTCGATTTGGCGAGAGGATTTTCCAGGGGGCTCCTCCGAGGACTCCAAAATCCCCTGGCGAGTCCCCTGGCCCAAGTTGTGCCGTCTTGCGCGCCCTTTCCCCGACGGCAGTGCCTCGATTGCGGGAGAGGATTCCCCAGAGGATTCCTCCAAGGATTCCAAAATCCTCTCAGGAATCCTCTGGCCCAAGTTGGGCCGTCTTTCGCGCCCTTTCCCCGGCGGCACTACCTCGATTTCGGGAGAGGATTCCGCAGAGGATTCCAAAACCCTCCCAGGAATCCTCTGGCCCAAGTTGGCCCGTCCTTCACGCCCGATCCCCGACGGCACTACCTCGATTTCGGGCGAGGATTCCTCCGCGGATTCCTCAGAGGATTCCAAAATCCTCTCAGGAATCCCCTGGCCCAATTTGAGCCGTCTTTCGCGCCCTTACCCCGATGGCATTGCCACCCACGATTTCGGGAGAGGATTCCGCCGAGGATTCCACAGAGGATTCCAAAATCCTCTCCGGAATCCTCTGACCCCAGTTGGGCCGCCTTTCGCGCCCTTCCCCCGGCGGTTTTGCCTCGGTTTCGGGAGAGGATTCCTCAGAGGATTCCGGAGAGGATTCCTCCGGGAACTCCAAAATCCTCTCCGGAATCCCCTGGCCCAATTTGTGTCGTCTTTCGTGCCCTTTCCCTCGTGGTACGCACTACCTCAGCCGGGCAGATTTCCCCGGGAACAGGGCGGACCCCCCGAAGCAAGGGCGGATACCCCGAAGCGAGGGCGGACCCCCCGGGGAGCGGGCGGACCCCCCGGAGAACGGGCGGCGCCCCGGGGAACGGGCGGATCCCCCGGAGAGCGGGCGGAACCCCGGGGAGCGGGCGGACCCCCCGGGGGCAAGGGCGAATCCCCCGGGGGCGAGGGCGGATCCCCGGGGAGCGGGCGGACCCCCCGGGGACCAGGGTGGATGCCCCGGGGGCGAGGGCGGATCCCCCGGGCGAGGGCGGATCCCCGGGGTGCGGGCGGATCCCCGGGGGCGAGGGCGGATCCCCGGGGGCGAGGGCGGATCCCCGGGGAACGGGTGGATCCCCCGGGGAGCGGGCGGATCCCCGGGGGCGAGGGCGGATCCCCCGGAGAACGGGCAATCTGTTTCGCGGGCGATATACGTGCTCCCCGGTATTTAATTTCCCGCAAAATAACCAGCGGCCTTCGTAGTTCCGTCGTGTTTCGCGTTTTAGGTCTCAGAGCGTACCGGTCTCGAATAAAAACAACACTAGCAGAAAATTTTTTATGATATGGCCAACTGCAGCGGTTCTCGATCTCTCGATGTATGATGCTCGTAAGTACGTTATTTTCGTTTTTGACAAAGCACTGATCTCTAATAGATTTCGGCTTCTTCCGAAAGTACAGGTTTCGTTTTTCATGGAATAGGACACCAGTCGTCCTATATCGAGCTCTACTTCTCAAGTTTCTGTTTCGAAAGTTGTACTTATTTCAGGTCTTCCGCGGGGGCGCTCCCGATGAGGAAGCAAGTCCTTGTTGCTGCTAGTAACTTGCGAGGATTTTTAGCAGCTTTACTTTACTTACTCCACTTTCTGCTAGGTCCTACTTCTACAGGACGAGTGAGGAGCAGTAGAAAGTATGAGTATACGACCGTAAGAAGATTTCGATTTTTACGAAAGCTTGATCATGGCCCTTTTTTTTCAATTAAGTACGCTGCATAGCAAAGAATTAGCTCTGATGAACAACAGTTTATGTGGTGTGGTTTTCAACATTCTGTGCGGCCACATCGTGTGAACTGGAGTTGAGCGTATGCGTAAGGAGAAGTCAATAGTCTTTGTTGAATCTCTCTAGTCGTGGTCTTCTATGTGTTGTTTGTTAAAAATGTCTCCGGTAGTAGTTCAATTGTGCCCGAGGTTTTTACCAATCTGATACTGATTATAATTTGTCGATTTGAAAAGATAACGAAGACTCTTCCCCTGCACCCCTGTATCAAAATAACCACTTTTAAAACTAGATGACCATGTTGACCTCTTTCCGGTGTTGCCTGTCGTGAAGCAAAGTGATGCTGTGTGCCGGTTTCTAGTATGTACGTTGACGCACGTCGAATGTGTGTCAACCGCGACAGCACCTAGCATCAGGATCAATTAGTTACTTTTGTAGCGAATGCGACGCCATAATATCCATGGATTTTTACTGTCGCGCACTCACGCGAAGAATTGCTGAAGACCAAGGTACTGTCCACCGTCTCGTCAACCAGGTGGAATTAAGTATGCAAGAATTTCGAAAATTGATTAGAAAAAAAGAACTAGATTGCACCTCGCTCTGTTTTGACCATTTTTAGTTCGTTGCAGGTAAGTACTGATTGTTCTAGTTTACAAGTTTAGGAGCTCTACATAGCACGGCGAATGATCTCGATGTAGAAGTATGATAGAAAAGCATCGGACTTCATTGAAGAATTTAAATCTGTTGATAGCAAAGCACAATCACTGCACAACTTACTACTCAAGGCTAATCAATGTTAGGGACAACTTCAGAAAAAACGCACCCGTTTAGAAGCCTCCTTCCTCGTTGTCCAGTACTTACCAATAGCAGTTGCCAGTTGGTCGGCAGTAGCAGTTGCGCGGAGAGACGAGACATCAAACGGGGAAACATGGCACGGGTAGCACGGCCGCGTGCGTAGGAGACGTCCCCTGTCGTGGAGAACTTATCTCTATCGAAAATATTGTCGGAGGTTTGTTCATGGTATTCAGAAAAGCCGCGTGGATGTCTTAGAAGTAAGACAACTTCTGATATTCAAGTACGAAAAGAATTCTTACGCTGTTTTTCCTTTTGTTTTTGATTGCATGTCAATTTTTACATCAACATAGCTACTAACTGACCGAGTTCATGTAGTTGCTAACCACTGATAGAAGCTACGGATACACTCATCTCTACTCACTACCACAACTCAAGCCCAAGCACGACGTGTTGAAGTCAATAGCTCGTTTGTAACAAAAACAACGGCAATAGATAGGGAGACGGGTCGGGCCATCATCTGAAACCTTGTATCAAAAGAGTTGCAGGTCGTGCCGTGGACAAAAAAACGTGAGCAACAACGTAAAGGCAGCTAGAAATAATAGAGAGAAAAGAAGAAATTTTCGCGGCGCCGACGACGCAAAAGAACTTCGCTTCGGGCCTTGAACCTTGTTGTTCATCCGGTGAGGATGTTGTTCCCTTCGCCGTGCAGAACAAAGCCTCATCAGAGACGCAACCGCCAGTGTATTTCATTTTCAACATCAGCTTTATTTCTTACATTCGGTCGGGCGGGCTCTCTTATTCGCGCACGCGCTTATTTTTTGCTGGCTTTATGTAGTATTTCTATTTTATTTTGGTCGCATTGTGATTCACATTGTTTCTTGTAACAAGCTTAGCCTGTGGGCTGGCCCTGACGGTAGCAGCCATCTATCGGTATAAAAATAGAAAGAACTACACCGGCAGGGTCTTTAAGCCATTTTTTACTCTTACTGACTATACATAGGAGATCACGGTGAAGAACAAGACCGAAACTCATCAAACCACTCCTGCAAGACAAAGAATGTTTCGATTCTGTTTTGCGCCTTTATTTCTAGCCGCTGCGGCGCTCTTACCGCTATTTTCAGATGCACAAGAACATCAACACCAGCAAGCGCCGCCGCCCGCCCCCTGTGCCGGGGAAAGCTGGGAGAAGGTGCATGGCGATTTCCTCGATCTCTACTACCGTTTTCGCAGGGTCGAGCGCGTTGTGGTCCCGGGCGGGGGAAGGACGAGCGACGGGGTCCTCGACCAGTTTTCCGCTTCCGCCGCGCGAGCAGGGGGTGGGGGAGATCACGAGCAAAGTCTATTCTCGTTTGCACAGACCTATCACGAGCAGCAGGCGCACGGCCGCTCAGTGGAGGAGTTCAAAAAGGAGCAGGAATGGGAAAATTTGCGACAGGGGCTCACCGAATCCGTCGGCGCCGCGGACGTCGCTGCGAGGATAATCACAACTCCGGACATGCAGCACTTGCACGATGCGACAACGCAAACGGCTTTTCACAAGTACTTGTCGAGTTCCTTGGACAGTTTCGGGGGTGTCGAACAATCGGAGCAATCACAAGATCTTTACCATGTTGAGAGGACAAGTAGCACTACCATAGGACGTACTACTAGCGAAGCCAGACTATCACTATCCACTGCAAGAACGAGTCAGCAGCAACGAGCCTGGTCTGCGTTTTTCGACTCCGCCGATTTGCTGCAAATCGAGCAAAATCCGGACGGCGCAGGCAGTTGCTGGGCTGGGGTGTTTAGCCTGTCGCTGGCGAAGCTACTGTATTTACCGATTGAAACACTGGCAGCCATGTACCCAGTAGGATCGGTCGGCTCTTCTACTGCAGCCGCTGGGGAAAAATCCGAAAAATCTGATATTGCTCAGAGGAGAAGTATCCTCCTTTACGCTCTTTCACAAGAGGGCTTCGGCGAGACGCTAGCGACGCTACCGTGGCAGGACGCACTCAACACCGGCTTTCCCGTTGCGGATCTGTTGCATCAGGCACAGGAAATAATTCTTGATCGTGGAATGATCAGTAGCACGAGGAGGGGCGATCGCGATGTATTTTACCCGCAAAATTTTTATCCTGACACGAGCAGCGGGTCGGAAATAACGACGACAGCTTATTTTCACCGCCGCCTAATCGCGTTTTTCAACGCCTTCCGCTCGGCCGACCCAGCGAAGAAGCTACCGGTCGACACATTCGTGGAAACGGAGCAGGACCAGGCGGTTGGCGGGTCACTGGAAACTTTGGCCCTTAACGTGTTGTTGGACAATCATATTAGCCACCAGAAAGATGAACAAGGTCTAGATGAAGATCTTCACGATCGCAGTGCGTCAGCTTCTTCTAGCGAAGGAGGTGCTGGTCACCAAAGAGAGAGAAATTCCACCCCGCCACCAGAGGAGGACCAAATAAACATCAAGGCAACTTTTCAGCTCCTTCTCCACGCGTGCGCGCACCTAACGCTTGCTTTGTTTACCGTGTCCCGCAGTGCGCAAACGGCAGGAAACCTCCCGAACGGCAGCAAAAACCTGGATTTGCGGGCGCGCTTACAAGCGGCGAGCGGGAGGGTGCGGGCTTTCGTCGATGTTCTTCAGAAAAAACGAGCAACAGTAGAACAACAAATGGAGGAGCACCAGACGACCATTGTACAACAGCACCAGCAAAGAAACCCGCTTCTCGCACTCCTCCAAATGCCGCTTCCCTTCTTCTGGCTGCTCCAGTGGATTGACGAGCAAGTGGCACCGCGGTCCCGTGCCGAAGCAATCGTGGTGGTTGGGAGGAAGGACCGACTGGAGATCCTGCAGTATTACCTCCACAACTCGTTGCGCATCCACGGCGGCGCGCTTGACAAGATCAATTTCGTTGTGCACAACGCCATTGACGAGGAAATCCAGTTCATCTCCTCCTTAATCCAGCAGCACCCGCACCACTACGCCGCACCTTCGGTATATGGGAAGCGGCTTGCTAAGTTCTACAGCTTCGCGAACCTGCGGAAAGCAAGAGAAACGACGGTCTACGTGAAACTGGATGACGACATCGTGTTTCTCTCCCGCAACGCGATCCGTGATGTCGTGCGGGAGAAGTGGTTTCGGCAGAAGGAGGTGTCATTGGTTAGCGGAAACATTGTCAACCACGCGATTCTTTCCGCGGTGCACAACGAATTCGCGGGGGTACCGGACATGTACGGACCTGTGATTGACTATGGAAGCGTCAGGATCGAAATCGTCAAAGTTGAAATAGTTTGTCATGCATAAAATTAAAATGCAATGCAGAGTAAACTGCCTCTATTGCAGAGGACGCAAGGGAGGCAGATTATGGCGCTGGTAAGGGTCGGGCATTGGGCTGCTGATTAGCATCACAGAGGGGAGCCCCTTTGCCCTAAACAGCATGACAAACTGGCCTCCTGTAGGGACAAAATTTGTCATGCACCGACTAGAAACTGTGGGTCCAATCGGTATCGATTTTATGCATTACAGGTTATTTCAACCGTGTCGATTTCAATCCTGACACTCCCATATTGACCCGGCGTGGGAAACGGACGACGAGAAACGGAGATTGGCGCGGAAGGAAGTATTGCTGAACAAGGGAAGTAGTCGAACGAGTAATGGTCAAGATGAATATCAAAACCTACTTCAGTCGGAGCGGGACCGCCTGCTGGACACCGCGGCGGAGGAAGACGAAAAATTCCGCAAGAGCCAGGAGATGAAAAAGAAGAAACAAAAGGAAAAAGAAATAGCTGCAACGACATCATCTTCTCCACCTGAAGGTGCTACTAGTAATGTTGTGCAAGAGGTGGAATCTTCTTCATCATTATCACCTGAGCAGCAGGAGCTGTGGGCCCCGCAAATTGAAAAGCACCCCCAGGGAACCTGCGTCTGGGCGCGGTGGGAGTGTGCCGAGTGGGTACACCGCAGCTTTTTGCATTTTTACCACACTTATCAAATGCAAAAATGTCTGGGTCTGGAAGAATGCATGTTTGTCATGCTTGTCTCGCATGACTCTTGAATCTGTCATGCACGTTTCCCAAGAGCTCCATTTTTCTGTGATGCAGAAACGCAGTTTGTCATGCAGAATAGGCAACACCTAGGAGCTCAGAAACTTGTCATGCTAAGTCATCACTTGTTGCCTCATCATGAGGCGCCACCCAGCATCACAAGTTTCCAGACCCAGACACTTTTACACTTGATAACACTCGAAGTTTAGCCACGGTTTACACGTTCCACCGCTACAATTTCCATTTGTACGGCTATGGAAACCCGCGGGAGCGGGTACTCGAGGACGAGAACGTATGACAGCGCACAACTCCCCCTCGTTCTTCTCATGCAGATTACCCAGTCCACGCTTTCCCTACTGTCACTATTATGCATTACAAGTTCTGATAGACTCCAAATAGCATAACAATCCAGTGCAAATTTGTCATGCACAACCGGCACTCTTGCTGATGCTTGTGTTGCCGTTCATGCCATACAAATGAGGGGGAGCAGGGGGAGTTGTGCACTGTCATAGAACGGCAACAGTTTCGTCGACACGGAAATCATCCCGCTACAGCACTCCCGCTGGTCGATCAACTTTTTCGCGTTTATGGCATCGGATTTGGAAAATGTCGACGTGCAGAAACTAGTGGAGGACGACGAAAGCCAGTTGTCCTACGTGCAGCCCTTCCAGCTACAAAAACCCTCCATCGCGGTGGGGTCGGCGCTCGCTGTGCACTTTAGCTACGGGAAACAGGACCGGGGGCTCATGGACTACACACGATTACTCGCGAGCTATAGAAATCTAACGTTCTACGACTATTACTAGTTGTGAACATCATAGATATTTGTAAGTGCTGTGGAGTCTGCAAATGCAAAGAGCAGACAGCTTCGTCTGGATCTGGTATGATTTAGGTAGGTGATTTCAGAAGGTCATCTTTGTAATGTCGGAGTTCGCGCATAAAACTTCATTTATGAGAATACAGATTTTTGCGTATAGATAGACGTATTGACTCCAGAGAAATGGTGCTGAGTTCTTTTTGCACCTCGACTCGCAAGGAAGGAGAAGATGCGTCGAGCTGCGCTGAAAGTAAGGACCCTGCAAACGCAGTTCCTTGGCAAAGATTATCTGGTCCACCACCTCTTTTACTGTTCAGCCCTTGGTGTTTTGTTGTTCTTGTTCAGCGACAGCGACCTTTTTGCCTCGTGCGAAAAGTAGAACTCGTAGCTTTGACTTTCTGGTAAACGCCAGCAGTGAAAAACAAGTGAACAAAAATATGCCACCTGTGAGAGACGACAAAGAGATAGAGATCTTGTGCGCAATCGTCGCTCCGGCCAAATAGCCGTGCCTTCTTCAAAAAGATTGTGTGAATGCTTCGGACGAGAACTCACAAAAAGGCTCAAAAAACGGTGAGGTGGTAAGTACGCAGCTTCGTGCTCTTATCGTCGTGAAGAAAGAATGTCATTTGGTAAAGCAGGTTGTAGGTCATCGCATTTTGTGATTTATATATGTTTATTAGCTGAAAACGAATATATAGAGATTCAGATTGACTACTACGTTGTAGTAGCCGTGGACAAGAAGAAGAACACGAAGAACTTTGAAGCGTTCTGGCGGGAAAGAAAGAAATGGAGCAATCTACGCGCGCACCTCCAGGTGGGCACTCCACGTTCAGCTTTGGTGGTGACACTGCGGATACAGGAGCGCCCGTGGTAAGAGGCTGTGATTTGTTCGATAATATGATGCTTGTGCAACGTCATAATAATTTCGATTTGCATGTTGACGAGGACATGGCCATTCGTCTCCAATGCGTGACATTTTTCAGATGATGCACAATCCACAAAAATTTCAGTCGGCAAACCGGTATGCGCGGGGCAGTGATCAAAATTCTGGAAACATGATGACTGGGCATCCGACCACAAGAGTACACGCACCACCTGGTGGAAAATCCAGCATTGTGTTCGGTAAATACGTACAACTGTTGTTCCTTTCTCTGTATGGGCAAATAAATAAATGGTTAGCCACTTTTGTTTTCGCAGCGGTTTCAGAAGTTTGTCATGCCAAAGGAAAGTGGTTTAGGTACACGTAAAACATATTCACACCCACACCAAACCAAAATCAAGGTGACGGCCACCTCCCGAGCCCGCCACAGAGGGTGGCGAAGACCTTTAATGCGTCGACGCGGCCGCCACTCCCCGGCGAGTCCGTACAGCGGGGGCAGATGCCGACGGGCGGCGTGCAGAGCCACAAGTTCGGCACCCAGAGTCCCACGCCGCACAACGTGCGGAGCCAACCGACCTTCGAAAACAAGTACCGGTTCAGCGACGTGCCATCGCCCCTGCCCCCAGACTACGACGCGCCACCGGTCGGGGGCAGGGCGGAAATCTGCCTCGGCACGCAAAGCAAAGACCCACCAAGGGTGCAGGAAGGTATAGGGACGGATTTATTGTAGGTCGGATGATGATTGTTCTGTAGGAGGGACGTAGGACTTTAATATGCATCATTATGTGTGCTGGGACTACTTACAGTTGCATATATGCGTTGCGCCTTAACATGAATTCTTCCTCGTCAGTCCCGAGTTGGCCAACCGGCGCATCACCATATCCAGCGGGCGTGGCAGCAAACAAGAACACCATCAAGAATGGCGAAGTAACCATGCACCTCCCGCTCACCCCAACACGAGAAAACGAAAGACTTCCGCCAGGCGGGCTGCAACACAACGTACTACATGTTTTTTTTTTTCTGGCGGTGACCATGCGGAATGTGAGGCTTGTCGTTTCTCGGTTCGGCTGCACCAAGAGGAATGCGTCTGTTTCGAATCCTTTATTTCACTGCGACGGGAACAACGAAAATGAAATCAAAATTGATGAAATTATCAGATATTCGACCGCGCCTCCTTGGTAAACGACCCGCGTATGTTTCGGCCCTCCGACGAAAACGCGCCGCCGGCTTCTGTCCGGGCCCCACCAGGCGGGCGAAGCAACATTATCTTCGGCGACGAGCGCGACAGCATACCCATGGTGCACAAGGACTTCGGGCCGTCCGGTGGAGCACCAAGAGTGCTGGAGGAAAAGATCGAGCAGATGCAGCGCCGAGCGCCGCCCGGTGGGGTGTCCACCATCTCGCTCGGGTGATTTTTCGGTGGGGCATTTTCCAATAAACAAGGTTGCGAAATTTCGTTGTTGAACAAACTTTACACCAGTTTGTAGTCCTTTCTTTATGTGTTCTACCTTCAAAACAGTTAGCTGTGATGAAGGAACGAAATCGAAAGCAAAAACTTAGAGATTCGGATTCGTTGGATTCAAATAGTCCTGTGTTGTACAAGAAACACATTTGATGATATATACATTTTGTCTTTTTTGTCGGCAAGACCTGTTAAAGATTGCGAACAGGTGGAGAAGCGACCGCACCTGTTTTAGTACTCTTGCTTGGCTACTTATGCTTTGTGGAATTTCATTAGATTCCTGATTACTGATTTTTTTCTAGAACTGGAACAAAACCATTTTTGTACGAACGATTTTGATGAGGTTTTTTACCACCGGGCACTACATCGCACGGTGGAGCCGAATCGATTATACGCAAAGATGTGAGGAGCTGCAGCCGAGGGTCGTGCCGTGTAGGGTTTGCGTCATGACTTTCGACTTTCTTCTATAGCCCTGCCGTGATATCCGTGTGAACTAGACACTGGTAGTGATGAGTGGCGCAGGTGTTGGTGTAGCTAGCTCGCTACAACGTGCCCTCGTCTCGATTAAGAACCGGAATGGTAGAAAATTCAAGTTACCTCACCACCGGGCGCGGTGGTGATTGTATTCGCCACCAGACGATCACCCGACGGACGGCCGACGCAGCGCGTGAGCCAATTTTATGTCCTCGTCGAGCAGGTGCAGGAGGAGGCGGGAAATAAACCGAGCCTCCTGTAGTTCATCGTTTGTGGCGTTCGTGTAGCAATCGCAGCAGTGCTGGTGTTATCGTTGCATATACATGTAGTACGTTTCCGCTCTTAGGGTGTGGCGCAGAAAGAGCAGCAGCAGCTTCCATGAGTTGTAAGTAGACAAGAGTTTCGTCGATGGCATTTCGAGCACAATGTGCAGAGTTGTACAAGGAGATTTTTCTTTTGAGCGGAAGATTCAGATTGTATTTGAGCCCTCGGAATGGAATCAATTTACTTGATAATTTAAATGCCGCTACCACGATAGTCCATGTGTTGGCGTTCTTGCGCTTGAAAAGTATCTATATGTTTTGCGTGCTGATATTAACAGATTGTGCCTACTTGTGTATATCAAACAAAACGAAAACATACGATGGCCGCCGGGGAGCACTACAAGAATGAGATCCTCCTACGTACCTCCCTCGAGGAAATCCGCGAGGCCGCGGAGCGGTACGGTCTCCGGGAAGCGTTTGATACAGCAGAAAAACTTGTCCTCCAACAAGGAGAACTACATCATGGTCGCGCCGAAGGAAATCATGCTGCTAAAAGTATCACCCACACAACAACAAGCCGACAAAATGCGCAGCAGCTCTCCGAGCGGCTCCGCACTGCCTACCGCGCGAAGATGCTCGAACACCACCCAGACAAGGGCGGATCAGCCGAGGAGTTCCTCGAGGCGCACGCGGACTACAAAATCCTCTTCGAATACTTCAAACAAAACGAGGAACAACTGGCGCAGAGGAGAAGTGCGGTTTCTGGTTATTCGTCGTCCTCGCAGCAGCATTCGGAGGGCCGGGGTGGCAGTGGGCTGGGCGGAAATATTAAAACGTCCTCGTCGGCGGGTAGCACCAACGATTATACCAGTGGAGGGCCGTTTGCTGATAACGACTTCAATGTCTTCATTCCGAAGCGCAGTAGTGCTAGTGGTGCTACAAGTACAACTAGTGGGACAGCAGCTCCTTCTCATTTCGTCAGCACCTCCGCGGGGACCACAGGAGCCACAGTCGCGGGAAGTTCAACGTTTCTGTTGAATCCGCCGCCAGTTCGAAAGATGACCGAGAATAATAGAACTACAAGTGCGCCGTACAACAACTCGGACGCGGTAGATTCGCGGAAACAAGGAACTACAGGAGCCACTTCTGCGGGTTCTGTCCTTGGCAGCGGTGTTGTAGGCCTCAGTACGGAAGAACAAGATGTTTCATCTGCAGATGAAAGTACTACCGGCACAGCACCTTCTTCTACTCCCGCGTTTGCCCACGAAGACGACCTGTTCCGTCCGGTTATCACGGAATTGCTAAAAACGCGGATTCTCGGTTCCAACAAAGCCGCCCAATACGCCAAGCTGCTGCAGCAAGAACAGGAAAAGGCTGCGGTGGCTGTTGCACAACCCAACAGCGGGGGAACGAGCAGTAACACTGTTGTTGGAGGACCGCGAATCGGGGGAGCTGCTGCGGCCGGCGCACATCTGAACCTGTCTGGCGAGGGAACAAGTGCCGGTGCATTACATCAAGGTGCAAATAATGCGAGGGTTGTAGTTCCTGCCTCGACGAGGGGCGATGAGGACCAGGCGAAAGTGATAAGCGCTGCAGGTGGAGCTGCGACTGGAACTGTCGCTGTCAATTCTGCCATCTCAGCAGCCCCCCAAGGACAGCACGAAGATGAACTGAGGGAAACAAGTGGCGTTGCCGGCGACAGACCGCCGCATCCGCTGCACAATTATTCCCCAACCGGCAGCTCTGGATCAGATGACTCCTCCTACACGGATGGCAGCACGGGAAGCAGCAGTAGTAGTAGCTCTTTTGTGTCGTCGAGCTCTGCAGATGTTCATGGTGAGCAGCCGCGTGAGGACACTGAGAATAAAGATGAAGACCGCCCTGTTCGTGCCGGCGTTTCATCACGCCAAGGACAGGAAGCAGAAGTCGAGGTGTCGAACGTATCTGAAGCCCATCTCCAAGGTCATCGCGCAGAAATTTCAGCAGCAGGGTCGCATTTAGCCAAGAACAAAAAACGGCCCGACGATCCGGGGGGCGGGGCGGAAACAGTGGAGGGCAAGAATGCACCAGTGGCGTCTACTACAGGAGGACGTGGAGGAGCTGCCAGTCGCGATGTAGACGGCATATTAGACGACACTGAGGACATCTTCATGCACCAGCGAGGAGAAAATCATAATCAAGATCAACACGTTTCTGTTTCAGCAGCATCTTCGAGTGCGTCTTCCTCATCCTCTAGTTGCACTACCAGCGAGGAAGAGAGCAGATTTTTCCACCTCGGTCGTCTTGACAACTCATCGACGGTAAGGGCAGGTGGAGTTCATGTTCCAAGTGCTTTTGGTATTGCGGAGCAGCCGGAAGGTGAAGTAAAAAATGCTGTACTCCAGCAGCACACGATATCTTCTACTTCTGCTTCGACGGCATCGGCAAAGCTGCAAGGCAACGAAAACGATTCCAAGCACCACCCCTTCGAACAGAGTCAAAGCGAAAAAGATGCCAGCCCCAGTCGGGATTTGTACCGACAGGGAATATCCTCGATTGTGCAGAACATTCACAAAAACCGGCAGAAAAGCCAGTATTCCAGAAGCATCACTGGCAGCTTCAGCCTCGGCTCCTCGAGAATAAAGTGAGAATCATGCAGCTGCGTAGAACTAGAAGTACCTAGAAGTAGTGCACGATGAAGAAGATTTTTTTTGGGATTTTGCAGCTTGCGCGACTCGGTCTCGGACTCAGTACGGTTAGCAAATAAAACGAAAAAAGAGGCGATGAATGTTCTTATTCGACTATATGACTACGGAAAAAATGCAATCATCGATTTCTTTCTCCTCGGAAAGCGTGAGTATGAAAAGTACAGCAAGTTCTTGTACTGCTGGTGACGGTGACACGCCAGCAAAAGCCACTGTTCTTTTTTCAGATTTTCTCCAATGTGGACAAAAAATGGGAATCATGTGCCTTCGAGCGAATGCAAGATCAGTATCTATTCCTAGACACGGAAAAATAGAACCTTGGAGGAAAAATAAGTTGCAATAAGTAGATTTTGATTTCCAAATGTCAAAAGTCGTGCCCTGCCTCGGTTTCTTTTTTTCTGCTGTTGTGGCTGGAATCACGATTTTTTGCAGCTGTATTCACTTTTTTCAAAAATGGAGAGCAGGGGACTGAGAGTGTCATTGTTTGTTCTGAAATTGTTCTTCCGAGAGTGTTGTAGTTTCTTGCGTTCTGGTGCTTGTTCTGGCCTTTGCTTCATTTACTTCTCCTGGTGCTCCTGTTTCAATGAATTTTCAAATCGATATAAATTCCACGCCTGTACTACCTCCAGTGACGAGAAAAGTTGATAGTAAGGTTGAAGTTCGTTTTTTCCCTAGTACCCTTCAAAAGTTGAGTATTGTCATTGTCTACTAAGTACACGACCAAAACCCGAAAGAAAAAGAAACACAATAGTTCCACCCCGGCCGCCCACAAACACCAGTAAAACACAACATTTGATTTCCTTCATTCCGAAAAGAACGGCTTGTCGCCATGGGGGCGTGCCAGAGCAGCTCTTCGGCCAAGTACGAGAAGCCAACGAAGTTCGGGGTGCAGCAAGACCGGCTAAAAAACAAGCAGTTTGAAGAGGACCTGGCTTTTTTGGAAAATGTACAAAATCTAAGCCAGAAAAATTTCAAGCCTACGTAGTGTTGTTTTAGTTTTAATCTAGGGACACGTTATCTTTCAAGACATGAATTGTATGTCTTTTCGCATTTCTGTATACCCGCCTTTTCTTTGCAGCTTTTGTCACAAGAACGGAGCTTCTTTCAGCTTTATTTGTCAACCAATCCAGGTCCCATTATTCTCGCGGTTATCCAAGGCCGACCTGCCCATTGTCGTCGGCGCCCTCGAGCGGAGGGAGTACAGCGAGGGCGACCCCGTGATCCGGGAGGGCACGGAGGGCGACGAGTTTTTTCTGATTAAGCAGGGGCAGGCCTTGGTGAGCAAAGACGGGTCGGAAATCGCCACTTTGAAGCCCGGCGACTACTTTGGGGAAGGGAGTCTACTGGAAGACACACCAAGGAATGCAACGATTACGGTAAAGATGCTTGTTGATGAAATGAATTTTACCGTCGAAACGCACCAGAGGTGGCAGATAGGAAATAGGTAGGACGAAGAAGGTGCAAGTTGACGCACACTAATCTTCCTGGCAGCACCTACCAAAAATCTATGTTGCCAAAGTAAGTAAGTACTTTGTTTCTTCGCTGGCGCGCCTACAACAACATGTACATCTTCTAACTATTGCACTTTTCGCAATATTACACATCCAGGTTGCCCAGAACTGCGCCACATTGATCGTGCTGTGCCTGACCCGCGCGAAATTTGAGGAGCTCGGTGTCCGGGACCGACTGCGCTTCCCGCGTCGTCGCGCCGTCGCGGCCGGGGGCGGCCAGCAGGACCAAGGGAATAAAACGAACGGGGCGGCGGGGGATGCGAATAACGCGGCGAAGAAGAACGTCACCAAAACGCCGAAGGAAGAACTGCTGATCCGAAAAGCGCTTTTGGCGAATAGGTACTTGTTATGAGAGTGCACAACTACCTCTCCCCCTCATTTGTATGGCCTGAACAGCAATACAAACACCAGCACACGTGGAGCCTATGCATGACAAATTTATGTACCTGATGCTGATGTAGTACTACTGTTTGGGCTTGTTCCGAAATTTGTCATGCATAATAGTGACGCAGGGAGGCAATTGGAGTTGAGATTTTGCATGAGAAATGAGCACGAGGGGGAGTTGTGCACTGTCATACTTGTCGAAGGTGCTGTCCAATGACCAGATCCAGGACCTAATTTCCGTGGCCTACCAGCTCGAGGTGAAGTCGGGCGAGGAGGTCGTGCAGGAAGGCTCTCTGTTGGCGGATAGGTATACATATAAAAAATGCCACGAATGCTTTTTTGTTTAGTGTTTCTGTTTTTTTCACGAAAGGGGGTTGCTTATAACCCGATTGGATATCGTGATCGTCCTGCAACTGCTCGCGATCATTTTTCGTATACTTACAAGTACCTATATCTATCTTCTTGGCCTTGATGCTAAAATCAGATTTTACATTGTTTCCACGGGGACCTTCGAAGTGCGCAAGAAGGTGGAGAAGCAGACCAGCACCGAGAATGCGACCAGCATGGAGGCCCAGCTGCAGGGCGAACTGTCTGCGGGCGGGACCTTCGGCGAGTTGGCACTGTTGTACAACGCGCCCCGCGCGGCCACCGTGCAGGCGATGTCCGACGCAACGCTGTTCGTGTATGGCGCTCTCAACTGTTATATTCTCAGCTTTTACATGAATTTGTGATGCAAAATTGCCATCAGAAGCGACGCGATCAAGCTGCTTCGACGCATGACAAACTATCCAAGGGCCAAGCAGGCTGATAGTCTGTGCTAAATCTGTCATGCAGGACGCGCAAGGTCCCCCTTTTCACTTTTGCCATTCTTGCATCACAAATTTATGTGGCGGAGAATGTAACAGTTGAGAACACCATATCGTGATCGACCGGCACGACTTCAAGCAGATCCTGCGGAAGCAGGCGCAGCAGCGCCAGGATTTTTACATGAAGCTGGTAGAGAAGACGGAACTGCTCAAGGTCTTATTGAAAGAGGAGAAGGAGGCCCTGTGCGAGTGCTTCGTGCAGCTGCACTACCAGTCCGGCCAGACGATCGTGCGGGAGGGAGAAGAGGGCAACACGTTTTACATCATGTACCAGGGCACGGTGGGCATCCACACCGCCAAGGAAGGCAAGGTGAACACGTTGTCCGCGGACCCCGAGCACTGCCAGTACTTCGGCGAGAAAGCACTGGTGAACCCCGAGTGCCGAAATGCCAGCATCGTCGTGGAATCCTCCTCCGTCTCGCTGCTGGTCCTGGAGCGATCCACCTTTATGGCGTTCTCAACTGTTACATTTTCAACTGTTACAGGAATTTGTGATGCAAGAATGGCAAAAGTAATAGGGGCGATCTTGCGCGTCTTGCATGACAGACTTGGCGCCGATTATCACCCTATTTGGCGCTCTGAGAAGTTGTCATGCGAAGCAGCTTGATGGTGTCGCTTCTGAAGGCAATTTTGCATGAGAAAGCACGCAACAGTTGAGAATGTAACGTTTGAGAACGCCATAACCTTCGAACAGATCCTGGGGCCACTTAAGTACAGTGATGACCTCATACCTTTCTACTATTACAACTACTGCGCCTGGCGGGGTGATGATGCGAATATCGCAAAATTTTTTTTTGCGACTATATTTCTTGCGATGAGATTGAGAAACAAATATTTTGTTTGGAGGCGGCCTGATCATGATCGATAAAAAGGAAATTTTCATCTTCTTCATCAGGGAAATCCTGCAGGACAAGGGGAACGCCAGTTTCGACAAGCGAAAGTCACGCGTGCAGACGAACCGGGACAAGGCCAGCAGTTTACTGTCTAGCATGAGCCTCGCCGACCAGAAGCAGCAGCAGCAGGAGAAGCCAAAGATGGCGGACTTGCACAAGGTCGGCCTGCTCGGCTGCGGCGGGTTCGGGTCCGTCACCCTGCAACGGTATCAAATGTAAAAGTGTCTGGGTCTGGAAGAATGCAAGTTTGTCATGCTTGTCTGGCATGACTCTTAAATCTGTCGTGCACATTACCAAAGAGCCCCACTTTTCTGTCATGCAGAAACGTAGTTTGTCATGCAGAATAGGCAACACCTAGAAGCTCAGAAACTTGTCATGCTGAGCCAGCAATTGTGGCCTCCTCATGATATGCCACACAGCATCACAAGTTTCCAGATCCAGACATTTTTACATTTGATAAACGGTTGAAGAAAACCAAACAGGTGTACGCGCTCAAGGCGATCGGGAAGGGGTACATTGTGCGCATGCAGATGTGCGACCAGATCTGCAACGAGAGGAAAATTTTGTCCATGACGAACTCGCCGTTTGTGGCCCAGTTTTTCGGCACCTACAACTCCGCAGACTTCGTCTACTTCCTGCTCGAAGCCTGCTTGGGCGGGGAGGTATAATTTATGTACTTAAAAAGTCTGCTCCGCACTCGCAGTACTAGCACCCAATGTTGACAATTATGAGGTCATGATGCGGATGCGGACCGCATCCGCATCATGACCTCATTGTCAACATTCTGAAGAATTATGCACCTGGTGCTGTTCATCGCCATGCTAATGTCTATGTCAACATCTACTTCATGACGGGACCGGGAGCAAGAAGAGAGTCGTTTTGGGCGAAGATGAAGAAGATGGCTCAACATTCAAACAGCAGGACCTTTGTCTTTATCGAGGGAGAGGGTCTAGAATATATAGAGATCTGCCATTAAAAAAACCCTATCAGGTGTTCGCGCAATATTCCCGGAGAAACTTCCATGGGTCCGTGCCGCACGCGAAATTTTATATGGATGCGTCAGGATTGAAATCGTCAAAGTTGAAATAATTTCTCATGCATAAGTTGCAAGGCATGAAGCGCCTCTCTTGCAGGGGCGGCAAGTGAGGCCGACTGTCAGCCTGCTTGGGGTCTACGGCAGAGCTGCTAGTGTAGCATGACAAAAGAAGCCTTCTGTCCCTAAACAGCATGACAAACTGGATTTAGACGGCCCCGAAATTTGTCATGCAACGCTTGAAAATTGGGCTTCCAACTGGTATCGATTTTATGCATTGCAAGTTATTTCAACTTTGTCGATTTCAGTCCTGACACTCCCATATTTTACTCTGCCTGCGTGGTGAAGGCTTTCGAGCACCTGCACGAGCGGAAAATTATCTACCGCGACCTGAAGCCGGAAAACATGCTTCTGGATCAGAACGGGTACTGCAAACTCACCGACATGGGCCTCGCGAAGTTTGTCATTGGTCGCACCTACACGACCTGCGGCACCCCGGACTACTTCGCGCCGGAAATTATCCAGTCGTCCGGGCACACCAACGCGGTGGACTGGTGGTGCTTCGGGATCCTCGTCTACGAACTGCTCGTCGGCAGAACGCCCTTCGACGGCCAGGACCCCCAGCTGCGGTACCGTAAAATTTTGGGCGGTGTGGAGAAGGTCAGTTTCCCCAAACAGATGGCGCGACTGGGTCGCCTGTTCCGCGGGTGGTGCATTGGGCGGCAGTGGCCCGGTCGACTGCTCCGTCGACGGGCACAGCCTGCAGGCGCGGCGGCCGGCCCGCTTGTTCCGCGCGTGGCCTTGTGGCGGATGGCCCGCCCTAGTGTGTGCGCTTCGAGTTGTGGCCGAAAGTGCCACCATGTCTATGCTTGCGGGGTAGCCAGCTTGGGCTCTGGGGCCCCCAGTGGCCTGGCCCGTCTTTGCGTCGCCCGATGGCCTGCGGCCGTGGTGGCCTTTTCTTTGGGTGGGTTGCTTGCCGTGTATCCGTGCACTACAAGCCTGTTAGCGGGCGTCCCACCCTTGTGCGCCCTGGGCCGAGGGATGGCCCAGGGACGGAGCAGCGGCAGTTTGGCGGCCGGCCCTCCTGTTCCGCGCATAGCAAGCGCCCTGGGTGGCGAGGGGCCCGCCAATTTGCCCGCGGCCCGCCTGGGCGTTTGCCGCTCGGGGATCGCGCAGAAGAAAGCGAAGGTTGCTCGTCCGCCCGATTTGGCCGCCTGGAGCCAGAGCGGGCGCCGCTGCGACCTTGTGGCTGGCCCGACGCCGGCCAACGTGTTCGCCGGTCGGCCCGCCGGCGTGTGCCTTTGTGCCTGCATGCTTGCGGGGTATTGATTCACCAACGAGGCCAGGGCCGGGTGGTGAAACTAACCTACAACAAGGAGAAAGGCAAAGGGGTGGGGGCAGTAACCATGGGAAGTGGGCCGCCTTGGTTCCCTCGATTTTGTTTCTTCGGGTTTTGTGGGTTCCGCCTGTTCCGCGTTGCCTCTCCCCCTCGCCCGCCCCGCCTGCCAGTAGGCCTCCGTCTGTCTATGAACCAGCGCAGCCTGTCTGCATGTCGCCCGGGCGGCGGGCATGCAAGCATCTGTGGCGCCCGTGTCTGTGCGCTTATTTTGAACATTGTGGTGGCGCCGCCGCCGGTGCTTATGAGGCCGCCCCGCCCGGGGCCGCTGTACCTACGGCGCCAGGCGTAGAACAGCAATCCCGGTATTTCTCTCGGGCGCCACCAGTCCGGCTACCGGTGCGGCCATGGCGCCACACATTGCGGCTGTGGGTTATTTGGTGGCGGGATTGAGGGTGGTTTACGAGGGGAGGCGGCGCGCGCGCGATGGTGAAGATGCGTGGCCGTGTTGCCGGGGGCAAACCAAAGCGAAGAAATTACATGCAAAACGCGGTTGGTATCTGTTGACTTTGTTCTTGTATTCCTTTGCGCTATTTCCGGAAAAACAACACCTACAGGTACCGCAAAATTTTGGGCGGCGTGGAGAAGGTCAGCTTCCCCAAGCATATCAAATGTAAATATGTCTGGGTCTGGAAGAATGCAACTTGTCATGCTGCATCAGGATTCCAGAAAAATCTGTATTGCATGAGTACCGCAAGGAATGTAATTTTTGCTACGCGGAGAGGGCATTTGTCATGCGGAATAGGCATCAAGAAGCTCTGAAAAAATCTGTGATGCTAGGGCGTGCATCACAGACATCAGGGCCCATGCAAAACGTGCATGACAAGTGGCAGAATGTTCCAGACCCAGACACTTTTACAGTTGATAAAACAGATGGCGAAACCAGCCGTGGAGCTCATCAAAGAGGTACTGAAAATCATGGCTCTGGTTTTTGCCACGGCATTGTCTCCTGAAGAGCAGAAGCGGATCGACACCATGATCAATGTCGTTATCTTATTGCCAAACAGACACTTTCACTACATTTGTTGAGGTTTGCGTTTCTTTGGTCTTCTACTTCACGATCATCATGCTTTGCATGCGTGTAATGCTGTAATAAACAAGGAGACGCTCCTCCTTCGCCTTCAGCTTGATTCTCCTCGAGCATGCGAGTATGAAATAACCAGCGCAAAATTTTTACGTACTTGCTTCATTTTATCGTCAGGTGTGCAAGGTCGATCCGTCCCATCGGCTACCGATGCGGCCCGGCGGCGTGAAAGAGAATCTGTACCGCCAAGTCTTTTACGAGTTCGAGAAGTGGGCCTTGCTGGAGAAGCGCACCCTGAAGCCGCCGTTCAAGCCCCGCATGAAGACAAGCGACCCCTTGTACCACTTTGGCGGCAACGGCGGTCCCGAGGACCAGAGTCCCCCCGTGCTACCGTACCAAGATCCCGGCAACGGCTGGGACGCGGAGTTCTAGGAAGCGTGGGTATTGGCAGAAGTGTAGCGGAGCGGACGCGGAGCAGGGAGTTCTGTTGTTGTATAATTTTAGTTTCTCTGTGTCTTTTTGCGATAGATATGTCAGCTTGTTAAGTTTTCAATTTTCAATATACATGAACGACCAGGAAAAGAAGTTTCAATGTCCGATCATACTACTGCCACTTCTCGAAGTGGTCGAAACAGTTTCAGTTTGAGTCTATTTTTACTTCTCATGCAGCACAGCAAAACGCAGTTTTCTGTGCAAAAAGAAGCGCGACGCTTCTCATCAATTCTTATTCTTGTCTTCACAACAATTAGCGATCAGGACAATCCCTCGTTCTATATGTAAATTTTTCACTATCACGATTTGATTTTATTTACTTTTATTTTTCTCACTAGCGGTTACTTATGGTTTCAGGTTTAGATTTACAGTTTCACTTGCACATTCTCATAGATCTACTTTCTCTGGTGTATTTCCTCGCAGGGGTCCTCGTGGGGTAGAGCATAGTCATGATGCTTAAGCTGCTTAAAGGAAAACGAATATAAAAAGAGACTACGACCAAAAGACTGTCACGGAAAGCCCCGAACAAGATGTTTGGATTTCGTCTTCTGGGGAAATAAAAACGAATAACAAGCAGCCCTAATCGGCGTTGCGCTTTCGTCCAGCAACGTGACGCGTTGATTAAAACTTAGTTTTCCGATGACCTAGTCAGACGTTATTTTTGTCACTACCTCCGCGACATGGCAAGTGCCTCTGAGCTCACAAAGACACAGCCATTATATGTGACTCGATTGGTTTTACATTTACATGTGATGATCATGCTGGGCCTCGTTATGACAGCGACAGGGCGATCCTGAAGCTTAGTATACTTAGAGCGCGCCAGCATGGCATGTGTGTGTGTGTGTACACAAGGGGGACTAGATAGAAGTCGCATTCGCGAGCATTGGTCGAATACGGATGCATCTTCCTGACATTTGTGCTACTGATTGTGAATCTTCTTGTGAGAACACTGTGATGGATGGAAGCTACACACTAAGACTAACACAGCATGGATATTAAACGGTAAGCATATTGCCCACGGAAATGATCGAATGGATGGGAGAGTATTCATACACATGAAATTCTTGTACATAGGGTGCAGCGGCACAAAGCGAAAGAGGTAAACGGAACGAAAGGACAAGCAAGAAGCAGGTAGAACATTGATGCGGCTTGTGTTCTATCTTTGTCTCTATCGTTGACTCGTGATGCAGAAGAAACATTCCGTCGGTTTTTAAGAGCAGCTGGCGATGTAGGTGTCTGCGTGAAATTCAAGTTTATCAGATTTCAGATGACTGAAACTGATATACAAGTCGTTTCCCTGGCGGAAGGAAAGTTGTACTCGTTTCTTTCGTGCGATGCGAGCAGTTTCTGGTTCCATTCAAGATGGTTGGTGCAGGACAGAAAGTACACAGTGCCTCTTCTTCTATGTGCCGACATGCAAAAATAAATGCGAGCGAATAAGTGTCATGATCAAGAAGCGTGGTATAATCACTAGCACTAGTATCGTCGAAATCGTCGGTCAAGTTCAAAAATAAGTACTTCACGCGCTTTTACAGGTTCTGATCCGCCCCCCCCCCCGAACAAGGCACAGGCTTGTTCTTGGATCATCGAAGCCGCATTTGTTCATGGAGGTGAAGCTGAAACTTGTGATCGTGCTGCTTCAGGAACGAGCGCGGCGTGAATCGTTCTACTTTGATAAATCAACAAAATGAAGGAAGAAGGTTCTTCATCTTGGAGATGAGCGAATGTAGATCTTTCCGCGTTCTGTATCAAATCTTCCGTCATCCTGGAGATCCGGTTGCAGGATCAAAGTTAGATGAACTTCTGAGGAGATCATAATTTTGGACTCGTAGATTCATATGAAACGGTATCTGTAAGTAGTTGGTCTTCGTTCGAACGAGGAAGAGGAAGACCTATGCTTATCCATCGTTCTCCCACCATCAAAAAAAGCAAAGACACTCACTTTTTTTGAGTGCGGCTGTAGTGATCATCAGTAAGAATAAGTCCTAAGTAGTTTCTTTGGACCTCGTAAACTGTATTTCACTTCTTTTGATTGCATATCGAAGTTTGCTTCAATCACCGTCGAATCCACTGACAAGAAGAAGAACTCTGTCAGTCTTGTATTTTTTCATTACTTATCCAGGTAAGTAGTTCTACTTCTAGTTTTTTCTAGAAGAAAATCAAGAACCCTGCTACAGACGACGAAGGTTCGTTGGTTCCATTTTTTTGGCTGACATTGCCAGAAACAGTTAAGTTATATTAACAAAAATCTCGTTCATGATTTCATTTGACATCACAATCAGCTGGAACTACATCATTATGTTTCCTGGTCGTGTGCTTTCTAGACGAGGACCAGCTATGGTTCTCGCCGGAGGGCTGGTTCTTGGGCAAATACTTTGTGATGTGACGGTGACCGCTGCTGCATCATCAACATCATCTACAACTTCTAGACCGCCCCGGTACGCCCCGATCGCTCATGCTGAAAACAATGGGGCTGCGCCACGACCTGATCCTTGCTGTAAGACCGCAGCCGCTTTCGCGGAGGCCTGCGCACTCGTCACATCCTCTGCATTATCAACTGCAAATTGTGATATACATCATCTGGGTCTACTCGTTCTGAAAGTAGAAGATGTTAGTACACAATTTTTTCGTACGTGAGCGTGCTTGCTATGTTGCCGCTAAGGATCAACATTCCTTTGGTCCTGCACCATCGGTCAGGAATTAGAACCACGAGAAGCCCTTCCGGATCAGCTGGTGGTCTATCATGGAAACACGGACATTGTGCTCGTGCCCATTTCTTTATTGCAAGGACACATAAATAAATCGCCCAAAAGAAGGCGAATAAAACAAACTTATCATGCGCGACCAGGCAACATGACAGTGAGCTTAAGCTTATCATGATTAGAAAAATAAAAAGAGAACATCACAAGCCTCGAGAGGACGACCCAGATCTTGGATATTTGCAATGCATATTCTTCCGTTCCGGTTTCGACAATCCGTCCAGGCTTCCTCTGTTCGGACGGCGGCACTTGCACCGGCACAGGTATCCTGCGTAAAAACTCCCCCCCTATCTCCACCCCAGACAGACTCAAGATAGGAAATCTGCTAGACAAATCCAGAAGCTTTGCGGACACCGCATGACAAATTTGGACGCGTTGTACTATCGGCTGTGCCGGTTTTGGCACAAATTTACCACTTGGTTATGCCAGCCGTGTCACAAATTGGCCATTTTATCCTGCTGATTAGATTGACAAATTCTACTAAGACATCACTACGAAAGGCTTCTCCTGCGGCAGCGCTTGTTTAGAAACATCCTAGCCCTAGACATGGGAATTCGCATGCTCTTGACAGCAGGCATGGGGTCGTGGGGACGACGTTTTTGCTCAGCATAACCGGTGCGCGGCTGAAAGAGGTTGAAAACGGTGCGAGGAGCCGGTTCAAAGATGACGAAAAGGCCGCGGACGACGAGTTTCGCGAAACGATGCACTCAGTACGCACCAGTATGGGTGAGCTCGATGCTAAAGCAGACCCCGACTTCAGGTTTTGTAGTGCTGACAACTTTCAGACGTGCGCCAAGGGGTGCTGCAAAGGGCTAGTTGCCGGGGGTTGCGCTGGGTTTGCGATGTTCCCCTGCGAGGCATTTTCTCAGGGACTCTGTTATGCATTGCAAAAGTATCGTACTAGTATAAATCGCATGACAAATTAGCTCAGCACTACAAATGAAATTTGTAATGCTATTTTACCTTAGGAAAGAGATTTGTCATGCATATTTGCAATCACTACGAGTACGATACTTTTGCACAGGATATCTGTTGCGGCGTCAAAGGCGTTGCGCGAGGAACGTGGAAGGGGTGCCAGCAAGAGCTCGCCGCTATGGATTGCAAATATGTCTGGGTCTGGAAGAGTGCGAGATTTGTCATGCTAGTCTGGCATGGCACTGAGCTCTGTATTGCGTGGTCAGCATGAGGTCCTCTGATCTGTCATGCAAAAACCCTGTTTCTCATGCGCAAGACGCAACACAAAGCCACGGAAAAATCTGTCATGCTTGGCGGCGCATTTTTACAGTGTACCTACTATTCACTAACTTGCATCACAACTTTCCAGACCCAGACATTTTTGCATTTGATAGCCGCGTGCGGAGCACGACTCGTCGTCCGGGGGGGCGAGGATCCGCTGAAGGGACCGGTCGGGAAGAAAGTTCCGCAAAGATACGACCCCCGCAATGATGCCGACGCCCTTGCTGTCACTGCCGTGGGGGGACCAGATGTTGACGGTGCGACACAGCCCTTGATCCTGGTCACCCGACCAGCTGCAGACGGTGGTGGACAGTCGTCACTGCCATCGGATAATTACGGCTCTACAACTATGCATCAAGTTGTACTAGGAGACCACCACGAAGAGGGCAGGACCACCCGACCTCCAGCAGCTGCAGGCGATGAAGCACGACAAGAAACAGCAGGGGGCGTCGAGGAGAATAACACAACTAGCACGAACTCTTGTCTATCAATCCTGGAGCACAAATGGTTAACCCTTTTTCTACCGCAACTGAGGTTTCTCATTGACAACGTCGAGACGGAAAATACGATCCCGCCCTTCTTTCGAGAAGTTGATGTAGGTGCTCACGTGAGTGGACAAGAAGAATCTACTTCTTCCCGCCGCTCGATCGTACTCGACCTGCCGACAACACCGCCAGGAACCAAGGGGCCGCGCGGTGATTTTTGGGTGATGTCTTTCGGGGACGCGCGGTTTTCGCCGCTGCAGGACGTCGAGAAACTGCGCGCGGCTCGCAAGGACCGACGGCCGTTCCTCAACAGCGTTGCGCCGACGCGGCAGGAAGCCGAGGAGTATTTCAACCAACTGTTGCAGCACGCCACTAGGATAGACCCATCTACTACTACTCCTGGCGAAGAGGTCGAGTCAGAAGAGGAAAAACAGCACCGAGAAGAAACTGTTAAGAGCATCGCTGGACTGCTACGGGCGGCAAACCGACGGCTGCTCGAGCGGGTGCTCACCAAGTCGCTCGCGGGCGCCCTACAAGCTTCGTTGCACGGTTGTTCCCAAGGACCACTACGGGGATGCTTCTCCCTGGAAGGTTTCTTCAGCAAACTGGAGAATGACTTGGTAGACGCCTACCTGTTGCGCCGGTTTCACGTGCAAAAATCGACCGTCGTCGCAGCTGCAGCTGCTCCTAGTGATGGAGAATCACGCGGAGCAGGCCCAGAAGGCGCTGGTGCTGGTGTTCTTGCTGGGGGAACCGGAACAATCGGGATCGCAAATCGCGGCGGGGAACAAGGGGACGATAACCTGAACCACAAAAATGGCTGGAAGCTGGTTTCCGAATTGCCCTCGACTTTCTGGCGGGAGCTGGGCCCGAGCGGGAACTTGCTTGATGTAGTTCCTGGACGAGGCTCTTCTGCAGGAGCGCAACAGCGTGTCGCCGACAGTGTGCTGAAACTGAACGACGAGGTGTTTATGTGCCAGATTTCGTACGACTTGCTTCGGAAGTATGATCCACAAGAAAACAACCACGCTCATGATCCAATTTGTCATGCAAAACATGCACTTACACTCACAGTCAGGTCACAGTTCCTTCAGCATTAGTCATGCAAAAAACTAAGGATCACTGGGAAGATGGTGTTTTTTTTTTGTGTATAGGGAGCCGGTCTTTGTGAAGGAATTGCACGGCGTGCGAAAGTATCAAGTGCAAAAGTGTCTGGGTCTGGAAAGTTGGAACTTGTGATGCTAACTTTGGAGTCTAAAAAAATCTGTACTGTATGACCAGCAAGATGAGAAGCCACATTTGTGCTACGCGAGGAGGGCATTTGTCATGCGTAAATGGCATCAGGAAGCCTTCAAAAAATCTCTGATGCTGGGTCATGCATTACAAGCATCTTGGGTCAGGCCAGACAAGCATGACAAGCCTTGCATTCTTCCAGACCCAGACATTTTATACATTTGATAGAAAGCACGAAGTCGTACTGTCTCGAGAACAGTACGTATTGTGAGGAAAAATCCCCCCTCCCCATATCGAAACGAAGTTTCTGATGCTCGATTTCCATACACAAATCAGATTTGTCTTGCAGTAGAGGAGTGCAGGCATATGTCAAGCCTCAGTCGAGAGGTTTTGACGTAGGCGCCTAGCATGGCAAACGTGTACGCTCTAAGCCCAAGAGCATCACAAACCGCCTGCAAAATGCGGGGCGCTCTTTGGACTTGCCTTCTTGCAAGACAGACAGGATTTGAGGTCGCAAATGCGCATCACAAATTTTCAGACGGATACGGTTTCAATATGGGGAGGGGGGATTTTTCCTTGCAATAGTGCGATATGCTGGAACTTCTACCAGAGAGTCCAGTAGACGGCGACGGTCGTGAGATCGAATTTGTCCGCACAACCTCAAATGCCGAGGACAGCAGTGTGGTGGTAAAAATCCCGTATTACTACGAGGAAGCGCACTTGCGTCGCTGGGTGGATGATAACCGCACCCACCCGCACACCCGGAACCCCATCCGGAACCCGGGCTCCCTATGGATGTGTCAGGATTGAAATCGACAAAGTTGAAAGAACTTGTAATGCATAAAATGGATGAAAGTTGTGACCCATTTACATTTTCCAAGTGGCGCATGACAAATTTGGGTAGAGCCGAAATCCAGTCTGTCATGCTGTTTGGGTAAGGAAGACGCCTTTTGTCATGCTACTTTAGCGGCTCAGTTTCTACCCCTCAACAGGCTTACAATCTGCCTCACTTGTCTACTCTGCAAGACAGGCACTTAGAGGGCTGCATTTTATGCATGACAAACTATATCTATATCAACTTTAACGATTTCAAACCTGACGCTTCCATACTCCCAGATCGTGCCCGCGACGGGGTTACAAAAAATCATCGACAAACAAATTCTCCGCCAAACATCGAAAAAAGCAACACCTGAAGAGCAATTACAATTGGAGCTTTTCAAGAAAGAGGCGCTGCAGAAATTGGAAGCAAAAGGGGTTCGCGCGGTGAAGCTTCAGCACTTGAGCTTGGCCATGATCGCACTGGCGGACGGCTTGTTTTGGCAAAATACAGATCCTAAAAGTCGTGATCGCGAGTGGCAATGGCATGAAAGTATTGCACCCACCACGCGACCTGGAGCAACAACATCTTCTCCGGGTGGGACTGGAGGCCTGCCGTTGGAAGACGTAGTCAGCGAGACGCGGCTTCTTGACGATACATTATCCACTGCAAAAACATTAGATGTTTGGGAGGTCGTCTGGACCAAAGATAAACATTAACATGCGCAATTGTCGTGATTCGAATTATTTCAGATTACGGCACAAAAGTGTGTCATGCGGACTAGCAGGCATTGAGCAGAACAGTTTCCCGTCTCGTCAAAATCTGTATATAAACATGCTAGGCCTACAACTAGCATGCCGGACATTTAGGATGATCACACAAGGAAACTACATCACGACATCAAATGCTAGGGCATGCACTCATCCAGAGGACCCTCGTCCAGACATAGACATGTTTGCATTTATAATTCTTCAGCTCGCCCGCAGTCCGTGCCGGCGCTTTCGGTGTGTCGTGTCACGAGGCCAGGGATGCGGGATTTCACAAGGGCAATTATGGGGCGGAGGATACGTGTCTACTGCAGGCGGGTCGCGTTGCGGTGTGTTGCTGGCCGGCTGTCGCGGCTGCGGAAGGTCTCAAACGGGCGTGCGCACTGCCGTGTTGTCAATCCCTCGCGCAGCTTATGAAAGTGCACAACTCCCCCTCCCCCTCATTTGTCATGCAAAATACTAATTTCCCCCTTTGCCTTTTGGCACTGTTTGCATGACAAGTTCTGGTGGCCCAAATAGCACTGTAATCCAGTGGAAATTTGTCATGTAAAACCGGCATTCTTGCTGATGCTTGTATTGCTGTTCATGCTATACAAATGAGGGGGAGGGGGAGTTGTGCACTGTTATACAGCTACCGCAGGACGCATTCCTCGCGCTTGATTGGGAGAGCAGGTTCGACCATATCAACTGTAAAAATGTCTGGCTCTGGAAGATTGCGAGATTTGTCATGCTGATCTGGCATGGCCCTTAAATCTGTCTTGCGTGGCCACAAACAGCCTCTCTCGCCTGTCATGCAAAAACGCAGTTTCTCATGCGGAATACGCAGCACAGAAGCACGAAACAACTTGTCATGCTTGGCGGCGCATTACAGTGCATTTGTATATCGACTAACTTGCATCACAAGTTTCCAGACCCAGACATTTTTACATTTGATAGACCAAATCTGGGAACAAGCTAGACAGAAGTCATCGACACGCTCGCGCAAAAAGGAACAGCGCAAGTCCCGCGAAATCGAGAAAGTGCGTCAGATTATGCTACGGACCGGACAACTCGGACAAGACGAAGGTCGCGCAGCGCCTGGATCAGCATCAGGAACGACAGGAAGCCGGAACCATAACCAACCGAGAAGAAACCGCACCTTCGCTGAGGCACGCTGGGACGCAAGTAATGAAATTGCAGGTGTTACGAGGAACAACGGGACAGGGCGGCCTCCCTGGAGCTTCTCACGTTCCGCCAGGAGGATCGCACAGGAAGCGGCGTTACAGCTGATCCACGACCGAGAGGACGAATTGCAGGCGAAACTACAGCAGCAGTACAGCAAGCACGAAGGACAAGTGCATGATGTTCAGTCGAAAAATCCTGCTCGAAGCAGAAGTATTGATGCCTCCGCGTCCTCCCCTTCCGGCGCGTTGTCGTCCTCCAGTAGAAGTAGAAGTACGAGCCCAGACCCAGAGCCTGTTGGCTCCGGCTCGCCCGCCGGCGTGAGGAGCCCCGGTGGGCGAGGAGCCGGTGGCGGCGGTAGTAGAAGAAGAGGTAGACGTGCAGGCTCGAGGACGATGTCAGGCTCTAGAAGTAGAAATGCCGCTAGAAGTAGTTCTCCTCAACACGACCAGCCGCGCCACCACGGCGACGCCGAAGTGAAAGCTGCGACGCTTAAGGACGAGCTCCAGGCTTTGGACCACCTAAAGCGTTTTCTGCTGGGCGACGATGGAACCGTGGACCAAGCGCTTTCGACGGGCTGCGGAGGTTCGTGTCTAGACGAAGAAACCGGGGAATTCAACGCGGGGTGTTGTGGTAATTGTTGCTCCTGGATCTGTTGCTGCGGCCAGCCCTCGCTGCAGCGGACGTCCTTACTCATTCAGCGCTTACTGCTGCAACAGGCACGCTGCGTCAATCTGGCGCGCAGCAAAACGACCCTGGTCCAGATAACCCTGGAGGCGCTTTTGGCAGAAGCGGCGCAGAAAGAAGCTGAGGGGAAAGGCGAAACGTCCTGGACCGCCTCTGGTTGGCGAAACCGCGCCGCCGCTGTCGTGGAGGGACACAACACTCACCGGCTTGATATGGCTTTCTCAAGAAACGTTGCATGGACATCTTCACATCAGTTTCAGTATACATAATTTTTGCCTGGTTTCTTGTGATGCAAGAATAGCACCAAGGAGGGACGAAAGCACTTTCTTCGCGCTGCATTTTGCGTTTACAACTCTGGCACGGGATAATATTTCCATGCCATTTTTTACATGGCTGCAAGCTTGATGTTATGCGAACTACCAGCCTGAAGATCTTCATGCCGTGGATCATTCTTCATGTAGTTGGTCATTCTTAGTTGTGGGTCTGCGTGACAAAAAATCAACGAAAAGTCACGTGTTGAACACATGCCCATGCAACCGCGTTTGACAAGGTGATGAGACAACAACTGCGGAACCGTTACCGTTCCCTTTCGCAAGAAGAGCTTGACGACCGCTTCGAGTTGTTGCGAATCAACATGCCCCCCTGGGTGGACAAAAAAGACTGGTGTGGCCTAGGGAAGAAGCTGAGCAATTGCGTGGAGGCGTGTGGCTGCCGACCGGGTGCGCCGATAGCCGAGAAAGATTGGCCCGTTTACGTGGCGGCCGGAGTGGAAGCGGAAGAATCTTCTGTGCGGCCGAATCTAGGACCGGAGGGACTCGTTCTGTCACAACGACCACAAGAGGACGGTCCTCGTGCAGGAGCTGGAGTTCAATTAGGCCTACATGATTATCACGAGCAGAGGACCACGACGTCGACCATGATGCCAAGCTCGCTTGTAGTTCATCAACAACATGGACCAAGGTCCCCCGCCGCTGCGGCTCCCCCGGCCCAGATGCAGATGGGTACGACCGGTGATGGAACATCCTCCAGCAGTAGTGGTTTGCAGCAGCGGCGGGTAGCAGGAGGTCCAGTTTCAGTTTCTGGTGCACGTCGAGGACCTCGCTCCGTAGGCCGCGGTAGACATCAAGACCGCAGCTCAGATGATGAAGCGTCGACGTCGCAGCAAAGCGGCAGCGAAGGTGGGTCCTCCGACTGCAGCTGCAGCTCGGAGGACGAGGGAGGAGCAGGGCCCCCGCAGCAGCTACAAGACCAGGACGACGACCCCAATCATGCATCTTCAGGATCTTCTCCTCGGACTACATCAAGGAACTTATTTCGCCGGGATGGTAACCAGAGGACGAGAAGCAGGAGCAAGAAGAAATCAAACTCGAAGAAGAAAGGTCACCGGGCCACCACCTCCACCTCGTCGAGTAAACTATGGAATAATTATTCTCAAACGGTACATTCTCAACTGTTACATGAATTTGTGACGCAAGAACAGCAAGAACAGATAAAGCGGCAAGCTTGCAACTCTCGCATCACAAATATAGCACTGATTTAGATAAAGGCGCTGTTTAATAATAGCCCCTCGCTCGAGTTCGAGAATGTGCCATGCGAAGTAGCTTGGTAGTCTAGCGGCTTGTGGTAATTTTGCATGAAAAATCATGTAAAACAGTACGAGAGCGTTAAAAACGTTTGAGAATGCCATATAGAAGACCACGTAGTTGTTGCACCAACGAGACTCCGCACTGTGAGCAGGGCTGTGGTCTGCCCGAGTGCCTTAGCTGCTGCGCGCAGAGCGTCTGCGACCCGGTGCTTCAACCCGCCGCCAACCTCGCTCTCACCGGTCTCACGCTGGCGACGTGCTGTCTGTTCGGCGGGTGCCCGACCCGCGTTTGCTGCGAGAGCTCGCGCCGGACCGCGATACTGTGCAAAGAAGGGGGGCAGAACCTGTGCGACAAGTATTGGGTGGGGGAAACAGATTTTGAAAACGTCGGCGTCAGCGAGGACGGCATATTAAATCTCGACGAGGCAGAAAGAGGAGAAGGACGCCAACAACAATCTCCACCACCAAGCCGCCGTCCCGTGGCTCTGCCAACGTACACGTCCCCCTGGGCGAGTGGGCCGCTCACCCTCGGGTCGCGAGACGTGTTCGACTCGTGTATCGGGCCGCTCCTCTGGGCGGGCGCCTACGGCTTTCAGTACGGAAGATGGGTCTGCGCGCTTGGAAAGAGCTCCGTTTGCCGCGGGGGGTGCAAATTTGGCTGTACGCTCGTGGGCAAGGGGTGCTGCGTGGAGGCGGGCGCCGCAATGGACGACGCCAGGCGGTGCTGTGCCGGGGTGTGCTGCCGGAAGCTGTGCGAGCGACGAGAAAGTGATGAGTTGAACAACGGCGCCATCCCGCCTTCCTGCGTGAATCCGTGCTGCAAATGCGAGCGGAACTCTGAGTCAGACCTGGGTTTGTGCGAAACCTGTTGCTCCTGCTGCTGCATTCTCGCAGGTGGCCTGGGTCAGGATTGCGGTCGTGGGTGCGAGGTCTTTGCGACGAATGTGATCAAACCTGTGTTTCAGGGGTGTGATTTTTTGTGCTGCTCATTGTTCTGGCCGGCAGTTCAATCTTGCTGCGGCAAGATTTTCTACCCGTGTGTGCAGAGCTGCTGTGAGTGTCTGCACTGTTGCTGTTGCGTGCCGCTGCGCTGGGGCTGCCAATTGGCTGCGGATGGACTGAGGGCGGGCGTCGAGGGTTGTACGAAGTGTGTGCAGTGTCTGCCGAAAGAGGTGGTGTGCGTGTGCGGGACGGTGACTGCGTTGGGCGCGGGCGCGGCCGGATGCTGGTTTTGTTGTTGTCACCATGCGGCCGCGGCAGGAGCAGCTGCAGGGGCGCATGCGGGAGCGACCGGGGGAGCTGGAGCTGCGGCCGGAGCAGGAGCCGGACTAGTGTAAGGAAAAAACGTAAACGCACTTGCGACGAGTGCGAGCAGGTCGAGCTGATCGCAGCGAAGAATCTATAATTCTTGCCAGGTATCTATCTACAACTACTGAAAGTGTCAACGAGCAGCATGAACTACAAATAGAAATAAGTATTTTCAATCGGTATCGGAAGGCATTACGAACAAGTACACGCCGCCGACCATACAAGTTGTTGAACTCGATGGATCTACATGTTTCTTTTACAGGCATCTTTTCTGATCATTCTTCAACATCTGCTCTGCATCTGCTGCGCACGTACTTTATTATGTAGACCTCCCACACTCAACAAGTAGGTGTAGCTGTAGGTTCCTACTGTAGGAACGACAGGATTATATCAGCCTTGTTGTAGTTCGTTGCTATTCGCGGTGGAAAGTACCAAATTTATGGAAATCCTTTTTGTGACGAAAAGGCGGTCGTGCTTTCGCCGTTGAAAGAATCTTTATGGAAATCATTATTGTAGTGACGAGTTGTACAACTACTTTCTCTTTCGCCGTTGAAAAAAACTATTAGACAGAGAAGTCAAAATATTGTGACGTTTTGAACTTGCACTGATGAACGAAGGACAACGTTTATTTACAGCACTAAACTCAAGAAAAATAAATTTGTGCTACGACGACGACCACCTGTATGATTATGATACTCAAACAAAATAAAGATTCAACGTAGAAGATGTGCTGTAGGTGTAGCACTTTGTACACAACAACATGAAGAAGTGCTGGCTTGTACACCGACAATTTTCTGGGGTTGCGGAACCAGTGACGAGTACTATGTGCTGGGCGACGGCAGCACTGTAGTACCTGTATCAACAACTCCGGACAAGAACCGGAAAGAAAACATCAAGGAGCGTCGATGTACTTTATCCGCATGTGAATCATTCCAGTCCCTACTTGCGGCTGATCGATGCGCGAGCGGGGCCACGGTGCGGCCTAAAGGCATTGCGGTACTAGGTTGCGCCATGTATGGAGCAGCACGAGACTAAAACCATTATATATACAGCAGTGAGAGGTCTGTATGTACATTCAGGTGAAGTGCGCTCCGTACTATCCATTCGACAGGTGTCGAAATGTTTAGCGATGGCGATTGTCCAGTACTGATAGAAAGGGAGACTGTGATTTGAGACATGATTTCATGCGCAACGTGAACATGATCCATGAAAAAAATCTACTTCACCAGCAGAAGAACCAATGTAAGTATTTACTAAACACGTTGTTCCTGTTCGTCGAATAGTAACCACGAGGGAAGTCGAAGTAGAAACACAAACAGCAAGAGAACATGAACATCGACGTGCCGCCTCCGCCTCGATCTACAACCTGCCCCTGCGGGAGGTGGTGAATCCAGATGTGGTGAGAGAGCGCGAACTTGTATGACAAGAAAAGTGTGAAAATCTAATAATCAATATGTTCATGTTGTCACTCGGTTCTACTTCGGCTTTCGAGAATAAAACTCACAAGATTTTTCAGATCCAGATGAAGATCAAGAACTACCTCAAGTAGAGACCTCTATCTCGGAGCGGGGGCGGCTGCCAGTATTACAATTCTGCCGAGGTCCTGGGATCATGAGTGGAGTCGGCTCCGTTCTGTGGAGCTGCAGAGAAAAGGAGCACAGATGACTGTAATCTACCTGCTCTACTAAGAATAGTGCCCGTGTATCCAGGCGTTTCGAAAGTAGAGTTGTAGAAGTACGAATCCGCGCGATTAGTTTCCTAGCGCAGGAGCCGTGTGGGTTGTGCGTTTGCCTTTATATGCACTTCCAGCTGCAATGATGTGATTCTGAACGTCAATGAATTTCTAAAGAATCTTCCTCGTGCTTCTCTACTTGGTGATAGTGTCAGTTCATCTTTCGCCGCTGCTAGTATGGCCCTCTTTCGAAGCAGCTGCCCTGCTCAACAGTAACTATGGACTCGTTCCTCGCCGGTGTTTGTGCTGGTTTGTCCACGGATTTGCTGCTCCACCCCATCGACCATCTGAAATGTCTGTACCAGACCCGCAGCTCCACCGCCGGCCTGCGGTCGTTGGCCGCGGTCTACCGCGGGTTTCCCGCGGTGGCGGCGCTGGGAGCCCCGGGGAATGGCGTGTTTTATCTGGTGTATGAGCACATGCGGGCAAGGAGCGCGACGGCGACAGTGGCTGCGTCGTCATCTGCTACACAGGTGAGGAGTGGGACGACGAGCAGCAGGGGCACCAGCAGCTGCAACGAGCAGGAAGAAGTCGTGGATGAACTACCTGCTCAAAGTCGTGTTGAAACATCATCTTCAATAAATGACCACCTGCAGCAGATTCTGCTCGCGAGCACAGCGGCGAGCGTCGCGGCGAACCTGGTGTACTGTCCCATGGAAGTCGTCAAGGAGACTTCTTTCGTTGAAAAAACCTCCACGCGCAAGACGTTGCAGAACTTGTTTCTGCAGCAGCAGCTCCAGGAGAAGCACTGCGAACCTGCTCAGAGTAGAAGTTCCGCACGGCCCCAAACGCAGAAGTTCTTCATATCAAAAGTAAAAATGTCTGGGTCTGGAAACTTGTGATGCTGTGTGGTATATCATGAGGAGGCCACAATTGCTGGCTCAGCATGACAAGTTTCTGAGCTTCTAGGTGTTGCCTATTCTGCATGACAAAGTACGTTTCTGCATGACAAAAAAGTGGGGCTCTTTGGTAATGTGCATGACAGATTTAAGAGTCATGCCAGACAAGCATGACAAACTTGCATTCTTCCAGACCCAGACACTTTTACATTTGATACTTCATCCCGGTTATCAATATTTTGAAGAAAATTTACCGTGGGCTTTTCTTCGCGAACCTGACCTGGGTGCCGTACTTCGCGATCTATTTCGGAATCTACGAGCAGCTAAAGTGGCGAGGCGGGGACGAACGAATTACAAATACTGCTACTACAACGGAGGAGCGTCCTGTGCCGGAGGTGCATCTACAACAACCTCAACCTCCCCCGCATGATGTTCATGGTGACGTTGCGCGTAATATGACAGGAGACGGGAGACGACCACGACGACCGCCGCAGCCGGTGCGTCCGCAATCAGCGACGACCGGTGCTAATGACGGGATGGTCGAGGACGTCCTCGCCAATGAAATACAAGGTGTTGAAAGAAGAACAGCCGCGAACGCCACGACACAGGAAGTTGAAGTATCGACAGGGGAAACTACAGCGCTTCTTTTCGCCGACGACGTCACTCGAGGGCTCCTCGCTGGCACAATTGCTGCCGCCTTGACGTACCCGGTGGACGTTTTGAAAACACGAGCACAGGCCGGACTCGGTGGTGGGTTGCTCATGATGTTTTCTGACTCTCATAACACGCAAAGCAGGAGTAGCATGACAGAAGCAGGAAGCAAAAGTGGTGGCTGCACCGGCAGCACCGGGGAAAGCACGAGACTTGACGTCAGCACACGACGATATCTGCGACTTCACAGCAAGGGAATTCTCACCCGCGTTGTGTGGCTTGCACCGGCTTCGGCATTGACGATCTCCTTTTACAACCTGTATTTTTCCTTGTTTCAACAAGCGAACAGAAGGAGAAACACAGACAGTACCAGTAGGGCAGAACGGTAAATTGTTTTTGAACTACGACGAACAAGCAGCAAGTGCATTTCATTCAAGCGCCGGAGCGACAAGGCCATGAGGCCAAGCCCGAGCACTGGAGCTTTTTTTCTTGCGTATTCCGAAAGATCAAAAAAGCTGTTCATATTCGGCGCGGTGTCGTTGATTATTTTGCAACAAAGGTAAAGATAAAGTTGTTTCACGGAATACGAATCAATACCAAAGCCGAAAGGAAAAGAAATATAAGTGCAGGATAAATGATGATGATGATAAGCCATGAAAAATTATATTTTCACATATTAAGTAATCGAGCCAGCAGGAGAGCGATTGCGATTATGGCACCGCGCCATCAGTATGACTTCGTGAGAACAATGTCGCGCAGCGAACAAAAGATGCTTGTGCGTTGTAGTCTCTGTGTCGTGTTCATCAGTCGACTAAGTACCCGAATGAGACAAAAACACCTGCACCTCTAGCGCTCCAGCTGCACACCTACCTGTTCTTCTTTCTCTGATCCAGCATTGCGGTATTGATTCTCAGTCAGCTTCACGCATGCAACCACTTTTGATGAAGCGCACGATCCCGGTTTTGTTGAATTGCCCGACTTTTTTCAATGAAGTGCACCAAACCTGGTCCGAACAAATGTTCAGTCAGGAACAGGACCCACGTTCATTCTCAGATACTTAAGTAGTTACGTTTACATGAATGTAAACAAACACTCAGCTCTTCAACTTCAACAACTAGCATGGCATCCTATTGGTCTCTTTTTCTTTTTTGTGTCGACCCATTAGCATGACTAGAACACGTGTAATAAAGTAGCACTACAGACACAGCACTACAAGAAGTCTAGCTCTGGCGGCAACTTCGCACTCGCACTGCAAATTGAAATACCGCAGGCATCGAAACCATGGCACCTGGTGCAGCGACCGCTGCCTCTTCCCTCATGCAAACCATGCGGACGGCTGCGCGCGGTTTCCGCCCGTCTGGTGGACAGAAATCGGCAGCCTATGCATACCTTTCCCATGGTGGACTCCATCGGTCGAACGGCGCGAGCGCTTTTCGATCACATGTCTCTGGGACGAAGGAAGGAGGCGCATCATGCGCAGACGTTGTGCCTGGTCGTTTCACATGCAGAAGAAACTTTGGCACAGCGAGCGGACGAGCATCTGCGGCGGGGACGTCGAGGAGCTTGCATTTCTTCCCGACGAGGAGAGATTGGAGTGGTCACACCTGCCAGACAGTACTGCCAATGAGACTTCCCACGACTACGACCTCCACCCGTGCGAAATTATTCCACCAGGGAGCTGCAAGAAGTGAACACCACCGAGGACATGGAGTCCTTGCAAGGCATCCATCACAAACGGCTCCGACTGGTGACGCCGCACACCAAGCAAGAAGTCTGCTGACCTCCGCTGGCGCGGCGCCAGACACAACAACTGCAAGAATAGACGGCAGGCCGTTTGTTGATACTTTTTGGGGAAGAAAAAATCTTAATCTTCTTTCCGCACCAGATCATGTAAATATAATCCGGAAATACGCAGCGGATGTGGAGAACATCGCAGCAGAGCAGGCTTTTGATCTTCACAAGAGTGCAGTTCGGGTTCCGCAGACGGCACCTGTCATGGTGCCGTGTAGTTCTACTTGTAGCGGACGGATTAGAACAAAACAACTATCTCCTGGTGCGGCCACCTCTGGGGGCGTTTTCGCAACACCGAGGATGCAGCTGTTTCAGAAGTCCCAAAGAACCAGTGCGACTTCGCTTTTTGCCAGTGGTTATTTGACCGCCACAAGTTGTTCTCCCACTCCCATGACCAGCAGGTCGTTTTCCTCTACCGCGTCGTCATCTCCGGCCGCAAGTGGTTCCTCCACTTCGCATATCAATTGCAGAAATGTCTGGGTCTGGAAAAGTGTAAACTTGTCATGCAGGTTTTCCATGACTCGTGAGGCTGAGGTCTGGAATGCGGGACCTAGCGTGACAGAGTCTGTGAGGTCTCTGCCATGCCTGTCCTGCATGGGAAAATCCCGCCAAACTTGGTCGAAAGTGGACACCGTTTGGCACTCATGCAACACAGATTTCTGCATGATTCAGATTTAGCATGACAAGTTGCAATCTTCCAGACCCAGACATTTTTACAATCCATATCGCCGCAGACAAAGGTCAATACGAACGAATACGGGATCCAGCCGACGAAAAGGAAGAAACCCTCCGCGATTGACGTGCACCGCCGGGCAGTACCGGCGCCGCCAAGGGAAGCGGTATAAAAATCTTATATGTATTTTTGAGAAGCAGCACAAGCAGGGACGACACTGAATACGACATAGCACATGTTGCTCTGAGCGAGCACGACATCGACATAGCACCAACCTAGATCATGTACTTAATGTTAATGATGAAATTGAAATTCTCTATCAACAGGCCCCGTTTCAGGAGGTTGGTTCTGCCAACGAGGCGGCCAGCAATTTGGTGAACCTTTTGGTGATGCGCGACACCAGCAACAACCCCTTTCGGCTCTTTTTCGGTTTGGCGTTCGGCTACCTGACCGGGTTCGTGGCGCACAGCTTCATGGGCATCTTCGACGTGCTGTGCGTGTTCTCCACGACCTTCGGGTGTCTAGGGTATTTGTTCGTGGTCGGCAGCAACTTCTCCCCGCTGTTTTACTTCTTCACGGCACCCTTGGTGCTATTTCTCGGGACCCCGTATTGGGACCAGTATTTCGGGCTTGGTAATGTGGAGGAGGAAAAAGTTCCGCGGCCGCGACACCGGGAGAAGTACTAGATAGAAGTTGGAAAGCTGACAAATACTTTTGAACTTGGGCAGCTTCTACGGGTAGAAGTATACCGGTACAACTGGCGAGGGGGAAGGCGTTTTTATTCGAGGACAAGATTTACATGTTGTAGCGGCCGCAAATGTCCCCAGCCCCATGCTCGCCGTCAGAAAACTACAATGACGATAAACGACTCTGACGCAGCACACACAGGGAGCTGCGGCGCATTGAAAAGTAGCTTATTTTCACATTTAATGACGAACAACAACAATTGAACGACGACGACCAACAGAGGGACAGCAGAGTTCTTTGAAAGTAGTAAAGTTCAATAAAAACGGTTTGCGGGCGAGGCAAGAACTCTTCGAAAGTTGTTCCGTCCTTCGGCATGTGAAGAAGGCACTGAACTTTAGTGTTTTCCCCTGACAAAGAACACAAGAAAACGAAAAGTATTCAGTTTGAGGAGTGAATAAAGTTAACTCTGAGGTGGTCAAAACCTTTGTCGAGCGTAGAAGTTGTACCACATGAAGCTGCACCTGCGATTTAGCATCATGTGTGTGAGTTTTAGAAGAGGGGCGTCTAATGTAAGTACTGCTCGTCTTCTGGTAGCGGATGCGGGGGCGTAAGGGTAAAGAACGCAAATAACGAACCGAGCCCGAGGAGCGACGGGTCAGGTTGAAAGGAGAAGTAAGTCACATAATTACTCACCACTCTTGTCAAGATGTCGAAGAGTTCGTTGCACTCACAGTCGTCACTGTCCTCGGTCGGCGGGGCTCTGATGCGGACCGGGGGCACACCTCCCGGGGGAACTACAAGCACGGAGGAACAATCAGCCGGGCCACGACGACTGAGCGGGCAGAGCAGCAGCAGCTCATCGCGCAAAGCGCCGTTAGACATGAACAAGTATCCTGAGTAAAAACGTACCCACACCAGAGTCAGGATGGGGATTTTGCAACACAAACCTAGGAGTTTTGTGAGTCACGACGCATGACAAGTTGCACTCTGCAGTGTAGTGCAGGTTAGCAAGTGCAGCCGCATCACAGATTCATCTGCTCATCCTGTTCACAGCATCACAAATTCCAAAACACAATTGGAAATGGCTCTCATGGGGATGCGCATTACAAGTCTTCCTGTCTTTGCAAATCTCCATTACAACTCTGGTGTGGGTACGTTTTTACTCAGGATAACAAGCCGAGAACTGCTACGCCCGCATCCGCGTCTTCTAGTAGTGCATTTCAGTCGAGACAGCAGCAGCAGCAGCAGATGCAGAGTCACCAACAGCGGCAGAATGGTCGTCCTCTAGTCGGCCCAACAACTACGTCAAGTTCTTCCTCCTCAGCCACCGCAGGAGCTGCACGACCGCAGGTGGTGATTGAAAATCGGGGCGGGAAACCTCGCGCAGTGTGGCAGTTTTTTCCCGAAGGAGCGAATGAAGACGACGATGAGGGCTCGGACGAGCAGGGCAGCTCGGACCCGCAGAAACGGGTCAAAGAAGCGGCTTTTGACCAGACCGTGCGGCTGCAGCGGGGGGAAGACCCGGAGCTGCGCCGGATTCGGCAACTCACCACGAAACAAAAACACTTCTCGCCGACGCAGGACTTTAAGTATAGAATAAGAATTGTTTTTGCAGGCCGCTATGTCCGGTGTTGTAATTCAGCACCGTCGCTCCTGTTTGTTCTGTCTTGCATGTTGAACAATACATACATAGGCCTGTGTTTGTAAATACATTGATTACAAAAATGGGTCGCCTCTAATGGGTGCAATGAAAAAGTGCTGACACTCACTGCTACTACACAGGTATGGCGAGAGCGACTTCGAGCCGGAGTTCGACGAGCCGGGGCGAAACGACCAAGAAGTTGCATATGGCGCTCTCAACTGTTACATTCTCAACTGTTTTACACGGATTTGTCATGCAAAATTGCCATCAGCCTCCACTTGATCAAGGTGCTTAGCATGACAAATTTTCGAAGGACTAAAGCTAAACAGCATGGCGATCTGTGGAAAATCTGTGATGCGAAAGCTGCAATATTGCCACTTTCACTGTTGCTGCTCTTTGCATTTGAAATCCATGTAGCAGTTGAGAGTGTAACGTTTGAGAACGCCATATTGCACCGGAGGAGCGTGTGGGTTTCTCTTTTGCGGCCCGCCGGAGTCCGGAGGAATTAGCTTCGGTCATCAACAAACGCGTGGATATTCTGTACTCGGATCACAAGGTATAATACGGATGGAGTTGGAGTAGACCACGGGAAGGGGCAACACAAACATTCTCGTGGTCCTAATTAATGCGCTGACACTGGTCGTGAGCATGACCAACAAGTTTTGCCTAGTTTCTTCTAAGCCATTTGCGTGTGTTTCATCAGGCAGGAAATGAAAATAAACTCTTGTTGTTCAGTGACAAAAAATTAATTTAGATTCGCGCGATGCGACGGGAAGCGCTGGTCAAGGAGAAGGAGCGGATGGAGGAAGAATTCTACAAAATGCAGCAGCAGTTAATGTCCGGCGCAACGAAAGCAGGGCGGAAGGATATCCTGGGCAAAAACGTCCCTATACCCATAAAAGTCAAGTTGGGATCTCTGCAACGCAAAGCTGGCGGAAGTTTTGGAAATAACGCATGACAAGTTTCTCGCTGTTGCATTGCAGTGCAGGTAAGCTGCAAGCAGAAGCACAGCCGCATCACAAAATCATATCCTGAGCCCCTGTTTGCGGTGTTACAAATCCGTCAAAATACCACGACTAGAAATGGAAGCGCCTCTCTTGTTGGGGATGCGCATTGCAAATGTTCGTCCATGACCACAGCCATGGGGTGGGGACGTTTTTACGCAGGAAAAAGGAGATCAACATCGATGAGTTTCACGAATACTGGAAAGAGCGCGTGCAGGAATACCAGGATACGCAGATGATACGACAGAAGCTGAAAGAGGTACTTCTAGGAATGTTTTCTCGACGGTTGTACGCGATACGATGTAGTAAAGTACTTCCTGGGTGGTCCTCCCCCCCCCCGATGTGTCGTGCGCTCTCGTAGCATAATCATGTGCACAGCACGACGCGTTGGTCGCATGACTACTTACACCGAACGACAAGAAGAGCAGTCTTCTCTCCTACCGAGCAAAAATGTTCTTGGATCCTTGTCCGCGCCCGCCACTGGCAGCACTGACTTGAAAAACAGCAAAAAGAAGCAGTGAAGGAGCGCGAAGAGTTGGCGGAGTGCACCTTTTATGCAGCGCAAAAGTATCGTACTCGTATAAATGCGTTACAAATTTCCTAAGCATGAGAAATAATGCGGATGTACCTTAAGAAAAACAAAAAGATGCATGGCTGCAATACGAGTAGGTGCGATACTTTTGCAGAGCATACCTTCAAACCGGACCTCGGCGGCAGTGATCGGTGGTCGAAGGCGAGGCAGCAGGTGATAGGAAAATACAAAGAAAAGTTCCTCCGGATGGCCACGTTGCAGTTTCGGGAGCTGAAATCACTGGAAGAGTACTTCTACTTTTAGTTTATTTAAGTGACTATTTCATTGCGCGATTTGAAATTGAATCTCGAACAAAAATGCATGATTTAGATGTGCCTCGTAGTTCTTGCGCATCTTGCTGCTCCTTCCGTCTTTGCGCGGTCGCAGGCTGACAAGCTCCTTTCGCAGGCGAACAAGCGCAGAGCTGCTGCAAAAGGAAAGAATAAGAAAGAATATCAAAAACTACATTGATAAAACCTTCACCAAACACCAGCCTTCACACCGTGGAGGCCGGGGTCGAGTACAATCTGAAGCTGGAGTGCGAACAGAAGCTGACCGAGGTCCTTCAGGAGAACCCGACCCTCGTCGACCGATTTTTGTCCACGGAGAAGGGGTCCACTCTGCTGAAAAACCGCACCCAGGCCTACCTGCAGGCCAACCCGCAGATCGCGAAGGACCGGGCGGAGGCGGAAGCGCTGTCGGACATCTTGAACAAGAGTCGCGAGAACATCCGCGACCGCGTTCTGGATGATTACCGCGCCCGGCGGATCCACCAACGCCGGGCGCTGGCAATACGGAAACTGCACGTCGTCGTGGAGCTGCAACGACTCGAACACGAATACCGAGAAATGGCGCTCAACGTCAAGGTATCAAATGTAAAAATGTCTGGGTCTGGAAGATTGCCAGGTTTGTCATGCACATTTTGCATGACTCCTGAGGTCTCTGATGCATGCCCTAGCATCACAGATTTTGTGAGGGCTTCCTGATCCCTATACCGCATGACAGATGCTCTCTCCGTGTAGCAAAACTTGGGCTCTCTTTGCTGCTCATGCAATACAGATTTTGTTAGAATCCAAAATGAAAATCAGCATGACAAGTTGGATTCTTCCAGACCCAGACACTTTTACAATCCATACAAGGGGGATAAGACACTGGTATAGTGCTTCGTGATGTAGTTCTCTCGCCTGATGAAGAACTTTGTCTCTGTTTTTTGAAATTTCTGATCACCAATTTGTATGTCATGCAGTTCGTGCTAGTATCCAAAAAAATGCAATATTGGCAAGACCATGACCATGAAACCTCCCCCCTCCCAGGTCGTCGCCGCCATGAAGGCCATCGAGGCGGACTACCATGCTAAATACGGCAACAAATTTACGCCGCCCACCCGGGAATCGGTCAGAACGCACGAATATGCACTGCAAAAATGTCTGGGTCTGGAAACTTGTGATGCTGTTTGGCGAATCATGTGGACGCCTTCATTGACAGCCAAGCATGACAAGTTTTGGAGCTGCTATAGCGTTGCCTATCTGCGTGACAGACTGCGTTTCTGCGTGACATAGAAATGTGGCTTTTGTGTGGCGCGCATGACAGACTTGAGAGCCATGCAAGCTGTGCATCATGACAAACCCTGCACTCTTCCAGATCCAGACCCGGACATCTTTGCATTTGATAACGAAACGGAGTCCAGTACCACACGAAAAAGCGCGACCGTGGAGTTCCGGAAAGAGAAAATGCACAATTTAGCACCAGAAAAGCCAACGGACAGTGCCAGCTCCAAAAATTCCTCCCGCGGCTGGGGGCGGCGGATGGCCGGCGATCCGCTGCGCCGGGACGGGGGGAACAAGCCGAAGCTTCCCTCGAAGGCGGAAGAGCAGAAGCTGCAGGATATGCACCGCAAAAGTATCGCACTAGTTGTAGAAATTGCATTACAAATAATAAATTAGCTTAGCATGACAGATACAATTTGTGATGCTTTTTTAGCTAAGGAAGGCGATTTGTCATGCATATCTGCAATTAGTTTTAGTACGAGTACGATCATGCTTTTGCACTGCATACAGGAGCAAGAGGAGCAAAAACAGGCGGAGGAAGTCCGGAAACGGGGCAGCGGGATGTTCTTCCAAACCGACTTGGTCGCCCGTCTCAAGAAGGAGCCCTGGTTTCTCGTCGCCAAGCACGCCGCGGCCACGGAGACCATGGCACAGCAGCGCGCGGAAATGCTGGAAAGGGAGAAGGCGGAGGGCGGATTGCCCAAATTCCCCGTCAACCAGTGCATCGGCAGCCACATGGCGTGAAGTGAAGCAGTCCGAGGTGTTACTTAGTAGTGTGCTGCGGTGGAGCTGTGGCCGCTCCGTGGGTACTTCAGTTAGTACTTCTCCTTCGTTCACGTGATGTCGTGAGCTGGTGGCGCTTTTTTTTACGGAACAGAAGAAAAATTGTTTCCGTTCTCCAGAAGAATAGACCCAGAGATTCGAGGTTGGGTATAATTCGTCGACCCTTGATGTGGTGGCCCACGGTGTAGCATTTTCTTGTTTTCATAAGCTTTTCTAAGTTGTGATAGTGGAGCCATACACTTCTAAAGCAGATGTGTTGAGTGCTTCGCCCTGTTGATAATTGAAAGTACTATCGACTAATATGTGAAGATATGTCCCCGCGGCCCGCTTTGATAAGTAGAAATGTGCGTAGTTTCCGTTTTTTGAAGTTTAGCCGCGGTTTCGCTTCTTTGTGATTCTTGAACAAGATGAGTCGATATTATAACCTGCTCAGGTGTTACAGTCTCAAGCGTTACAATAGAATCTAGAATTTGTGTTGCATGACGAGCATGAAAGACTCGCGCAGCGTTCCAGCTTTTGCACTACAAATTTCGCCGGCGATCCGCTGCGCCGGGACGGAGGGAACAAGCCGAAGCTTCCCACGAAGGCTATGGCGTTCTCAAACGTTACATTCTCAACTGTATACATGAATTTGTATTATGCAAAAACAGCAACAGTCAAAGGGGCAAGCTTGCTGCTTTCGCATCACAGTTTTTTTTGGCACAGATTTAGACGCTGTCTAGCCCTTCGAATATTTGTCATGCGAAGCAGCTTGAAGATCATCTAGCAGCTTACGGTAGTTTTGCATGACCAACTCATGTAAACACAAACAGTTGAGAATGTAACGTCGTCTGAAAACGTCATAAAGGCGGAAGAGCAGAAGCTGCAGGAGCAAGAGGAGCAAAAACAGGCGGAGGAAGTCCGGAAACGGGGCAGTGGGATGTTCTTCCAAACGGATTTGGTCGCCCGTCTCAAGTATCAAATGCAAAAATGTCTGGGTCTGGAAGAACAAGAATGCAACTTGTCATGCTAAATCTGAAGCATGCAAAGACCTGTGGCGCTGGGAGCGGGTGTCCACTACATGATGATGATGATGATTGCGCGATTACCAAAAGTCGTCCAGTTTTGACCAAGTCGGGAAGGAGTTTCTCATGCAGGAAAGACATGATTTAGAGACCTCAAAGAATCTGTCATGCTGGGTCTCGCATTTCAGACCTCATGGGTCATGGAAAACCTGCGTCACAAATCTTGCGTTCTTCCAGACCCAGACACTTTTACAGTTGATATCAAGAAGGACCCCTGGTTTCTCGTCGCCAAGCACGCCGCGGCAACGGAGACCATGGCACAGCAGCGCGCGGAAATGCTGGAAAGGGAGAAGGCGGAGGGCGGATTGCCCAAATTCCCCGTCAACCAGTGCATCGGGAGCCACATGGCGTGAAGTGAAGCAGTCCGGGGTGTTACTTGGTAGTGTCGGTGGAGCTGTGGCCGCTCCTTCTTGGGTACTCCAGTTAGTACTTCTCCTTCGTTCACGTGATGTCGTGAGCTGGTGGCGCTTTTTTTTTTCAGAGCAGAGCCAAAGCCAAAAAATTCAAATTGTAAATTCCGTTCTCCAGAAGAATAGACCCAGCAAAGTTTCGAGGTTGGGTATAATTCGTCGACCCTCGTGGGGTCTAGCATCTATTTCATAAGCTTAAGCTTTTCTAAATTGTGATAGTGGAGTGTGTCTGCTTCGCCCTGTTGATAATTGAAAGTAGCGACGGATATGTGATGTGTCCCCACCCGCTTTGATAAGTAGAAATGTGCGTTTCCGTTTTTTGAAGGTTAGCCGCGGTTTCGCTTCTTTGTGTTTCTTGAACAAGATGACTCGAAATGAGATTGATATATGATTTTCGATTTAATTGTGCCAGAAATGCTTGAAGATAAGCAGCTGCTTTTTTTACAGCCAGCCGGCGTATTTTCGTTTGTATAATTTACTATCACCAAAGACAGAGCATGTTTCCGCTCGTCCTGAGATAATGAAAAACAAAAGTACAACAGAAGAAAGAGAACTCGTCTGCTTTTGGCAGAGAAAACACGAACAAATGCAGCGAAGCTAGCCGTGATATCCAAGAACTCCCGAGATGAAAAAGTACAACTTTTGTGACCTTGTTGCAACTTTATGTGGAAGTGGATGAAGACCCTGGCCTGACCCAGGAACCATAGACCAGCCTTCTGCCTGCCGCTCCAGCATACTTTGTTCTCAACAATGGAAAAGGCCAAACTGGAGGCCTTTTTTATCGGGAAACCTGCTACTTTCTGTCCACCGGTTGTGTGACATTCATTGTTGGAGGCGCAGCAGCACAGCAACCGAGGCCTGCCTCAGTTGGAGAGATAACTGAGCTCGGTTGGGTACCGAAGTTTTTCGCTGTGCTCTAGACGCATGAAGCAAGATTCTCGTCAATTGCTTTGCTAGCACAGGTGGAGAGAAGTCATATTACAAATACATTGTCGGTGCCCTGCTAGCGTCTCTGTCTGGTGAGCAGGCCAAAGCGCAGTCGAGTATCGGCGCATCTGGTTCAGCTATCCGATGTAGTTGAAAGAAAGAGAGATAAAGAGGGTGAGTTTCAGAAATTTTACACCAGTGGTTTTCACGCGCAAAGGATATTACGAGAAAATACAGAAACAGAATGAAGAACAACGACTGTAACGGAAGCGTGGACCCATAATTCCACCGTGTTCCATCGTTTCCGCAAGCACGATCAGCCGCAGCTCTGCTACTTTCGCCAAAACGAAGACAGGAGGTTTCATCATGAGACCCCGATCTTCGACCGCCGGGGCGGGTGGTGCCATGATGTTGAACCGGTATAACCATAACAGCAGCGGCAGCACTTCTTCTGGCCAGCGGACTTCTGCGCACCAGGCTCCAACCAAACCCTTGAGCAGCCTGGACGCCGTGAGTAATTTGGAGATGCACTTTGTCCATCACGACCTGTGGCAGGAGGGCCAGTTTCTTACGCTCATCGAGCAGATCGAGGCCTTGTCCAACAAATTTGTCCGGGTCTGCGATGTACACAGCCGGAATTTATCCCGCGCAGACATGCTGGCGACCATGCGTACCCCGTACGCACTGGAACAGTGCAGAATCAACCGCGATCAGGAATTTCAAGGTTTGATGAAGATTCCGATGCGTTTTTAGTAAATGCTAGTGTAGTTGTGGTCGGCGCAGCCGGAAGTGCAACAAGAAAAATTTGTTTATAACATAAGAAAATAAGAAATCCACCAATAAAAGATCGAGAATGCTTGTTTCTAGCACAACATCTACCAAAAAACAGAGATCGCTGCGGTCGCCACGGCGGAGCTGAAGGGGCTCTCGCAAGACATTGCGGAGGCGGAATCCTCTGTGCCAGTGCTGGCAATAGATAAACAGGCGCGGGGGATGCTGAAGCAAATGCAAACGGTATGTTACTGATTTTACGAATTTTGCTGTAGTGCATCTACGTAAAAGTTTTTCATGACTTGCAATTTGGCTGTACTAGATTTTGCGTGAAGAGTTCGTTTGACGACGTAGACTATCAGAAAACTACTCCTTGAAACAAATACAGAATGTCCTCCAGGAAGAGCAGGACCGCATTGCAATGCTCGAGTCCGCTCTAACGAAAATGGAAACGCGCTTCAAGGAGGTCCGCACTTCGCTCGCAGACGCGGCACAAGTCAGGAGAACGTCACACGACAGACTACTGGGGCTGATAGAAAACGTACTTGTGAAAGAAGTAGTGGTTCTTGTGAATTGATGGTTCGGTGTTGAAGCTAGCACAGAAGATGTAATTCCGTATCATACATGGGAAAACATTTATCTTCTTGCATTTGCAAATAGCTGAAATACAAATACAAGAAACGGAAACGTACAACACCCCAGTGCGAGTCGTCCCTCGGATCCCACCTGGAAAACGAGCGGTACGCACGGCAGGCCGCAGCGGAGCGGATGTTGAATCTGTTCGAAAACCTGCTAGGCTGCGTGGAGTTGCGACAAGAGCAAGAGGCACTGGCGCCCCTGATCCGACCCACGAGCGACGGCGGGCTTTCGCCGCGAACCATGCGGCTGCTCGCCCAGTATGGGCGTGATGCTGGAGGAATCAAATCCGCACAAGCAGCGGCTCGCGGACTAGCTACTGGTGGAATAACGACAGCTATCTCAAGAAAAAAGTGTTACAGTTACACATTTGTTGGAGTTTCTGCATCACAGATTTTCTCTGCGTGGCAGAGAAAACTTGTAATGCAAAGATCATAAGGGAAAATACGTAGAAAACGAGACTCGCAAGCACTTCCTGGATGTTAAAAGTTGTCTGTCTTGCGGCCCCCTCAACACAATGTGTAACTGTAGCACTTTTTTCTTGCGATAACAGCAGGACGAGCTGCAGGAGGACCTTCAACATCAGCGGCGCAGATGATGCAGCGACCTGCAGGTAGAGCCAGTCCAGCCCCTTCTTCGTCACCCAACGGACTTCCTTTTAGCGGCAAGGAAGAACCCCCGACATCATATTCCCTCTTCGGTCCACCGAGTGGACCTCCTCGCACAGCACCGCACCAGGGCATCTCCTCCTCGTCTGCCAGTAGCTCCACAGCATGGCCGGGCGCAATAGACGCGGGGAACCCGAGCAGCGTAGCAGCAGCAGACGAGAAAGAGGATCTGTTTCTCTTCCAGCGCGGCAATGTTGATGAAGCTCGACCAGGACCGTCCACTTCGTCCTCGTCAAGGCCGGGAATGGTAGTAACTGGCCAACCTGCGAATGATAACGACGAGGACATAATCCTCGAGGATATATTAGTGGACGAACCCCCAGCCACCGCACCCGCAGGGTCTGCGCCCTCCTCACTTCCAAGGGCCTGGGCGGGGCTGGACTCGCTGGCATCGGAACAGGATAATTTGCCACCAGTGCAGGCATTCACCCGGCCGGCTGAACAACGGGGCGCCGTGGACCCGTCTCTAGCAGACATGTACGCTAGTATCAAGTCCAGGCTGCACATGGAACAGAACCAAAATCAAAATGACTTTTTGGACCAGCGGGACGGTTTTGGTGAGTTATAGAGGTGGCCTCTGAAGAAGATGGTCAGTCAATATATGCAGGACTGACTGCTGCTGGTGCTGTACAACTGCGCATGAAGTTCTTTCGCTGTTCTCGTGAGTGTTGGTACTGTCTTCATTCATGTCCTCCACCCGGCTTCCTGACACTCCTAGTCGCACCGGATGAGAAGACTCCCTGATTTCCATAGGTGAAAAAAACAACAACGACCAGCCAACATAGACCAAGCAAGAACAGCACCAATTGCAACAATGTTTGCTCCATCAACAGTGCTGTTCGTGGAAGTTCCGTTCTGGTTCTTCTGCTACGTAGTGCCTTTTTTCAGCGAGCACTCTCCCACTAAATCTAGATCACAAGTCACACGCCTCGACGCCAGAAGTAACATCATTTTCGACGGCGCATGAACGCGATCTGAAATTCCCGTTTTGGGCTGCCAGGAATTTTTCAAAGGATATATTCCGAAACTCAGCAATAAACGCCACTATCATGTCAAAATACGCCCGTCTTCTTCGGCGCGCGCTCGACAGCGCGCGTGAGAGATAAGCTTGTCGCGTGAGTAGAAAAAGAGAGATACGAGAGTACTGAAATAAATGCCGGAGGGAAATACTATGTGTCATTCAGTTTCAGACTTTTAGATTTAGAAGTTGGGATGGGATGGGAATCAGGTGAAGATTGGCGTTGCCTCTTACTCAGTTCCTCGATAGACAGGAGCGGGCTTTCATCTGTTCGCAACCTGGCACACGACTAGAAAGGAGCAGCGTGGTCACCTCTCAGGCCTGAACACAAGCCGGAACCCTAAACCCGTTTATGTATTAGGTCGTCTTACAAAAATGATCTGTAAACTATTTTTTACTACTGCGTCGCTATACAAGTAAAAACCCTAAACCCGTACAAGTAGTTCTTCACAACGAACTGGCGCATCCACTGTCTTGTCCGTCCATGGCATGACCAGCCGCAACAGTTGTTGCTTCTGTTAAATACATCTGTTGCTGGTCATGACAAGTAGAAGTAGCAGTCCTGAGTGTTATTCTATCTTGTGTCGAAGTGCTTTTAATCCTCGTTCGTTCTTCGGGTCGTTGAGCGCTGTGACTCGCAATGAGGTGTTGTCATTAAGTACGATAAAGATTAGTAATCGCATTTTCGTATAATATTGATAATATTGTTGCTTCTTCTGCCTCTCAGACCTCAGTGTCACTGTCCTGTGAGTGCCACTTCCCGGTGGATCATAGAGCGTGTCCGGTCCGCGAAGTTAAAGCTGGCACGATATGGGCAGAAGTGTAAGTGTTCCACGCACGATAGAATAAGTGCATCAAATAGAAAACCTCCTCCTCCAGTAGTTGTTGCGTCGTTCGTTTTCCCGTTCTTACTTCCGTCCCTGCATTTTAGGACCTGACCACAAAAACCAATTTTATCAACTTGCTCGATTTGTTTGCCAAAATGGGGCAGGTATCTACGGTTGTGGAACGAAATGATGCCCTTGTCACTGAGGAGGCCAATGCGCCACTCGATTCTCCTGTACCTGCAGGTAAGAAACCGGAGCTCCAATCTTTGAGCGCAGTCTGGGCGTCGCCTAATGGGCATCTGGAGCAAACCGAGATTAAGGCCGTAGTCGATAACTTTATTTTCCATCTGGAGAAAGAGCTGCAAACACTAGAAGAGAAAATAAACAAAAGTGCGGCCGCACCCACAAGCAAAGAGACAAGCAAGGAGGAAATCGGCCCCATCATAGAAACAGTCATCAAATTCCTCCAAGCCGAGTTCGAGGCGTTAGTAAAAGAGCAAGAGGACGCCGTGAAATTGCCGTGGAGTAGTATGACGGGAGACAACAAGGCGAAAGAGCGTATCGTGGTCGGTTCGGGGTTGATGAAGGCTTTGAACAACCTACTCCGAAAACCCTCGGACGACTCCGAACTCCACACGGAATTGAGTGCGCTTCTCACCGCTTTTGAAGAAGAAGAGCTGCCTGTCTACGCGGAAAAGACGACGCTGGAGGCTGCGGCTTCGGCTGCGCAAGGCAGTACAGCAGGGGAAATAAATGAAAAAGAACAAGAAGAGGAAAAAACAGCATCTGAAGCCAGGAAAAGGTTCCAGGAGAACTTGAAGAAGCTCTTGGAACATGCCAAAGCTCTGCCCGACAAAGAGACGGGAACGTCATCTTCTGCAATCGAAAGTCGGCAGCTTAACTACTTCGAACTAGATCAACCGGATCAGCCAGAGCAACGACAACGGAAGCAAGACGCCGCAGGTACTGAACTACCGCATCGAGATCCAGGTAAAAGTAGCAACGTCGTTCCAACTGCCGAGGTCCAGCACAAAAACCAAGACATTTTTCACGATAGCAATGCGAATACCAACGATCGAGAAAAAACGGCGTTGCCTGCAGTGCGTAGTGATCCAGTTACAGCACCACATGAGCACCGCGCAACACAACTCACAACGCCCGAGAAGACGTCGGAATCAGAGCAGCACTACACCGGTGGTGCTCACGACGACTCCGATTGGGGGCAAGACCACAATAACAAGCAGCAAAAACAATTCATCACTGGTCAAAAGCTGCAAGCCATGACCGTTAGCGTTATCGATCCCCTCGCTGCAACCGAAACGGACCAAGAACAGCACGTACCGTCGGAGGCGCAAACTTCTTCGACCCAAGAACAACTTCTGCATCCAGGGCAGTCCTTGTCCTCGTCCGACTACAGTTCGTCTTTCATTCAATCGTACGTGGTCCAACCGATTTCCGGCTTCGTCAACGGAGCAAGTGCCACCACCTTTGAACAGGACACGAACTACAAGCAGATGCCGAACACCGATCACGACAATGGCGGCCAGCAAAGTGATGACACCTTTCACTTCAACAAGAAACAGCAACAAAGCACGTCTTCACGTCCTTCCGGGTACGAAATCAACCTCGCGCATCACCACCTGACTGCGCACGAAATGTACGTCAGCGCGTTGCTCATCTTGTTCGTTGTCGGTGGCGCCTTTCGCTGTTTCTTCTACCACCCGGTCGCCGGTGCGGGACCGAGCCAGAAGCTGATCGCGAACACAACCGGGATCGTAGGCGTCGTCATCTTTTTCCTGCTGTTCAGCTGGTTTGTGACGACTTCCACAGTAATCGGAGCGGAATACTCGCAAGCGGTGAATTTCTGTACGGTGCTTTCAGTTTTGGTCGCACTATTGGTGTTTTGCTACTTGCAGACGCGAAGCGAAGCCGGCTCGGCGCAGCCACGCGAGACCACGAGCATCAGCAAAAAAAAGCTGAATCGTCCCACTTCTGGTGGTCAAGGGGGTTATGGCACTCTGAGCAGCGGTGCCGGGGCCGGTGAGAAGTTTTATTCTTTGTTGTCTGTGTGGGTGCTGTTCTTGCTGTTTGACCAACATGAAATCCATGTTTGTTTCCATTCGACAGCAGTTTCAAGTACTTAGTTGTGGTGTAGGACCAGAGCTGCATGAAGATATGAAAAAATATAATCAAATGAAAAATACGCAAGGTCAAGCTTGTCGCGACACGCTTAATGGTGACACCGGTGCGGCAGCGGCGTCCGGAAATGCAACGCCCCCGCCCGCCTCGACTCCTACTAGCTTGCCCTGCAGCTGCTCCTTGAATGCTGGCACATCGTCGCAGTCTCCAGTTAACACAACTTGTGGGAAGAGCGACGCAGCGACGATGGTAAAAGTGCTCACTATCGATCCACTCATTTTTTGATGCAGTAGCAGTGGCATTTTGTTTTGAAGATGGTCGTCGAGGTCAAGCTGATCATCATGTTTTAGAAGTCGGACGACATTTTCATTTAGTGTTCAAGTGCCTGCCATGTCTGTAATCCACCCGTGCAAAAAATTACTCCTTGAGGTCACGACCGCCGGCGACAAGAAGAAAAAGTTGAAAATCGAGATGAACGCGGATGAGGAGCAGATTGCTGTGGAGCTCCTGGAGGACGAACTCTACGACTTCGACGACTTTGGTACATCCGATCCGGACTCGTGGTTCAGCCAATGGCTGTGGCGGCGCGTCTATCAAGTGTAAAACTAAAAATGTCTGGGTCTGGAAAAATGCAAGTTTGTCATGCTTGTCTGGCATGACTCTTAAACCTGTCATGCACGTTACCCAAGAGCCCCACTTTGCTGTCATGCAGAAACGCAGTTTGTCATGCAGAATAGGCAACACCTAGAAGCTGAAGCTCAAGAGCTTGTCATGCTGAGCCAGCACTTGTGGCCTCTTCATGATACGCCACCCAGCATCACAATTTTCCAGACCCAGACACTTTTACAATCCATAACGTCTTTGGCGACCCGCAGGATTCGGGTTTGATGGATCCGACGAAGAATGGCGGCCCGCCGTCGAACGCGGCGGCGAAAGGACACTAGTTGTGGGTATGATGCTGCGACATGTGAAATCTTGATTCTTGAAAGTGAATCACTCTGCTGAATCTACTAAAATTAAAAGAATTCGAATTGATGAAAGTCAGAAGTATCGATAAACGCGCACCGACACTCTGCTCTGTAAGTGAAGGTATAACTATTCTCCAAGTGCAAGTTTCTGTTTCAGTTTGTTTCAATAATTTAAATTCGCTTTTGAATATAGGACAAGGATACAGGTGTGAAGGATTCCTCTCCTCCTTCCACCTTCGAATGAATAAATTTTGTACCTACAATTCATGATATGAACAATACCCAGCAACACAATCACACTGAGAGTCGCGATTAAAAATGAATTGAATTAAAATATTTATACATATAATATATAAATCTGAATTGTCGTGCGAACAAAGAGAAAGAATTTCCACGGGTACTACAGCGGACGCGCACCCCGTCTTCGTCAGAAGTATGATGTCAGCGCCAGTACACATTGACATTAGAAGAAGTCCGAGGCTGTATTTATTCTCAAAGAACTTTTATTTCACCAATTGGTCGCGTGCGAGTGCGACACACGTAGAACTGTTGATCTTAATGCTACGTTTCTAATCTTGTTTCGCTTGCTTCAGTCTCAATATTTGTTTTTCTCCTGCGTAAAAATCAATATCCTTTTTTAATTATCGTGGTGATCCTACCTGTTTGTGTTTGTACTCGGGATCAAAATCAATTGCGCTCTGCCTGGAATCAAGAACTGCAAGTGCGCTAGCGGACTTCTTCACTGACAGTGGTGACTGATGGGCCGTGCGAGAAGAGAAGTAAATGTGTCCTGCCGAAGAAGTGGTAAGATGGAACTTTTTCACACCTGGTCGCAGTGTCTTTTACTTTTTCTTTTTCGGTTTGCGAAAGCAATTCACCTAGGTGCATAAACAAATTAATAACAATTTATGATGAAACCCATTCGCAAAAAAAAAAAGAAAAACTGCAGATGAATCAACCTCGTCCTGCAGAAGAGCAAAGGCGTTGCGAAGATCTCCTTGTCCAAGAAGCTGTCACGCCCAATGCCAAAATGGAACCTCGCTTTGGGGAGATAGATTCGGACGCGTACCTTGCTGGTAGGAAGCAACCTTGTGGCACAAGTCGCAAAAGTCGGAGCAGAAAAAATCCCAAACATCAGGGAAAACGCGATGCCAGCGCCAGATCACTGCGATTATCGAGAAGCATTGGAAGCGTGTACGTTTTCTCTTTTCTTTCATTTCTTTGCTGATCTTGTAGAGTGATTCGATTTCGGTCACTAAAGCCGATCACCGAAAGCGCCAACATTCAGTAAAGAGCACAACAGGGCAGAAGCAAACTGCTTTGTTTGAAATTATACCTCTTTTTGAGAAAGTAAAGTGATCTCCACCTGCTGAGTACGCGGAATTACAGTTACTACATCATGATAATTCTAATTGCAGGTATTTTCTTTATGTACCACTCAAGACCCTGAGCAGGAGCGAAGGAAGGCGACTTCTACAATGATCTGGCGCACCGTGCCGCCGCTACACCAACAGCACCACAACGCTCCTTCTTTTCGCTCTCTATAGGATCTCGTTTGTCGACTGGAGGATGGCTGTACCCGATTTATCTGTCGATACTCGAGCTCGACACGAACAAAATGTCAATTCAAACTTCCATAGCATGGGCCGCTGTGCGAGAGGAGAAGTAAAAGTGCCCTCCTGACGAGGATGCGGTAAGTTCTTGAAGTCTTTTCACAGGTCCTTGCAGTGTAATTTTATTTTTTACTTTACGTCGAAAACGATTTACCTAGAAGGTGCATGAACGTCCACGATGAAAACTATATCAAAAAAAAAAAAACTACAGATGAACCAATCTCCGGCGGAAGAGCAATAAAGGCGAATTGCGAAGGTGTCTTGTTCCAAGAAGCTGTCACGCTCAATGCCAAAATGGAGCCTCGCTTTGGGGAGATTCGGACGCGTACCGTGCTGGTAGGAAGCCACCTTGTGGCACAAAACGCACCAAAAGTCGGAGCAGAAAAAATCCCAAGCATCAGGCAAAACGCGACACCGAATCACCTGGAGTATCGAAAAGCATTGGAAATGTGTACTTAAGTACGTTTTATGTCATTTCTTTGCTGATCTTGTAGAGAAGAGTAGATCTGGATCGTCGATTTCGGCAACGAAAGCCGATCACCGAAAAAATTGCCATCATTCAGTAAAAAGCACAACAGGGCAGACCAAACTTCTTATTCTATTCGCGTAGATTAAGATTTATATTTCTATTTGAGAAAAAAATATAAGCGATCGGCACCTGAGTACACGCCCTTGAAATTTACTAAAATCGTGATAATTCTAATTTCAGGTATTTTCTCCATGTACCATTCAAGGCCGCGAGGAGGCGACTTCTACAGTGATCTGGCGCACAGCACCGCCCCTGCACCAACAGTACCTACCACAACACTCATCCTTTTCGCCCGCTATATGGCGATGGGACGAGAATGGCTATTCCCTTAATTATCCGTCGGTATTCGCCACGGAAAAAATGAAACAACCCAATTGTAATTTTGAGACTATTGTTTACGTTCGCACCAGAAGACCTGCACAGAGACGTTGAACTAATGCGAACTGCTACCTGTAAAAAGGATTTCAAAATGTTAATGCAAAGGTGTAGAAATGGTAATACAAGAGATGCTAACTCTTGCTTGCACCAGGACAAGTACAATGCTGCAAGTGGAAACATTCGTGTTACAGCTTGTTCTCTTGACGTGGCGTCCGCCTTATTCTTACCCTGCCTTTACACGTGCGCCTCGTTCTGCTTTACCGTTATTTTTCTGATGGACCTCCACATTCAAGAAGCACATGAAATACTGGCGTGTCTCACGCAAAGGTTTTGATGCTCTGTGATGAGTATTGAAGCAATCGTGTGTGAGATGTGGTTGTTGAATATCATATTTCAATTTTTCTACTGACTTGCTCTGCTCCGCCGACGCCTTTGCTGCCGTACTCCAAAAGAAAAAAATGCAATAGCGATATGTCGAAGTACGCCCGTCTTCTTCGCCGCGCGCTCGACACCGAGTGCGTTGCCGTGCCCGGCGCTTTCTGCGGGTTGGCCGGTCGGATTGCGGCCGAGAAGGGGTTATGCAGTGCAAAAGTATCGCACTCGTACAAATGCATTGCAAATTTTCTCAGCATGAGAAATAAGATTTGCAATGCGGATCTTCCTTAACTAAAGATTTGTAATGCATGACTGCAGGACGAGTGCGATACTTTTGCTTTTGCACAGGATAGGGGTTCAAGGCCGCCTACGTGTCCGGAGCCGCGCTGACCGCGAGCGCGGGGGTGCCCGACATTGGCGTTCTGACGCTGGACATGCATTGCAAATATGTCTGGGTCTGGAAAAATGCCAGGTTTGTCATGCTCTGCTAGCATGACTGTCAAGTCTGTCATGCAAGGTACCCAAAAGCGCCACTTTTGTGTCATGCAAAAACCCAGTTTCTCATGCAGAATAGGCAACACCTAGCGACTCAAAAACCTGTCATGCTGAGCCGTCATTTCTGGCGTTCTCTTGATTCGCCAACCAGCATCACAAGTTTCCAGACCCAGACGTTTTTCCATTTGATACTGGATCATTTTACCGCCAGAATAAAGGAGATCACGCTCGCGAGCGGGCTCCCGCTGATTTGCGATGCGGACACCGGGTTCGGGGAAGCCGAGATGGTGACGCGGACGTATCCACAGAAAGAAACCCATCCACATCCATTTTTTGCATGACAAACACAGGAGATTATGCATGTTTTGCATGACAAATTGGATGGGGATGGGTGTTTTAGTTTTTACCTGGATAGGACGACGGTGGAATACATTCACGCCGGCGCGGCCTGCTTGCACATCGAGGACCAGGTGTTCCCGAAGAGGTGCGGGCACCTGAAGGGGAAATCCCTCATCCCCTGCACGGAAATGGTGGAAAAGGTGGAGCGCGCCGTCGCAGCCTCGAAAAAGCACTCGGACGGCGAGTTCTTGATTTGCGCCAGGACCGACGCAAGAGGGGTGGTTGGAATGGAGGACGCAGTAGCCAGGGCGACAGCGTACTGTGATTATTTGATGACGAAGAATTTTTGTTTTCGTAACATATCTGACTTGTTTTGCAGAAGCAAAAACATGACTTTTGTAGAGTGTGAACAACCGACGTGTCAAGTTATAAAGCGAAAATGTATCTCCCAAACGAACCGCAGCTACGTCGCCGCTGGAGCCGAGATGATTTTTCCCGAGGGTCTCCAGACCCGCGAGGAATTTCAAGAGTTTTCCACAAAGATGAAGAACCTTCCAAAACCGCCCTACCTCCTCGCGAACATGACGGAGTTCGGCCAAACACCGTACGTGTCCGTGGCTGACTTTGAGAAAATGGGCTACCACTGCGTCATCTTTCCCGTTTCCACCCTTCGGTGCGCCATGCAGGGCGTCCAGCAGTGCCTCGAGGTGCTGCAAGACCGGGAGGCAACTTTGGAACAGCACACGGCGAAAATGTTTTCGAGGCAAGAGCTGTACGACAGTTTGGGTTACATACCGGGAGTGGAGTGGAGCTACCCAGACACGACGTTGGAACGTCAGGGAAAGTGAGTGCTTTTGTCACTTCTATTCCGGGCGGGTAGAGAGAACTCCCGCTTCGACCACTGAAGTTCTTGCTCTAGGTCTAGACAGAGGATGATGTTTCGTGTATGCAAAAAAGATCGAACAAGATATAAATGCACCTATTGCTAAATACTATTCATTTTTTCAAAAATGCATATGTCTATCGAACACGTACGCTTTGCCTTCGCAATTGTATACGGACGCGCCCGCCATGATATTACTTATCTATGTTGATCTTGATTCTTGATTTCGATTTCGGAAGGATCAAAGAATTGGAGCTTGTTGCAATCTTCAGGCCGCGTTTAGCAAATCTGCCTTTACATCTTCGTCGTCGTTCTAGTTTTCGTTCTTGCCACTTTACTCTCTTTGTGAAGCCTACGACACTGGTGCATGCCTCTTTTATCGTGCTTGCGTTTCTACTATTCATCTTCCGGAAATCTTGCGACCGGTCGTATCGTGGTATTTTCGTAAAAAGTTAATCGTTCTTTTGATACATCGTACAAAATGTTTCTTTCGTCCACAGAAAGACGCCAAACAGTTTTCGTTCTTCGATGATCCCGATGTGAAGAAAAGATCATTTTTGTTGCATGTTGGCGATGAGGGTGGACAGACGTGCTTGCCCTTGAAGGTTTACATTTTTTTGCCGTGGGAAAAAAGAAAAACTATCTACATATGTTTTTTGCGATTCGCAGTCCTCTTCGTGTGTGTTTGGCGCACGAACAGGCTGTACTCAGTCGGTTCTACCAAGTTGCAGCACCAGGTGATGAAGCATCATCGCAAGAAGTATGAGTGCTTTCCCACCGTTTCACAGGACCCCATTGAAATTCCCTATCATGTTGTATATATCTATCATCATGGGCTTTGCTAGCGCTAGTTGCTTGTTTGTATCTGTGAATGATGCTTCATCTATTTCCTCGTCGTGTTGGCATGCACTACTACGTGTACGTATGTACATTTCGCATTTGTCTTAACCAACATTGCAGTTTTCCATCGAGCACAACTACGCAGTTTTATCTGGTTCCAGTGAGCTGATGCAACCTTGATGAATATGTCGTGAGGAAGCGCAAGGTGTTTGGGCAAACCTCCCGTGGGCTGGTGCAGCTGGTGTGAAAAGATGGATTTTTAGAGCGATCGCGGAACTGCGGCGATGTTCGCATCTCCAGTTTCTTTCCTTTGTTTTGCTGGTACTACAAGTGCCGAGAAAATCCGCACCCGCGACCTCAACAAGCTTCACTCGGACCGGTACTAATCGGCGTCTTTACAGAGCTTCTGACGTGGACCTGGACGTCCGAAAATCATGGCCATTACCGGCGACGATATTGCGATGCTGGTGGGCATCGTCGTTGGCTGCTTGATTTTTCTCAGCTGCCTGTACCAATTTCTCTGTCTGGAACCCCCGTCTGAGCATGTAAAACCGCCTAAAAAGTGGTCACCCCCGGAAAGCAAGCACATCCGGGCCCGGCCGATTGATTACGATAAGGATCAACAGGTGAAGCAGAAACTGCAGAATGAGAGACAGGTGCGGATCACCGGCACGGTTGGTGTCGCGGGCAACACGATCCACGACATTTTCAACCGGCAACAGAAGCAAAACCTGAAAGACGGCGAGGTTCGATTACTGCTTAAAGCGGACCCAGACACCGTCCACGCGCCGTCGATCGTTCAGGCGATGCGGTACGAGCCAGCGGATTTCCGGAGGGAAAGGGATTTGCGGATCACGGCTTTTGTGAACAAGACTAACGGGGTGATTGACAAAAAGACGTTTATTTATGAAAATGAGTTTAAAAAAGCGTGGTCGGAGTATGAGAATGGGATCAAAGAGAAAAGAGTTGAAATTTTCGAAGCGGAAAAAGCCGTGAACGAGAAGAAACGGAGATACCATGAGCGGAAAATGGACAAGTTGCAGGAAAAGGAGGACATGAAGGAGGGAAAGCGGCAAAAAAAGCGGGAAAAAAAGTTTGCCGCGATAACGGTGTTGCGGATGGAAGCAGAGGAGGAAGAAATGCGGGAGGAGATGATGAAAAAGCCGGCCGCGGCATCCGCCAAAATTGCGCAGATGATGCATCGGAGAGACAGCGGGCTGGGGGGGAATTCCTCCTCCGCCGACTCGAGTGAGGGCCGCGGTTCGAAGAAGACGCGAGCAGCTTCTCCGTTCGGCCGAAGGCAGGACAGTAGCAGTTCTAGCTCTTCTTCTAGCGAAGATGATTTCAGTGATGGTAGCAGCAATGGCGCCGGCCAAGGGGATGGAGCCAACTCATCTAATTCCTCGAGCAGCAACATTATCGGAATACAGAGGATAGGAGCGTCGAAAAAGAAAAGGAGAAAAACCCAGGCAAAAAATAAACAGGAGGAAGAGAGGCCGAAGAAGAAATCCGAACTCTTTCCCCGGTCCATCGCTGAGATGAGTGAGGTGTCGGATGTGGCAACGGAGATTTTGAGCGGTTGGGACCCGTACGTTGTCACCGACAGCGACAAGGAAAATCAAGAGGAATACGACCCCGCGGACCCTTTAAAGGGCATGTCGGCGTATGAATTGCAACAGGCGAAACTCCGGCCGTTCAAGCTATTTAAAGATAAAACCGCCGAGGGCGAGGAAGCTGAGGACCAGGAGAGCTCAGTCGGGGAAGTGGATTTCGAGAATTTCGACCAAACGGATAAAAACGACGAGCTGAAAAACCACGCTTTCACCAAACGCGTCATTCAGTTCCACGCGCGGAATCTACGAAGGGTCGGGAAGGGCGGGGTAGATCGGGTGGAATGGCTGTTGTTGGAGAGGAGAAAGCCATTTCCGAGAAAGCTTCTGATTAAACCCACGCTCGAAGCGGTGTACAGCAGCGGGCTGTGGAAGAGCGCGACGAAGAAGTCGAAAAAGATGAAAAACTTTCCGCTGTGGTGTAAGCAGATGAAGGAGCTCCTCCACTGCGACGACCAAACGCTCGCATCCTTAGTTGTCGAAGCGTCGGCGGAGCACGCGGTCAACGCCGAGGGGTTCGTGATGTTCGGGCCCGGATCGTTGCCCTCCACGATTCCGGAAATCACAGAGGCGCTGTGGTTCGACTATAGGAGGAACAGGATCAAGAAACGGTTGGAGGACGAGAAAATTTTGTTCCAGTTCAAACTCAGGAACAAGTTTCGGAAAGTGATCAACCTGTACCGGAAATTAAGGGGAAAAAAACCGTTACCGGCACTCCTCGAATCCGAGCGCCAGAAGGAGCAAGGTCAGGGAACTGCGGCGAGTGCGAGCGAGCAGGCTTTGGAACAGGAACGCATCCTCGCGGAAACCATGGACGCGTTGCAGGAAAAGCCGCCCACGCTGGTGGAGAGGATAAAGACAAGTGGGAAGCAGCTCGCCATTGCCGGTGCGAGGGAAACGAAGAAGAATCTCGACCGGGCCGTGTTTGTCGCGTCGAAAATGTCGCTGAGCGCCATGAAGGAGGATTTCGTGGAATTCTTGACTGACAGACTGGAACCGAAGACCAACAGTGTTACTCAGGAAACCTACGAGCGCAAAGCGCGTGCTTCGTCTGCGCGGAAAGAAAAGAGGAAGCAGGCGGCGCTGGAATTACAACTGGAAATAGCCGCTCTGCACAAGGAGGCCGAGGACTACAAAAAGCTGAATAAAAGTTCGCTGGTCCAGGACTGGCTGGAGCGGTTCCAGATGAAACGAACTTTCAAATTTTTGGGAAGGGGGAAAACCGGCACCGCACTCGAGGAGGCGATGGAGGAGAAGGAAGTGGTGGAGGAAGTAGAGGTGGACCAGGATCCAACTCCTTCTCAGGACCAGACAGATCCAACAACTGTACTAGTTGAAGGCGCGGCAGATGCAGATCATCATGTTCATGATGAACAAGTTCCCCGGCAAGGAGAAGAGGATGACGAGCACAAAGACAAAGTCCGTCAAGATCAAGACCCCGCGCAGCTGCCCGTCCCGGCGGCGGCGCTGTCTCCGTCCGACTTGCAACAATCAGGGCCGAGTTGTGCCTCGGTCGATGAGGGGGCTGCGCCGGTAGTTGTAGACGAAGGAAAACATCAGCCTACCACCACCGCACAACTAGACACCGCCGAAAATCAAGAACAAGACCCCCGCAACATCATGATCCTCGAGCAGTCCCTCACCCGCCCTTTCGTGCCCCTTCCGCTCGCGCAACTACGGAACAAAGGAGTTGTTGCGCCGGAGGAATACTTATGGACTGCAAAAATGTCTGGGTCTGGAAGAATGCAACTTGTGATGCGCATTTCAGAACACAGAAAAATCTCTCATGCATAGGTAGCAAAAGCTGCGCACTTTCTGTCACCAAAGTGAGGGATTTGTCATGCGGATTCGGCATTGCGGAAGTTCTCGAAACCTGTGACGCTAGAGCTTCCATGCCAGACCTTGTGTGTCATGCAAAAACAGCATGAATCTTCCAGACCCAGACACTTTTACACTTGATAATACTTCGGCCGAGACAAGGCGACCTACTACCCACCCATGGCTACGAAAGTGGCGCGACGGTATGTGCCCCTCGCGCACCCAGAAATGGTTGTGTTCCCTGCGGAAGAAGAGGATCATGGTGCGACAGCAGGTCCTGATGGAGCTGTCGTGGAAGAGCTGGGAGGGGGAGATGGCGTAGCGGAACAGAAAGCGCTGGACGAGAAGTATCAAGATGCAATAAAGTCCGACGACGACGACATTTCGAGCGATGACAGCGGTGAAGGGGAAGATGATGAGCGAAAGGTTAGGAAAAAACGGAAAAGCAGTGGTGGAACGACCGCGCGTGCAGTACCCGCAGATAGCAGCGCTACTAGTGACGCTGACGAAAACATGACGCGAAGTGGTGAGCAACGTCGCAGTGCTGGCACAGATCAACAAGAATGTGCTGTCGACAGTCGAACTGCAGATCATGACCACCACCCAACATCACCAGCAGGACAACTACCGGGGGACGGCGCAACGGCAATACAGGTTTATGACGAAGATCAACATGACGTGCATGATCAACGCAATAAAGGGCCCCTCCTGCCGGAATGCGTTCTCCACTACGAGCCAACGGACGCCGATATGGACAAGGAGGTAGCTCTGAAAGTCCAGGAGGAGAAGGAGATTTACGACAGTATGGAATACGACCGGCGGCTGGAGCGCGCGGAGCAGGACCCGTACATGCGCGAATTCATTCCGGACTTCCCCTGGCCGGTGAACCTGAAACGCAAGGTGAAGACGCGAAAGAGGCACAGGTTCGACAAGCAGATGACGTTCGAAATTCCGCTGCAGCTCACCAAGGAAGAGGTCGACCGCTTAGCCAAGGGCTACACGAAGCAGAAGCCGAAGCAGCGGCCGAAGAAGTTCGTAGAGTTCGTGGACAAGGAAATCGACCTGGAGTGGGGGCTAGACCCGCTGTCGGTCGCCCGGCAGAAGGTCGACGACTTCCGGACGGGCAGGGAGCAGTTCGGCATGACGGGTGCTGCGGAGGAAAGCTTTTCGAGTTCGCTCAAGGTGGTCAGTCGCGGCGGGGGCGAGGGTGGAGCAGCGACGGGCGGTGCTGGTGTTGTGGCAATATTAAAAGACGCAGCATCGTCGAGGGCGGGCACGACGAGCAGACCGTCATCTTCGGTCCCCAACGGTAGAAACCCGCCGCGGCGACGGAGTGCAGCCACGCCGCCGCAATCCATAATAACGTCCCGTCCGGGGTCATCTCCCCCGGTGAACCAGCGACTGGGGTTAGAACAGCCACTTCCGTACGGGGACGACCACAACGGGTCGTATATGAAGAATACCTCGGACATCGACCCGGAAGAGCCCTACGGGAAGCCTTTGGACCAGACGAACTTGTACCGCACCCAGGAGTCCCCGAAGCCGAGTCACATGGTGTGGCGGCGCTGCGTGTCCAGCACAACAGCCTCCTCCACGCCGGGGGAGTTCTCGCAGTCGGCCGTCTACTGGGTCAACTTGACCACCGGCGAAACGCAGTGGGACTCGATCAAATTTCCGCGGAACAAACTGTTCTGGACGGAAATCTAGTAGACGTAGAGGCGCAGCCCCTGGACGAGCGATACCTATCATGAATTTGCTTGATAATGGTGGAGATCATCAATAGCAGTTTGCTGGTGTTGATTCCTCATGTCGCGCATCATTGCGTATGCCTATCCTGTGAGCAAAACGAGAATCGCAATCCCAACCACATCGAAATCAGAATCACACAGACACACCATACGAAGTAATAATAAAGACGGCACGATGAAGGACGACACGCTCGTGCTAGAAGCAAGATCGCTTCTTCTTCGCAAGACAAAGACTTTGCTTACGCTTGTTTCTGAAAGCCAGTGTTCCCATCTGAAGACCGCGCTTCGTCTTGTACTTACTGAGGCCAGACACGTTCGAACCAGTTGTGGTGGCGTTTTAATAGAGCCCGCCGCGGATTCGCTGCGAAGGTACGCGGGTGCGTCGTTTTTCCGGCACCGGTCCCGGCGCCGGCCCTTACTCCCGTCGCGGCGGCCGAGGGGCCTGCCTGCCTGCCTTTGTATGTTGTCCTTTGTTGCCCCTGGGAGGTAACCGAGGCCAGCCATTGGAATGCTCGCGCTCGACTCTTGTGCGCGCCCTAGGGTGTTTAGAATGTATGAGCGCTTGCCGGGGCTGGAGAAGACCGGCGCGGAGCATGTTTGGAGAGTTATGGGCGCGCCGGTCGCGATACGGTGGGCGCCGCCCCGCGCGCGCCCCACCCTGGGGCTAGCAGGAGCCAGCAAAGTACTGGCCTACGCTATCCTTGTTCCAAGAGAGGCGCCAGGGGCGGCGTTGTCTTTGTTCGACGCGGTCGGGAAGTGGCACGCCGCAGCCGGGGCAGAGCCGCCGGGCCTTGTCGGGGAAGCCAAGGGTGAGGCGCGAGCCGCCCCGGGGGGGCCTGGGTGTGTCTGTGCACCCCCTTTGCAGGGCTGCAGCGCGCGCCCCACATATTTGGAGGGCCGGGCCGTTCGGGTGGCCCATGCATGGCCTTCCTCGTCTGCCCGGGCGGTCGGCTTTACCTAGCCCCGGCCCGGGGGGGCGGGCCGGTGGAAGGCCGAGGCCGGCATGTGTGTCTTTCCGCCGGACTTTTTCCCGCGTCGCGCAATGATGTTTGTACCTTTCCCCTTAGCCCAGCCAGCGTCGTTCCCAGGGATGGCGTTTCGTGACATCTCCACCCTATGCTGCAGCGAGGAGAGTGAGGGGAGTCTGCGTTTCTCACCGAAAGGCCACGGGCGCACTATTATTCCTGGAGTGCATGAGCCACGTTGCGTCGTGTCTGCTGAAAACGATGCGACGCTTCTCGCCATTTGCGAAGATGGGGGCTTCAACTGCGATAAGCTTGGCAGCGGAGACCTGGCGGCGGTTGTGAAGGGCAAGCCCTTCCGCCTGGCGCCCGCGTTGCGGGCGTACGTTGCGAGGCCCCGGCGCGGGCGTGCGCGCAATCAGCGGGCCGCCTTGCTTGCGCAGCGCGTCGCCCACCGCCACCTCGTCCGTCGCCCAAAGGAAGACGCGGACAGTGCGAAGCCCAACGCGCCCGCCCGTCATGGCCTTGCCCGGCCCCCCCTGCTTTTTGGCTAGCTTTTCGTTGATTGGAGGCCCTGCCCGTGGTGCAGCGGGCGCCCCTCCTACCTTACTTAGGACGGAGGCGCCGCCCGCCTGCCCCGCGCGCCTCCCAAACCAAGCAAGGAAGGCAGCGCGGCCGCCCGCGCGCCCGCCCGCCTTCTGTTGATAAGCCTATGGCGCCCCATGTTAGTTGGCTTGGCGTGGCTTGCCTCTCCTTTCTTGCGTGGGTGCTTGCATCTGGGGGCATTTCCTGGCGCCATGCCTGGCCTTGGTATGTAATGGGTTGTTGCTTGGCGCCTGTGGCTCTTGCCCATGCATGGCCCGGCGGCGCCTGCGAGGGAGCGCGCCAGTCCGCCGGCCGCCCGGAGCCGGGCGGCTTTGTTTTCCCCCCGTGGCGTGGCTCTTTTTGTCCGTTTGGACGGAGAATCTATTTGGGGGTCCGGCTGGCCGCGTGGAGTTTTGTTTGATTGGTTGCGAGTGAGTAAAGGCGGCAAAGAATCGCAGCCGGCGGGCGTCAGGATCAGTCACCCAGGACCGCCGTGGTGCTTCTATGCATAGATGCAGTCGCGTTCCTTCTGTTTCGTTGGACCCCGTCCCCAGCATTTTTTCCGTTGTCTCCCATCTCGGTAGATGATTGTAGCAAGTCAAACCCAATAAACCCAAACGCCCGCACCGCGGAGATTGGTGTGCGTGTGCCAGAGGATGAGCCCGGGTCCTCCCGTGCGCGGGTGCACAAAATCCAATTGCAGTGGCGGGTGGGAGAGCGAAAGTCTGAGCCGAAGATGAGAGCACATTTCCACGACAGCCAGAGGCTGGCGCCTACCTGCGCACACCGTTCCTCAGGTTGTAGAGAGAGTTGTGGAGGTTGGACGAGAGTTGCATAAGAACTGCTACTAGGAAGACACATCAGTGGTCGCGTTCGTACACAGTACTAGACCAAGAATCGCAAAACACCACACCAACTATGTGACCCTCAGAAGTACAGAAGAACTATGGCGTCTGCGTATCTTCAAACCGCCGTCTCGGTGGTCGGGGACACGCTGCTGCCGCGGAAGCTGGCCCAGAAGCTGCCGCACAATGTCAAGAAGCGGGAGGCGCTGCAGGAGGTGCAGCGGGAGCGGCGGCTGGCCCGGAGCGAGGCGATGATCGAACTGGCGCGCCGGTGGATCGTGCGGAAGCACTCGGACATACTCGCGGGCGCCATCGCCTTCGTGCCCTGGATCGTGCAGCAGGCGCATTCGAAGGGGGAACTCGGCCACAACGTGGTGGTGCACAAGGGCGTCGGAGCCGTTGTGTTTTCCGACGCCAGCGGGTTCACCGCGCTCACGGAAAAGCTGGCGCAGAAAAGTGCTGACGAGACGGATTTTGAATTGAATTTTAGCACTTTTTTCATCTGTACGGTTGTTAATGCCGGCGTTGTAGTACCAGTACCTCTACCTACAAAAGATTTACACCTTCTGCTGCGGTGGATTGATAATTCATTGAGTTCTTTCGTCGAGAACGTAACGTTTAGCTTCACGACGTACGTCTACGCTTCATCCGGCTACTTAGAAGTCCTCAGATGTAGTTGCACCATCTGAAACACAACCGACTATTTAGGTAACGGCGCGGAGCTCTTATCGCAGTGTTTGACCGCGTTTTTCACGCCGCTGATTGACATCATTTCCAGCTACCGCGGGGACGTGATCAAGTTTTCGGGTGACGCGCTGACCATCTATTTCCCGGCCGACAACGACCCCGACCTGGACGACAACCTGCCCCCCTGCGGCACCTACGGCTGCAAGGGCCACTGTCCGGAGGAGCTCGCCACCCTGAGGGCTTCGGCCTGCTGCATCGAGATCCACCGCCGCCTGCACATGTTCGACACGGGCGTGGACGGGGTGAAGCTCTGCCTCCACATCGGCGTCGGATTTGGGGACGTGACCATCTTGCAAGTGGGCGGGTTGGTCCCGCCCGAAACCACGGTGGAGCGGTACGAGTACGTGATCTGCGGCCCGCCGATGGAACAGATCTCCATCGCGGAGCCGCTGGCCAGCAACGGCGAGACGTGTCTCTCGCCGGAAGCGTGGAATTTGGTCGCGCACACCTTTGAGGGGACCCCGGTCGAGCGGAAACTGGCGTCGGGGGTATCAAATGCAAAAGTGTCTGGGTCTGGAAGAATGCTAACTTGTCATGCTAAATCTGAATCATGTCAAAATCTGTGTTGCATGATTGCCAAAAGCTGTCCACTTTTGACCTAATCGAGAGGCAGTTTCTCATGCGGAATAGGCATGATAACACTCTCACAGAGTCTGTCATGCTATGTCCTACATACCAGACCTCATGGGTCATGGAAAACCTGCATGACAAGCCTGCATTCTTCCAGACCCAGACATTTTTACATTTGATAGGGGGAAACCAGTCACGATTTCGTCATGCTGGGGGAGCTGAAGCCGGAGCTGCACACGTTTCCCGTGCTGAAACAGGCGGCAAGTATGGGAATGTTTGATGAGATCGAGACTTTATCGTTGTGCTTGTGGTGCGTGAATCTTAATCTTTGCTGATTGAGACCGACAAAGCCAGGCATGATTTTGAAATACTATGCTATCCACATAAAATTTCTCCTCCTCCTCCAAAACGCATTTTTTTTGCATTGAAAAATATCAAAAGTTCGGGCATCGAAAAAAAAAAAACTCAGGTATGACCACGAAGCGCATGCTGATCTCATGCGTGTGAGTTTATCTGCTGTCTGTGTTTAGTTGTGCCCCTAGCTATCATCTTAACTAGCTACAGTGTCTGGTAGGTGTAGGTGGACGACGCCGCTTCGAGACTGTACATCTGCGACTGGGTCTGCTGATGCCCTCTGGCCCCATCAAGCGTCGCGACAAGCGGCTCGCTTGCCATCTCGTCTTCAAAAAGCACCGGCCTGGAAGCCAGAGTCTGGTGGTCAATTTCGTCCTCGGGGATCTCGGATTTCAGGACTTGCAGCTGGGCCTGGTATGGTCTTGCCCGCAGGCGCCGGAGTGCCACCAAAGCGACCGGCTTGCACTTTACGTTCCACAGAGCGGTCTCCATGTCGCCCTGCCATCTTGTGGCGACATGGGAGGAGAGGGAATGACCTGGGAGTTGATTGGGAAAAATTGATGCGGTGATGCAATGTCGCTACTTTTAGCCGTGGCCTTATCTCTGCAGAGGTGGTTGGCGAAGGTTGATCCAGCTTTTTTTTCATGGTAAGCCCACAGTTGAGAACGAGCTCGCTTTTGGAGTGGAGGATAAATTTAGCACGAGCGAACTGCCATAAAAAAATTGAAAAAAATTTATCCTCCGCGCTTTTTCTAAAAGAAAATCGATAAAAAAGTAGTGGAGGATAAATTTTTTTAAGGCCGTTAGCTCGTGCCAAATTTATCCTCCACTCCAAAAGCGAGCTCGTTTTCAACTCAAAAAATCCAAAACAAAAAAGCTGAGCCAACTTTTTCGACCAACCCCGAGACCCTTTTCTCGTGAAGTTGTTTCGTGTCCGTCCTCGTCAGCGAGCTATCGCAGGCGAGGCGAGGCGCGGCACCTGCAGATGCGCGGTAGCGGATCCGCGCAGCAGATATTTTTATTTATTGTTGTGCGTGCAGTCATATAAGACGCTAAATTATGGGATTGGATGCGACACAGTCTAGGGCACTCAAAAGTGAATCAACTCCAATACTCGCGCGCAGCGCCTCGAGGGTCGACGCCGAGCCAGCTGCTCTGCGTGTTTCTTCTAAATGAAAAAGCGCTTTCTCGCACTCTCGCATCAAGCGTTGCGACATGGCTTAGGGCCAGCGACGCTGCTCAGCCGGGAATAGCTGCCTCCGATGGTGGCGCTGGGTTCCTGTGTGCAAATCCTACCAGAAGCTCTAGCTTAGTTAACATAGAGAAGGGACACTAAGTACATAGGCTTTTGTAACATGGTGATGATAGCTACATGACTTTGCTATGCATATTGCAGGAAGACTACAAAATTTTTTGAAATTCATTTTGTTTTTTTTGTTTTTTTTGTTTTTTTGCATGGAAAAAAATGGCATTTTGGAGGAGGAGGAGAAATTTTGTGTGGATATATGCCTACTACAGTAAATGCATGTATAGTACAATGCTGGTGCGCATCCGCATGCGCAATTCGTGAAATAATGGCTCGTCACCTTCTAATTCACCCAAAAAACTTCTTTCTCTATTCCAGTCGAGACCGACCGGCGCAAGGAGTTTCAGTTCGGTCCCGACCAGTTGGACCTGTGCCGGCGGTACATTCCCTCCGCGGTGTTCAAGCAAATTGCGGGCGGCACGCTGCAGTACGTGAACGAGATGCGAAACATGAGCGTCATCTTCATCAACGTCCAGGGCATCGATGTGGCCACCGAGGACGGCAGCCAGCAGGCCGACCTCTTGATGAAAGGCGTGCAGAGGTGTTGCAACGCGCACGAGGGTACGCTGAACAAATTCCTCGTGGACGACAAGGGCATGCTGTTTCTGCTCTGTTTCGGACTGCCACCACTCGTGCACAAGGACGACGCGTATTAGCTTTACGATTTGGAAGATGTTGCTTGTCGAAAAAAGATTTTTTTCACAGATTTGAAGCAAGAAAAATAAAATAGAAGGCATGCGTCATGCCGTTTGCCGTGCGCCACCATCTATAGCTCCTGAGCCACGTGGTCACACGTTGGTACCCATACTGCAAAATGATCCCAAAAAAGAATCCGCGCCATCCTTTGCTGCATGGACATCCGGAAGGTGATGATCAAAATGAACTTGACCGCCCGTTTCGGCGTGACCACCGGTCGCAACTACTGTGGCGTGGTCGGGAGCGCCAGCCGCATGGAATACACGGTTTTGGGGGACAGTGTCAACCTCGCGGCGCGACTGATGGCCAACGCCAAGCCGCAGGGCATTCTCGTCGGGGAACGGACCTACGAACTGGCGAAGTCGGAGCTCGACTTCAACATTCTGGAAAAAATCAAGGTGAAGGGAAAAACCGCGTTGATCCCGATCTTCGAGCCGCGTTTGCAGCAGCCCAAGCCGGTGCTGGGACTGTGTCCGAAAAGCAAGAAGTTGCACCTACCCTGGCTAGTGCAGTCGGAACTTGTCGGGGGCACGAACAAGTTGCTGAAGGTGCAGAACTGGCGCGAGTACATCATCTGCCAGCGCCTACTCGACGAAACCGACCGACCCGTGCCAGCGGTACTAGAACTAAAGATGCATAATATCTAGAAGCCACCAGGGGTGTGTAGTGTATGTGGCATCACATCGTCATGCATAAAATGATTGCAATGGCCATTGACTGAGGACTTGACCAAAAACAGGGAATCAGGACTAAAAAGACAACTTATGAATAAGCCTGATCGATTTTTAGTTTTTCATCCTGACAGGCCTCGAAGTCGAGCGGGCGTCCGTTGGCCGACGTGGACAACATCTTCGAAGCCCGGGCGGCCATCTATGGGGTTCTCAAACGTTACATTCTCAACTGCTACGTGGATTTGTAATACAAGAACGGCAAAAGCGAAAGGGGGAAGATTGCGCTTTTTGCATTACAACAGGTTTGGCGCAGAGTCTCAGGCTATCTAGCGAGTCAGTGACTTGTCATGCGAAGCAGCTTGGTCATGTAGATATTGCTGGCACTTCCGCATGACAAATTCATGCAACGCTTGAGAATGTAACATTTGAGAACTCCACACCGTCGGGTTGGACACCAAGCACACGACCACCATCGGGCATGCGCAGCCCGCCGCGGAAGAAACGAAAGAATTCCCGGACGCGGCCCAGCAAATCGAGCGGCACCGGGTCTTCCACGACGGGGGGCCCATGATCGTCTTCGGCGGGTTCGGACTCGGGAAAACGGAACTCGCAGAGTACGTCGTGCACGCGGCCACGGAAAAATTCGACCTGTTGCCAATCGTGGGCGCCGGAGGAGTGAGGCCAGGTACTAGACTGAAAATTTTTGGGATTTATTTGATATAAAAATTTCTAAACGTCGTACTACAGTACATTCAGTTGCGAGTCTCAAGGCTCACCTAGCACTCCCAGCGTAGAAGTACAGAAGATTTTTGCAAGGATTGTTCATCTTCATATGATCTGAGCAGGCAAGCACCGATGAGCTGCTTCTACTGCACTGCAGAGATGAACGACAACTGATCTGTTTTCTACTACCGTAAATCAAAGGTGAACTCGGGCGTGTTTTTTCCGACATCCTTCGTTCGATCTGCTCCATTTTTCGTTCGACCGACCACACTTTTCCCGCGGACTCGGACTTCCAGTGCCTCGAAAGAATCATCAAGGAACACTTGGTTGAAACTTCTACGTCTGCAACTTCTGGCTACACCTCCAGTCCTTCCGGAACGAAAGGAACAAATGCTAAATTCTCGTACAACAACGACGTGCACGATGAACAGTGGTACAAGAAGGTCCTGGACTGGCTGCCCCGCGTCCTGTATGCACTGCAAAAGTATTGTACTCGTACTAATTGCAGTTATGCATTACAAATTTCTTTTGCAAGCTAAATCAGCATGACAAATTCCACTTGTCATGCTGAGCTAATTTGTATTGCAATACTACGAGTGCGATACTTTTGCACTGCATATCCTGGGACCCCCATGGATCCACGACAGCGTTGTCGCGGAACAAGCGTCCAAAGGCGATGGTAAAAACGAGGACGAGGAGCTGCTGATCATCGGGAAGACGTTGACAATATCCTGTGCAAAAGTATCGTATCATGCATGATAGCAATTACTACGGATACTAAAAAACGGGATATTTGTCATGCCATGACAAATATCCCGTTTTTGGTGAATCAGCATGAAAAATTCCATTTTCCTTTATGGAAAAATGATTTGTGATGCGATTTATACTACCACTAGTACGATACTTTTGCAATGCATAAACAACGTTCGAAGAGGAGGACGACCCCAGTATGCACGGAAAGTACGAGGTATCCACAAAAAAACAACCATCCCCATCCAATTTGTCATGCAAAACATGTATGAAGTTGACTTGAAATCCTGTGTTCGTCATGCATAAATTGGATAGGGATGGTTCTTTTTTCCTGGATACGAGGATCTCACCTCCCTCATCGTCGCGCTGGTCCGCTTATCCAGTGTAAATAGGTCTGTGTGTGGACAAGTGAAACTTGTATTGCGTCTTTTGGACTCCTGTAAAAACGTAAAATCTGTATTGCATGATCAACAAAAAGGAGCCTTGTCCTGCAAAAGCACAGTTTCGAATGCGCGCTACGCATCAAGAGGAAGCGTCCTCACAATTTGTCATGCTTGGCTGCATGCTGGAGTGTGCTCAATCATCTGCGCTCAGCATCACAAGTTTCCAGGAGACCCAGACACATTTGCAATGCATACCGCAAACTGTTGCAGGAGAAATCCGTCGTGGTAGCGCTCCGCTTCGAGCGCGGCACCAACCTATTCACCCGCACGGACGATTCCACCTTCTGGATGGTGGCCGGCGCGTTATGAGAGTGCACAACTTCCACTCCCCCTCATTTGTCATGCACAATACCAAAACCAAATCCAAGCGCTGCTGCGTGATACCGCTTGCATGACAGATTCCTCTTCCCCTCCCTTTGCCAGTTCCCTATGTTGGTTTCGACCTCACGGTCGGTTTTTATATTGTTTAGGGTGTCTGGCAGATTTGCATGCGGGGGTCCTTGCCCTCTGGGAATGAAAACTTAGCTTGCGCCCTGACGACGCGTCATAGCGGTCCCCTGCTCTAGGCATGCTATGCATACGCTCGCCACTTCTTAGGGTGGTAGAGAAAACGGAGTAGAGACGGTACAGGCAGAAGTGGAGCGACCGGTCTAGACTTAGTAGCTTAGTTTGCGCGCGTATAGTTTTGTTTTACTGTTTACAAAAATTACTTTAGTGTTTAGCTTGGGCTGTGGGTTCGAGACCAAGGAGACGCACAAGACCAACACTTTTTTCCACCCTGGTGGCACCTTTAGTATCATTCTGGCCTTTCTTTGTCATGTCCTGTTCCGTTTTTCTGTGTTTGTCATGCATTTTTTCACCCAGGCCCGCCCTGGTGCTGTTGCTAGTTTTCGTGGTTCTCTCTGTCACCACGCCCGGTTTCGTTGGCCACTTGCATGCAAGTCCTAGTGTGTTGTCTTCACACGCACGCTTTCGTGTTTAGGACACCATTACTGATACTACTGGTGCTACCACCTTTAGGGTGTTTTTGTTTCGACGTAGGGGGGACTGTGTCTTAGTAGCGGTTTTCATCGTTTCTTACTTTTTCTTTTAATCCCTCGGTGCTAGGAAAAGTTTTTGTTCAGGGCTATTTCTATCCAGATATTCACACAGCTTCCGTCGCGGCCGTCCCAGACGCTGTTGTGTTTGTCTTTCGATAGAAATCGCGTTGTCCAGAGATTTCTTCTAGAGTTTACCGAGTATGAGGCTACGGCTTGTAAGAATAGTTTACGAGGGGACGCCCAGCCCTTAGCCTTCCAACATGACAGATTCCGCAAGCCCAAACAGTACTACACTAGGCGCATCAACTTGTCATGCGCAGGCTCCGCAGGTGGGGCTGTCTGTATTGCTGTTCATGCAATACAAATGAGGGGGAGGTGGAGTTGTGAACTGTCATACGCGTTGCTCGAACTGTACAAGGAATTACGGGAGCAGCGGTACGACGTGGGTTCGGGGGGCGCCGGGGGTGCTAATGCAGGAGTCGGTGGGGTGAAGAGCAATCCGCGGTCCTTAGGTGGAGCAGGGGCCGCCGCTACGACGAACTACAACTTCGGGACCAACTCCACGGGACTTGCGTCCAGCGGTGGAAAGAACGACACGGTGAATTTCAAAAACAACGCGAACAACAACAAACCAAGCCACAATTTGACCATCGTGCTGTGTGTACGCGACCGAAAAACGATCCCAGGCTACGAGCGGGTAATGCAGCACTTCGTCAAGGAAACGAGGCAGACGGGGGTGTGGCTGGACACGCAGGGATTTGGCGAGAAACTTGTCGGGGAATACATGTCCATCGAATTGAACTGCCCCCAAGAAAACATACCAATGCCACTAGTACTTATCGTGCTTTTGTTGATGTTGATGATCATCAGACATCATGACAATTGGTGCCATCATTGATTTAGGTGCTAGGTTTTGCATGAGAAGGAGAATGACTGCTGGTACTAGTGATTGATTGCGAAGAACAACTTGATGAGGGGGGCGTACCACGCGAACAAATGCTAAATGTAGGAAAATCCAAAAAATCGTGCATGATCTATCAGGTAAAGTACATTTCCGACATTACGCTGGGCAACGCGTTATTCGTTCGCGAGGCCATGGCCATGCTCCAGCTCTACGGCCACATGCAGCTGCACGACAAGAGCGCCAACGCCAGCGGGAAATTCGTGACCTGCCAGGAGAATCTGGACGAAACGGTGGAAGTTGCCGGGTGGCCAAACACCTTTATGATCGGGTCCGTGCTCGCAGTCATCGAGTCGCTGGACCCTCTCCCCGCCTCGATTGTGAAGATGGCTGCGGTCTTTCGGTCGGCGTGGACCATGGCTGACATTCTTGCCTCTGCCTGTCCCCCCTGGAGCGGGCAAGCGCGGTTTGAGGCTTTGCGGCAGTTTTTGGCCTTGACGCAGCTGGTAGAAATGGACATTGTGGAGCCGGTCCCGCTCGTGCCGAATGCTAACAGTACGTCCGCAAGCTCCTCTTCCGGCGGCACCGGGAGTCAGAACAGCCAGAAGCAAACTGGGCTTGGAATATCAGATGCAAAAGCATCGTACTAGTATGAATTGCATTACAAATTGACTTAGCATTTTTACAAATGAAATTTGTATATGCTGTTTTACCTTGGGAGCGAGCATTTGTCATGCATAACAGCAATACTACGAGTGCGATACTTTTGCAATTCATATGGAAACTTCATCAGCAACATTGGGCACGGCACCAGCTCCTTAATTTTGAGCAGCACTGGGCGGGGTAGCTCCAAGGAACGGTCGAGCTCGAAGGACCGGGGCTCGTCCGGGTCTCAGGTACGGAGTTCCATCGGGAATGTCAACCAGGAAGTGCTCAACCAGGTGCATAAGGAGGACGGGGCTGATGTGTTGGGAACACAACGAGAAGGCGATGAGGAGAATAATCTTCACGGGGGTTCTTCAGCCCAAATGGCAAATGTAAATCGCCCAGCACCAGGTGCTGCTGTTGCAACCGGCGATACTGGTACAACCAAAAACTCCTCTTCCACCTCTCAGCACCAGAACAATCATTCGAACACAACTACGTCAGCCTTCGCGTCCTTGCATCAGCATCACGACCAGCAACACAGCAATAAATCCGCCCCATCTCCGAAGGCGGCCACCCGGGGAAGCTTCTCGTTAGAGCGAGTGGTGCACAACATTACGCACCCCGGCGCGAGCGCGGGAGCGGGCGCGGGACCCGCGGGGGAACAGGCGGACCAGCACGAGTATGCGGGGCCCTTCCGGCTGTCCAACACGTTGGTCCGGAAAGTTGCGGGGAGTATGGTTTTGGAAGCGCAGAAGCGGGGCGTGAAGCGCCAGGCTTTGATGGACCGCACGCTGAACCGCGACTTGCCGGCGCGACTCGAGGCCCTCCGCCAGAAGAAAGCCATCCCGCACATCCCCTGGTACTACCAAATCGAACTCCCCAGGAATCTCGTCCGAGGCAGCAGCGTCGGACCACTCGTGGGAGTGGACACGATATCCTGTGCAGAAATATCGTGGTCGTTGTACTAGTACGTGAGATCATTCGACGACGTAGTAGTAGTGCAATCATGCACGGCAAAGGATATATCCTTCCTGAACTAAATCTGGAATTTGTCATGCTGACCAACTTTTTAAATGCACTCTAAAACTACTAGAAGTACGATACTTCTGCAAGACTTGATACGTGAGTGGTATGAGCGGCGGCAATACGGGAATAAGTGACCAGCAGTACAACCAGCTGCACATGCGAGGAGGCGGTGCGGACCACCGGGGGCCCGCCGGAGGCAAGATCTCGAGCAAGGAACTGGCCCGGGCCCAGTCGCAGGCACTGTTGCAGAACGCGGAGCAGCTGGGGGCGGCAATGGACCAGCAGAAAACCTTACTGCAATCCGCGTGAAAGTAGGACCAGCAGTGTATGGCCACGAATGGAAATTTATTTGATTTACACATGTTGACGTTTTTCAAGAACGACAACATCAACATGTTGCAAAGTTGTAGTTGTAAAAGTTAAAGTCGTTTCGATGCAAATACAAATAGATTTATGGATTAGACCACCGAAAATAAGCTGAACAAAGTGAAGTCATCAAAACCTGTACTAAGAGTCTTGAGCTTTCATTTGATTTTAACCGGCGAAGGGTTGAACAAGAACAGCATACCAGGTACAGAGATCGTACACACGACGAAGAATCAGCTATAATACGCGAAATACTTGCAATTTTATCCAGGGTAGAGTACCAGTACAAAGATAGGAGTCCATTTTTTATGCAAGCAGAAGCATATCAGAGAACCAAACAGTCCAAGTCATAATTTTCTGCTAGAGGTGGAGACACGGGCGTGTCGGCTCACCTAAACCAGGGTCTTCAGTTTGGGTGCGCTGTGGCGTGTCGTCTTCACACAGCGTCTTCATAAATCTCGACTTTCTTTTGTTTTCAAAGTGTTGTGGTCCTTAGGATGTTTTAAGTCTTCTCCTTGATGACGTCGGCGTCTGAAGCATCACTTGTTTGCGCACTAACGGCATCGCTTCGTCATCATGTTGACACGCGGAGTGTGACGAGATGAAGCTGCACCTGTACTGCGTGTCTCTATTTTTTAAGTAACAGTAAGTAGTTCGTTGTTTCTAACTCTAACTCAATTGGGCTATTGTTCAAGGCAGAAGTGTCTTGGTTTTTTATTGTTCATAGAATCCACTCCGCTTCTTAGCATGGTTTCCTTCTCGTATGCACATATTTGAGTCTCTATGAAGCATTTGTGAAGGTGGCTGGATGGTTCTCAGGAGAACCGATATCGATGCTGGAACCTCGGTGGTCATGGTCAGTTTCTCAAGCTCTATCACGTAACAAATGCGATCGACGCGAAGAAAGCGATTCACGACTCCAACCCCGACGTCGACCTTGATTATATGCAGATCATGTAAACTGTACCACTTTTTCCGCCTTTTTTCTTGGTTTTAACATTCTAATTTTCATCTCATTGACTGTGAGTAGTTGCGACGTTCGTGCCGAACTGATAACGTCCTAAACGTATCAGCGAGGCGCAAGAAAGGCGTTAGACCTTATATTCATTGGCGGCTCGTCGTATCCTACTGTAGTGTGTAACATTATTTTTGCACAAACAGTTGTATAGTAGCCGGAGAAAAAAAAGACGTATTACCATGGTAATATTTTTCCACTAGCACTTGCTACAGAAGAAAGATGAAAATGAATGTAATGGTATGGCAAAAAAGGAGGCCAAAGCCGGTGCGTTGTTGAGGTAGTAACCTCCGCTTCATCTGCTTCTGCATCGTCCTCCAGGAGCTAATCGCATTTCATATTTTGCTGCAGCAAACCGAAGCTCCTACCGAATGATGAAAAGATAAAGATTACAAAATTTACGAACTCACATTGAAGAGAATTACTGCCCACATGCACCTGTGGCTAATATGAAACTGAATGCAATCAATCGTAAAAGTACAATGTAAGTCTAAGTATCTTTCACACGACACCAGCACTCCACCACATGGTCATGATGACGAACGAGAAGTCTGCTGCTTTCATGAATGCACAACTGCGCTTTGACTTGATCACACTCATTGCTTCCAGGTGAAGCTGAAAAACGAAGGACGAGAAGAAAGTGCACTGACAAAAAGCAAAAATGTCTTTTCAGGCCCCCGTGTCGACCGTGATGTTGCTGGGTTCGTCGGCTCGTGTATTGAAGTATTTGGGTTTTTTTCGTCAGTTTTTTTCCATCGTTATTTTCCTCGACATTCCTTGTGTAATCTGTTCCTTTTGTTCTTTACGTGGTCCTTGTTCTCCTTTCAGAATGCGTTTGATTTCGCAACATTTTATTTTTCCTCCCGGGCGACCAGCGTCCGGAAGGGAATAAAAAGCGGGGGAGATACTTGCTTATCTTCAAAGCCAGCAGATTTCACCAAAAGCAAAACTGCATTTCCCTGGTCGTCTTAGTCTACCGGGACAAGGCAGCACATGCCGCGCTGCTAGCAGACAACTTTGGGCGGGCAAACCGCCTCGCTCCTACTTATTCTTGCCAAAGATCTTTAGCCACCAGCATGGCCTCGCTCGAGGAGGAGCAAGGCGAGGCTGCGAAGATGAACGAGGGCGGTGCAATGCTCGCTGAACCGCCACCAGCCTGCGATGGCAAAACTGAAGACACCACGGGACGACTACAGAACGAGCACGAGTCTCTGGAGGATCTTGCTCTTCGAGTAAGTGTTCCTATAGCGACTGATGCTATCATCACTTCTATGTCAACTGTTCCCAGCGAATGTGTAGCCGAATTATTAGCATCACTATGAAGAAAATATAAATACATAAGATATTTATTCATATTCCTTTTGTCCAATATTCGTCCAGCCGGAAGTTCGCGCTCGGGGGATCGAGATCTTGACGCAGCTGGAGGACTTCTGCGCAGAGCCGGGGTTTACGGAGGCGGTAACGCAGTACTTCCTTATCCTGTGCAAAAGCATCGTACTGGTGGTAATCGCAGTTATGCATTACAATTCTACTTGTTAAGGTGAATCCGCATTACAAATTTGATTTGTAATGCTGAGCCAGTTTGTATTGTGATTTATACTACTGCGATACTTTTGCATGGCATATTCCTGCAGCACGGACGAAAGTTCGACGACCGCGAGGACGACTTTCCGCTTGATTGGTACACCTGCTACCAACAATACTGCCTCCTCATGGAATCGCTGCTCGAGCCCTTTGATGCCTGCTCGGGGGAAGAGCTCGAACTGGTCTGCCAACTCTTTCTCAGACAGCTTGAGGGTATTTACTTGGGCAGAAGAAAAAAAGCCCTGTCTCATCTACTTTGCTCGTACAACAACTTCAGATCATGCCTCTACTAAGACACCACAAGAGCAAATCCGGGTTAGAATATTTCAAGTTGCTCTTGCTGAATTCCAGTTCTTTCAAACTACATCATAATGCTTCCTCCATTCCTCTAGGTGAGTGCCCGCTAATGTGCTCCGACTACCTACTTGCCACCCTCGATTACGAGGATTTTGTGCGTGTTGCGCAGGATCACAAGCGGCTTCTGTTCGGTGACGACATGGATGAACAAAACGAGGATCATCTACTGCATGCACACGGAGGTGGGTCAGACGTCTTGTTTCCGCCGGAAGATGGAGGAAGAGGAACCACAGTTGGCAGCAAGTTGCGTGAGCAGCATTCAAGGGGCGGTGCAAGATCACGAAACGCGGCAGGTAGAATCATAGCGCTGCAACCGGGGGGTGATGGTGAACAAGATGGAATTACAGGCGAAAATTGCTCAACGTCGAGCCTCATGGTCGAGCATAACGACGGCCTGTCCTCCGTCGGGGCACAGGATAGCTGCAGCTCCGCGGCCGAGCCTAATTTGGACGATGTTACCTGACCGGGACAACCACTGGTGGCGATGCGGAGGTTGATTGATCATTGCGTTGGAGCAGGGGACCGGTGTCAGACGATCGGTGTATTTACCATGCGCGGTATTGAGCAACCCAAAAAACAAAAACTGATACTGAAGTCCTCTGCTTTACCTTTAGTTGTTAACGTCGACGTTGCGATGGTCACGTGGCAATCCCAATCCCTTAACGTTGGTAGCAACTACAGCACGATGAGCATGAAGCTCCGCTTCGTTTCGCAAAAACCTTTTTTGCTCTTGTTCAGCCCCGCTACGGCGCAAAACGAAGCGTCAAAGAATGTTAACTCGGGTAGCCACTGTGTTGCTGTTTCTATGTCGTGTGAGTGTTCTTTCATCAATATTTTTCCCTGCTAGGCTCCCCTGAGTGTCGTGGTGCACTTTTTTAGATGAAGCGCCAGCGTGTACAAGTAGGATAATTATGGACGATCTACTCTGTTTGTGTCTACTGCACGTCATGATAATTAAAATTGAAAAATAGAAAATCGTTAGCGACGAGTTTAGACGCCAGTCAAAAATCCGACGACCCGTAAGCCCTCAACTGCAGTAAGTTTTTCGTACCGCTGCTTTTTCCGATGTCTAGGCACGCCGTGTGAATACAACTTCTATTTAAGAGACAACGTAAAGCGCAAGCCTGAGCGCAATACGTCGACCATGTAGCTCCAACCCACGGCTCTTTGCTCTGCTGACCAAGGGGCATTTTCGGGGCTGCTTGGCTTGGACGCACGTAAATAAAATCTTCACATCTGCCTGTACCTGCCGGTACGAAAGCTGCAGGAACGAACACCGCGTGGAGGCGTTTAGATGTAATTGGCGTGAAAACCGCGCCGATAAGAACGCAAGGTCGTCAAACTGCGGTCGAGAAGAAGATCCTCGGGATCGGTTTCCTGAGCAAGCGTGACAAAGCCGAGAACGAGAAGGACCACGTGGAACGACAACGAGGCCGCTCGACAGCAGCAGCTGCATTGCCCTAGAAGAGGGACACGGAGCAGCACCATGATCGACTCTCTGTTCATCATCAGCTCCACGGGGAGCTTTGTGGTGGAGAAGCACTACAAACTATGAAATGCAAAAGCATCGTACTAGTATAAATCGCATGACAAATCTCCTCAGCATGAGAATAGAATTTGTAATGCGGATTCAACTTGAGAAAGAAACTTGTAATGCATGAATGCGATTAGTACGAGTGTACGACTACGATACTTTTGCACAGGATACAAACAGACCGCGCCGCGGTCGGTCTGCGAGCCCTTTCTCGAGTACCTGGAGACCATCCGAAACAACCACCGCAGCCCCGACAAGCGCAAATCGTTTTCCAAGGGAAGCTTAGCCACCAGCGGCGGGAACAGCATCAACGGGCGGTCGCCGTCAAAAAGAAGAAGACGGGTGAACGCGAAAACGGAAAGCAGGATCGTATTTTTGATGTATAAGAAGAGTTTTCGATTGGCGTGATTTATTCTGATGTGATGTGCACGTCGTGCTCCTATTCATCTGGCTTGACAAATAACCAGGAACAGGCTATTGTAATGAAAATCCTTACCTTTTTCATCTACTCCAGGTAGGCAGCCTTCATCAGATTCCGAAAATAATACGAGCAGACAACGAAAAAATGGCGTTGATACACATCTGCAGGGACAGACTGGTCTACTTGGCCGTGGTAACGAAGGAAGTGCCGCCACTGTACATATGATGATTGATGGCGTAAATAGCGGTTCCTTCCCTTGTTGTTTTCCCCCAACCCCAAGAAGCTCAATTTGCAAGCGTCAGTTGCAAATAATTTTCTTTCGTCATTTACTTTTTCTTTTTGCTTTCCGTTTATATGTCCTCGGCAAAATAACCTCCTACTTCTTTTGGAAATCATCGAAATACAAAAAATAATAGCACCGTGATCGAGGTTCTGGGCGGGATTCACAAAGTGCTTTGTCGCTACTGCTTCGCGTCCTCTACCGAGCAGACTCTCACCGATGATTTGCTGCGGCAGAACTTCTCCTCCGTCTACCTGCTGCTCGACGAAATGATCGACAGCTCCGGCGCGCCCTTCAGCCTGGAGCTGAATTCACTGGAAAGCATCATCGATCCACCCTCCACGCTGAAGAAGGTGACGCAGGTGGTGGCCGGCGGCAAGCCGAATGTGGTTCGAAACGACACCGTGGACCCGAAAGCGCAGAAGAGCTCCAGTCCGGACAGCAGCGGGTATATCGCGGACACCTGGAACACGCTTTCCAGCACGCTGGGGGCCGCGCTGGGGCAGACACCGGCAAAAATTGGCGGACCCTCCGACGAGGTGTGGTGGCGAAAGGCCGATGCGATCTACACCACCAACGAAATCTACGTGGACACGGTGGAGCGCGCGGACATGATCCTGGACGAGAACGGACTCATCATCGCGGGGGGCATCGTGGGCGAGATGCTGGCCACCTCGAAGCTCATATCCCACAGAAAAAAGCAGGCAGGTCGGATTTGTAATGCAAAAATAAATACACTGAAAAATCTGTCATAGGCGGCCCCATAGCGTGCTGCTTAGCATATGCAATGCAGATTGTTCTGTGTATTAATTTATCTTTGCATTACAAATATGACCTGCCTGCTTTTTTCTGTGTGATAGCTCAGCGGCGCGCAGCCGGAGGTGGCAATCTCGTTGAAAGAGCCCCAGGTGCTGGAAAACGCGTCCTTCCACCCCTGCGTCAAATTGCCAAAGTACACCGCTGTCTTAGTCCCAGTTGGTCTAGATCTTCAGATTTTCCATCCGCAAAGTTACTTCGACTTGAAGCATCTGCATTGGAACTTTTATGCGCCGTCCAGCTCGTCACAGACAACCAAAATCAACAAAAACATCATTCTAGGTTCGATCGCGACAAGGTTTTGCAATTTGTGCCTCCCGACGGGCAGTTTCAGCTTGCCAGCTACTGGCGCAACGACAGCAACATAAAGCTGCCCTTCCACTTTCGTGGCTCGCTGGTGTATCACAGCGACAAGGGTCTGCTCGACATCGAGGTCTCGCCCAGACTATCGATCACCAGGCAGAATAAGGTAAGATGACCGGCGGTGCCGCCAAGAAATCAGATGCTCGAAAAATCATGATGGAAGAGACAAACATCAGGAGAAGTTCGACATTGAGGATGATTCTTTATTTTGATTTTGCTTCAATTACAAAACCTCCCAGGTGGCAGTGGAACAGTTCAAGATCGAGATTCGCGTGCCCGAGTCCATCGCCGGCGTGACCTTCGTATCCTGTCGTGCAAAAGTATTGTACTCGTACTAATTGTAATTGCAAATATGCATGACAAATGTTTTCCTCAAGGTAAAACAGCATTACAAATTGCATTTGTCTTGCTGAGATAGTTTGTCATGCAATTTACAGTAGTGCGATGCTTTTGCAATGCATACTTCGACGACAGCATGGTGGGCAGGTTTGATGAGAAGGGCCGACTGCTCGTGTTGGAGATCGGGAACCTGGAGACCAAACTGCACCTGAAGGCGGTGCTGCGGTACAGCAGCAATGCGCAGAACCAGCCGGACGTGCCCTGGGAGGAAAAAGCCGTCGCGCGCATCGACTACACCGTGCGTGGCTGGGTAGCCAGCGGCATCCGCCTCGACAGCCTCGATGTGTTGTCGGTCAGTTACACACCGTACAAGGCCTGCCGCTATAGCAGCCACGGGGGAAGATTGGAAATGCGGCTATTTAACTCCTGATAGATAGGTTCTGAAGTATAATGAACGTCGCAAGGACAAGGAGGTGATGTTGATGACAGATGGCATCTTTGGGGTCACCTGCGAACTTCACTTCGTTCTGCAGCTCCTTGTGTGACGAACGCAAGATGAAATGCAGCTGCTGCTCTGTAGTTTTCCTAGAAACTATGTATAACAGTCACAATCTGAGAAGAGTGAACAAACAAAAAGGACGAATATTAACAGCAAATGTACTCGTGTTCTGCAAACAACATATATCTATATCAATTAGCATTTTCCTTTCCGCCTAGGTACCAGCATCAGGATCAGGATCAGCAGGTCAGTCCTCGCCGATTGTAGTAAAGTTTTCGTTGGTCGTGGGTCGTTAATGTTGATTATGATACCTTCGTGGACACCATGCATCCCAACTCGATGCCGTGTCGTAAAAACTCGTAGGCTGTTGATCATTTCATTCTTGTATGCTTGATAAAATTTTCTCACGAGGAAGCGCTACCGTACCAGCCTTCGGAGTTTAGTTGTCAAGTCGTTTCCGTGATGCACAACGTTTCAGCAATTTTGCATCTGTGACGCACACGCATGTTGAAGGTGAACATCTCGTTATTACCTTTTCACTCACATCTAGATCGTCTCCTACATCTAGCTACTTTTCGTCATCGCCACCCAGCTTTTCGTCAACAAGAATAATGTCGCGGAATAGTCCTAACGGTAGGCCGCTTGCCATTCGTCAACCATCATTATGAAAGGAGAAACAAACCAAAAGTAAATCTACTTAAATAAGTTTTATTCGTGGTCGTGAATCATGTTTCTCCTCCCATTTTTTCGTCTGTAGTGCGCATGCGACATCAACGCAGGGAGAATTCAAGATTCATGGTCGTCGTGAGCAAAAGATCTGTCTGCGACAGTTGCTTTTTTTTTCTGCAAGTGCAATTACAAGGGATGGCATTGTAGATGTAGTCGGGATCGGGAAAAAAAGAATGCCAATAAATCAAGAAAAGGAAGCTAGTTCGTAAAGAATATTGGCATCGAGGAGCCGTTTCTTGTTTCACACAGAACTTCTTCTTGGTATCAGTCACTGTTGCAGCTGCTGTCTTTCATTCAGACTTAACTCTAACAAGTCATAAAGAATGGCGACAGCTTCCCGTGTGGTCGATGCGGTCACGTCCGATGAGGGGACTGCGCCGATGAATAATCCCGTGGAGAGTCTGAAGCAAGGCGCCCTCCTTGCCGACATGCGAACCCTGGTGCAGGAACTCGGGTAAGTGATGAAGTTATGACACTCGTGGCTTCGATGAAGGCCTCGCTTGATTTTTTCGTCCTCGTAGTACCCTTCTGGTTTTCTTGGCTGTGTTACTGTTGATTCCAACAACTCCCTAGATTGTTCCTTCGAGTTCGCATCGTGTGCAACGCGACTGTTCGAACATGCAGATGTGATAGTGGATGTGGATGGATGGTAATCGTAATTTATTTACAACCAGGACCCACGCTCCTGCGAACGAGATTGACGAAGCGCACCTGATCGACATGAAAGTGCCTTACCTGATCAAGGGACGGAAGATGTGTCTGCAGAAGGCCTTCATCGCCTGGTGGGTGGCGAAGGAGCACCACGGGCCCAACCGGCCGACCATGAACCAGCTCCAGGAACTATACAACTCGGTGACGCAAGAGGTGCGAACCCGCGTGGAAACCAGCGTGGGCGCCATGCGGGGTGAAATCGAAGAAATCGTGGAGAACGTGGCTCTGCTATCCACAGTGATGAAAGTATCGTACTAAGTAGGAGCAACTGGATTACAAATTTGCTCAGCATGAGAAAAAAAAATTGTTGGACTTTGTCATGCTGATTGAGCAGATGATGGTAATGCATAGGACTAGGAGCTGCGAAATATAACTACAACGACTTCTACGTACGATACTTGTTTTGCGATGCATACCTGCGCATGGAACAGGCCCAGTCCGTCGTGGAGATGGCTATCTCGAACCAACTCAGCCAACGCGTCCGGAGAAAAATCACCTTTCACGCATGGGTACTATGTAGTTGTGCTTGTGTTTGAAGATTGTGCCGAAACAAAATTAAAGGGAAATCTGTTCGTCACATTGTTCAGATGAAATGTTGCTAGAGAAGATGAAGTTCAAGTGCACAAAAAGAACGCTCGCGTTTGCACCTGCTATGAAACTCTATGTACTTATCTTCAAATTCGCACTCTCAGCTCAACGTCGTCCACCGTCGCGTGGAGCTGCAGGATTTGGGGAAGCGTGCGGGCGTCTTTGTCGGTGATCAGGTCGCGAAGCACAAAAAGCCGACCCTGCTGAAGCTCGCGTTTCGGGAGTGGCAGCGCAATGGACGGCTGGAGAAGTACAAAAACTCTGACTTGCAGAGCACCAACAACGCGTTTAATATCTCCTCCATTCTGCCGAAGAACTTCTACCAGCACAAGGTATGGGATTCTCAAATGTTACATTCTCAACTGTTACAGGAATTTGTAATGCGAGAAAAGTACAGGTGAGCGTGAGGGAGAACCCTGCGCGTCGTGCATTACAGATTTGGTGCGGATTCTAGTGCTATTTAGCTCTCAGCGAATTTGTCATGCGAAGCAGCTTGGTCGTCTAGTGGCTCGTCGTCATTTTCCATGACAAAGTCATGTAACAGTTGAGAGTGTAACGTTTGAGAACGCCATACAAGGAAAACAACGGATACGTCATCGGGGACGGCGGCTATGGGAGCGTGGAGGTATCAAGTGCAAAAATGTCTGGGTCTGGACACTCAAACTTGTAATGCTGTGTTGGTAATTATAGTGAACGCTCTGTAATGCACAGCCGAGCATGAGAAATATCTGCGCTTCTTTGTGTTGCGTTTTTCGCATGAGAAACTGCGTTTTTGCATGACAGGCAAAACTAGGGTCTCTTCTTGGACACGCATCACAAACTTTTTTGTCATGCCAGACAAGCATGACATCTTCCAGACCCAGACATTTTTGCAATCCATAGGAGGATTGCCTAGACGACATGGAGGACATGCAGCGGCACCACGAGCGAATCCTGGTGAAAACCCTCCGCACGTACCGAGACCAAATGTCGTCGCTCAAGCAAGCGTTTCAAGCCGCGCAGCAAGAGGTATCTATATCTGGTAGTTCGACTTGTGATCATGTTGTTCTCGTTTTTCCACTTGCGTTCCACTTCACAATGAATTCGTACGATCCACACCCGCTTGCTACAACAGGAGAATGGTATGTATGATCCACACGACAGGCACAGGCCGCCGCCTCGCGGGGCGGGCGCAGCGGTGGGGGCAGCCTGGCACAGCAGCTGCGTTCAGTCGAAGGCGTTTACGATGCCGCCGAGCGGGCGCAGGAAAATCCTGTCTATGCGCGGGAGCAGAGCATGGAGTTTCGGCTGGAGCGGTTGGTGACGTATGCGCGCAGGCTCTTGCAGGAAAACGACTTGCTCACCTCCAAGATGCAGCTGGTGACCAAGCAGCGAGACCGGGTGCTTGCGCTGCGGATGATGGGTGCGACATCGTCTAGCGGCCTACGGGGCATGAGCAGTGTGATGTCGGAGGGTGCCACGGATCTGCAGACCGCGGGCGGGGCCGGCGGGGATGCGAGCAAGCTGCGTGAGACAACGGGGCCAGTGCTGGACGAACTGGTCATTCGGGAGAAACTGGCGGTCATCGAGAACGAGCGCGACGCCCTGAAGCTCGAGAACGCCGAGCTGAAGAGCAACGCGCTGAAGCAGAAATCGGAGTACCAGTTGCAGTTTTTGCAGGCAATGCAAAAGCTGATCGACAGCAAAAGCCAATTGGGGGAGGAGGATAATCCGGTGTTTAAGCACGCGGACGCGCTGATCCGGGAGCTGGGCATGGCCAGCGGGGTGGCGAGCCAAATCGGCTTGGATTCCTCCGTGCCGGAAATGTGAGGTAGGACATGACGACTCACCTTATCTGATCAGGGTTAGGGTTTCTTTATGGTTTATAAAATCTGGCTATGGCTGCAACATGGCTTCTCAAGTACAAGTTTAGATTTTCATGGCAAATGATGTGAATGTCACCTACACTTCTAAGTAGCAGATCTATGATGTATCTCAATTACTACACACGATGAATAAATCACAAAAATTTTGTTTTTACTCTTTCGCATGATTGTACTCTTACTCTTTCATCTGAAGCACAAGAACTTTCGAAGAAACACAAAGCATACATTACAAAGGAGGGCGATTTCAGACAAAGGCCCTCTTTATCTTGATTATACACACTTTGGCATCTTCTGGGTTTTATTTGGTTGCACAGGACGAGACATGGTCCGTTGTTGCGGTGCGTCGAACGAAATGAGAATTGCCGTCACCATCAGCCCGACATCGACACCGCGTACATTGTAGATTATTTGGCTGGGAAGACGTTGGTCTTGAGCATGCACTAACATTAACATGTACAAAAGCAAGACAGGAGCTCCTCTTCACACAATCCTCGCCAAAGTTGTAGCGTATGGCTTCACGCCTAGGCTAACTGCTGTGGGAAATGTCGCTGTGCCCGCTTTCTTCGCGTTCAGCTACATGACCCAGTCCTCGTCCGGAGGTGTTTTTTGTTTGCGGTCGTCTATTCTTGATTCCCGCGAGCTCGCAGCCACTTGGTCTTTCCTTTTCCGATGTAATAGGTTAGCACACTTTCAATTTCATAGCACCCACATGCACGACACTGGTGTGAAGATGATTGTCGAAGTGCTGCACCACCAGGATAAGCAGGACAAGGTCGCGCTGCTGTTTCTTCGCTGCTTTTCAGATCATCGAGATCGACATGGAGATCGAATGTACAAGATGCAGATTAAGTAGAATTGAAACTAAAAGTTTGAAATAAAACAAGGTCTCCCGCCCGCGGCCACTGGCATTTCCAGATCCTATTCAGAAACTAAACCACAGTGACTGTATGTCGATTTTGTCTTGCAAAGATCCGGTGAAGAACAAGGACAGCTTCGCTTACTATTGATTATTTTTCTCCTCATTGTTGTTAGCACCACTCCTGCAACCATAACGAAAAGCAACACAACAAGATCAAGAACGATACCTGCAGCTATTTTTGAGTAGAAATTGTAGATGCGCGCCCAATACTAGTTAGTACCTCCAATGAGAGGACATATTTTATCCGCTCCCTTCATGATTGTGTAACTCCTGATACCACCACTGATTCTTGGTTGCTAGCACAGTAGCTCATAGCGTAGCAGCCACAGCGACAGCTCCTCGTTTACCAGTGACACTTAGCTAAAGCAGATTGTTTTAAACCTTTGTATGCGCGTGCGCCTGCTCGGACGTCGAAAGGACATCAACCAACGAAGCAGAAAGTAACGGAATCCAGCTGGCAGCTGCTCGTACAACTTACTACGTCGAGGACGAAGCCGCGGGTATTTCCAACTCCAACAACGCGACGCAATGGATCTGAACCACGTGAAGTCACTATTTGGCCATCGGGTGGTCATTCCAGCCTCGAGGGTCGCAGCTTCGGCTGGAACCGGCACGAAACTTGTTGCGATGGTACAACCTACGAGTGCAGCAGCGGGAGCCAGTAGTGCAGGTATCCGTTATTTATTGCTTGTACTCGCCTTGTGTTTCATCTTTGCAGCTGCGTGTATCTGTGATCGGACAACACACAGTATCTATTTACCATTTCTATTTTTTAACCATGTACTAGTACTAGATTCACTTGCAGGAGCCCTATTCACAACTGCACCGCAATTGAGTGCATTTTGGTTTTGGTTTGTGTTTGTCACTGACTCGTCATCTGTGGGGTAGATTGATAATTTCAAATCCATAATTCATCGATCCTCCGCAGCATTCGTTCCCGTCCCTCGCACAACCGGTACTGCCTCTAGTACGACAGCGACAGCAAAAAATCCAGCGACTTCTACCACCTCAGCGTCAACCTACTCTACTTCCGGTGTCAGTTCTATCGCCTACCGCTATGTGCCGACCAACCCTAACTTCTACCAGCCGCTCCCCCGTCCCGATGGCTTCCGCATCCAGGCAGTGAATCCGAACTTTCGAAGACCAGAAACCGCAAACATCGTGCGCCCAGACGGATCGTTTCATGAGGGTATTAACAAGTATGATTTTTCACTGAAGAGTACGATAATATGCATAAAGATGATGATGGACTACAGCCGCGCAAACGACCTTCAGAAGATGTCTGGTTTTGATAAGGTAGAACCTTTTTTTTGCTCTTTTTAGGTCGTAGGAGTCGTGGAAGGATCACGAAACCTCGTTATCGTTTGAACTATCCATCGACCGACTTCTACCACTCTATTATTCATCACCCCAGGTTCATCTTCGTCAACCTCTACAACCGCCTCTGCGCAGGCGTCCAGCAGTGGTGCTGGCACTACTACATCAGCAGCACCGGGTACAGCCTCAGCCAAGGCCGCAACTACGGCCGCGCCTGCAGGAGCCGACGCCACGGCAGCCAACAATTCCGCCGTCGATTTGAAGGACCCGGCGTTGTACTCAAAATTCGATTATCAAATGCAAAAATGTCTGGGTCTGGAAGATTGCAACTTGTCATGCTGTTTTTGGACTCCAAAAAAAATTGTATTGCATGACCAGCAAGAAGGGTGCACTTTGCGCTACACGGATAGGGCATTTCTCATGCGGAATGTGCATCAGGAAGCCCTCCAGAAGTCTGCGAGGCTAGGTCATGCATTACAGGCGTCATGGGTCATGAGAAATATGCATGACAAGTCTTGCATTCTTCCAGACCCAGACTACATTTTTGCATTTGATATCGATGCCGACGGGTTTCCGACACACGATGTCAACGGGGAGGAGTTGACCAAAAACCAGTACAAAAAGGTGCGGAAACTCATCGAAGGGGAGAGAAAGAAGCAGGCGAAGAAGAAGTAGGAGACGAAGAAAGTTGTGATGGGTAAAAGTGTTTCATCACGCTCTGAAGATGAAGAACCTCCAATCAACGCGAAGCGTTGTGACGTGCGCCCATAATTCAGCAAACCGCTTGAGTCTCAGTCTGTACCCCCACGGTCTGGAGCACGTACCCCTTTCACAGAGAAACCTTCCCTACGTTTCCGTTCTGAGACGAGGACGACACATGTTGTTTACGTTGATGTGATGTAAATCGTTTTCTTTCACCGGAAGATAAAGATTGATAAAACCAATCCTACTTCACCATTTCGTGGATATTGTTCTTGCAACCATGCTTATTGTGTGGAGACCGTGTTCCGCTTCGATTGAATGCTGGAGCAGGTGGAATAGAAACCTCCTATTAATCCACAGACATCACAACTGATCTAAATTATGAATGCCCGACGGGCTGATGCGCAAAAGCCACACGACGGGTAGAATGCACACACTTCTAGAAGTTTTCGTTGGATCAATTTGAGGAATGTCGTTCCATCTAAAAGGTGGACGACAACTACCTATTTATGACTCAAGTTCTCCAGTCCTTTCGCTTTCAGGTCAGGGAGGAGGTGAGTACTTTTTGACACAAGGATTTCGGTTAGCACGCTAAAAATTTCTTGTACTCAATGAGCCAGAGAACGAGAAGATCAAGATGTAAGAAAAACAAAAAGAAAAAGCGCTTCGTCTTCGTCTTTCAGTTTTCTCAATAAAAACAAAAAATAAAAAATGTCGTGGTTAAAAACGTTCACGGACAGCGTAAAGCTGGTTTCGCAGGATGTGGCGAGCATGGCGGAGGATGTCGCAAGCAAGGCGGGAACGCTTGGTAAGCTACAGGCAGCTGTAGTACTTTTTGGATACACGGCGACAATGTGAGACGAAGAAACGATATTCAGTCTTAGAGGCTACACATGTGCAGCTAACGCCCAAAAACATTACATTCATAGCATTCGCGTCCGCTTGCATTCCTGTAAAGCTTCTCCCAGGTGATATGATGCTGAGAAGATGCAGAAGTTGCACAAAACAAACGGATAAGTTGACTCAAGGCTTTTCCAGAAGATAATTTGCATGGTTCAAATTCAAAAAATGTTTGTCAGGTGAAAGCTTGCGCAAGATGACCCAGGTGAACCACACGGGGCGGGTGGAGGAAGAGGCGCTGCAGTTGCGTGACCTGGAAAGCGCAACCACCATCCTGCATGATTGGAACGTGTCGATGAACCGTACCGTCGGCAGTATCTCCGAGGAGCGGCTGACGAACTTAACCCTTTTATCCAAAACCGAAGACGAAATGGCCCTAGACGAAGAGGAGCTGCCTTTTTCGCCCGCGAAACGGGCAGGAGGAGTTCTTTCATCTGAAGGTGAGGGTCCTGCCGCTAGACAGCAGCTGGGCACCAGCACCAGCAGCAAAAAGAGTGATGGATCCGCTTCTTTTCCCAGTGATGCGGAACAGCAGACGAGTAAGTCATCTGCTGGCGGCGCTCCTGGAGGTACTAGTAGTTCTGGCGTCGCTCTTGATCCGAACGTCGAATCAGTACTACCAAGTGGCCCGAGCGTAGCGGCCAACAAGTCTGCCCCCCTGTTCCCCACATCCTCCTCCGCAGCAACGCCTTCGAGCTCCTCGAATCTGCGCAATTCTGCAGGCGGAACAAGCCAGGCGCAGGCAGCGAACGCGTCTGCGAACGGCGGCAAGGAGCAGCGCCGGCGGAAAGTGACGTTCCGGCATATTTTCTTGAAGTCCCGCGCGCTGGAGTACGCGTTTCGTGCGATTCATGCTACACCGGAGTTGCAAACGGCGCTGCAGCAATCCTCCGCGGGAGGGAGTGGTGCAGAGGCTGGCGGAGATCAACCCGGAACAAACGGCGCAACTGCAGCGGACCTGTTTTCGCAACAGTTCTGGAAGCTCATAAAAGCGGTACTTACCTCGTCCATGGATACAAGAACGATATTTTTCCATTTGCAGATCGGAAAACCGACTTCGGACAGGGTTGCGGGCGTAGTCTGAGTTATGTTTTGATGATGTCAGTTGTGCAGATGTCCTCAAAATCGAAACGTCAACACGCCGAGTCCTGCTGACTTCTCTTCTACTGTGCACGACGGCGCAGCACCAGCAGGAGTCTTCAAAGTCAACCGATTCAAAAATCAACACAGGTCACCGTCCCGGGCAGTCAAGACCTGGTAAAGGAGCTCGTTGCCTTGATGGGCGCAATCCCGTGCAGCGATTCGCTTCCCGACGCTTTTTTCGCCGTGTTGTCCCGGTTGAAAGAGGACTGGCGGGCGAGCATCTACCTGGTGGAGCGCACACAACTCCAGGACCAAGTTCAACAAGTGCAGCAGAGCTTGACCGCGGGAGGGGGTGGTGCTGCGGGAGGGACAACTGCCCGGGCCTCGGTCTCAGCGATTCCATCGCTGAAGCCAAATCAGATCCTCGGTACGTGGTCCGAGCAAAACAAGGATGCCAACAAGTCGTTGCTGCTGCTGAATCTTCTAACCGACGCGCATGACTGCGACCTGCACATTGTGCAAAGATGGACCACGCTGCTTGCGGAGGTAATCAGGGTGTGATCATGTAATTAAAGTGAAAAGTCGCTTGTTTTACAAACTACGTTTTTGATGAGGAAGATGAAGATGATCTCCCATCTACAAGCAGGATTAGAATGATTCTTTCGAAGTAGATCTTGTTCACACAACCAAGTGGTGGAAATGGTACAACACAGTCGAAAGAAGATCCAATTTCATCTCTCAGACCAGCACGGTTGTAACAGCAGAGGGATCGTCAACAACATCCCTGACTGGCACGACTTCTACATGTTCCCCTTCCGCCACTACAACCTCGTACGCGCGCTCGTGGTCCAGTATTCTTGCGGGGATTGACACAAGCCTGCAAAACGGGGAGGATCAGCGGAAGAAGATGCAGCAGCGCAAGGAATCTTTGCAGGACGCGAAGAAGACGCATATGGCGTTCTCAAATGTTAAATTCTCAACTGTTACATGATTTGTCATGCAAAACTACAATCAGAATGAAATGAATCGGCACGGTCAAGCTGCTTCGCATGACAAATTCCTGAAGGGCCAAACAGGCTGAGAAACTGTTCCAAATCTGTCACGCAAGACGCGCAAGGTCACCTCGTCCACTTTTTCCATTCTTGCATCACAAATTCATGTAAGAGTTGAGAATGTAACAGTTGCGAGCGCCATAACGCAGCGCGAAGAGCTCGGGACGCAGCTCGGCGGGTTGACGGACGGAAAGAAGGAGGTGCAAGACCGGGTGGCGGAGTTAGAGAAGCAAAAGGAGGAGCTGGAAAAGCAGCTGAGCACGGTTATCCTGAGTAGAAACGTCCCCACCCCAGAGTCAAGATGGGGACTTCGCAACACAAAGCGAGACGTTTTGGGCGTCGCGCATGACACGTTGCAGCCCGTAGTGTAGTGCAGGTTGGCAAGGATAGCCGCATTAGAAATCAATCTGCTAATCCTAATCCTGTTTACCGCATTGCAAATTCTAAAACACGATCGAAAATGCCTATCATGGGGATACGCATCACAAATCTTCCTGCCATTGCAAATCTGCATGACAACTCTGGGGTGTGGACGTTTTTACTCAGGATAACGGTTGTCACGGAGCTATCCGAATTGAAGCAGCAGATCGCCCGGGTAGAGCACAGCGAGGACGCACTGAAGAAGGAGTCAGAGAACGCACTGGTCTTTTACGAAGAAAACCTGCAGAGTTTGAAACTGCAGGACGAGAAATTTCTCCGCGACCAGGCCTTGTTTCACGCGATCAAGCAAATGTGCGCCAGCGGGGGGAAAACACAGGTACTTACATAAAATGCATTTTTTCTACTTTCGGATTTTGTATTTATACTACGCTCCAGCCTGAAGCATATACAGATTCCAAAAGTGACCTTTTTCGTTTCGGCGATTTTTTTTTGTTTGCTTTCCAAACTAACATCATTGAAGCTGATGTTGATGCTGCACCATCCGGATTTCAAGATCAAGCGGCGAAGTGATGTTGGGAGTGCCGTGGTGGATCGATATCAGCATATTTTCGCAGTGGCTGCTGGTGTTGGATCTGGATGCACATGCATTCGATTCTTGCCCTCGTGAAGAAGATGCGATGTTTTCTTCCAATTCAAAACTGTTCAGGCCGACACCTTGCACCTCGCCATTGAGGAGCGTAAAAAGTCGGCGAGCGAAGTTTACACCGGCTTGCTGAGCGCCGGGGAGAAACACTTGGACCTGGAAGCCACGCGCCTGCGAACGGCCATGACACTGGTCGAAACTTGCTGCGTGGCAGTGTACGAAGCCGCGCCGGCGGTGAGCGGTGCTGGTGGTGGTGGACAGCATGCTCCCCCTCTTTTCGCAGCTCCATCAGCAGGTGGAACTACGTCGACTTCTGAAGCCGCCGCGACAGGAATTATGGCCCCACAACACCCCCCCGCGCCGGCTCCCTCACGACCGAAGGAGGCACTTCTGCTGGATTTGAAAAAGGCCATCGCGGTCCGGGACCGGTGCTGGCAGGAGCTGGAGCGGTTTTTGAGCAAGTATGAGAAGAGACTTTTGGCTGGCGAGGCTTGTGCGGCGAAGATACAGAAGACAAAAGCGGACTTCTCGCAACACAAACAAAAGCAGGAACCAGTGATCCAAGCGGCCTGGGAGGTTGTAACGGGACGTGCTGGAGGCCCTGGTGGTCCTGCACTAATGTTGCAACAACAGCATCAACAAAACCAGCTTCCCGCCTCTGCAGCGGCCGCGGGAAAGAATCTGCTCGGCGGGATCACAACCGGCGGCGAGAAGCTGCTCGGTACCGCGGGCCAATTTTTGTCCAAGCTGAAGGACGAAAATTTTCCGCCGATCCCGAGTACTGGAACGACGATGACCAGCATGAGCGGAGGAGGACCTCCAGGGGGAACAATTGCAGCCGGTAAATTATCTTCCGCTGGTACGACGGGGACTCCTGCAACTAACTCATCCGCCGGCTCTACTACTTCGGCATCCTCATCTGCGTCGCAATCCGCGGCATCGAGCTTCGCGTCAAGTTTTTCCCTTTCGCAGGTCACTTCGGACATCAACGAATTGTTTTTCAACAATTCCAGCAATCCCGCCAGTAGTCCGCCGAGTAAAGAAGCGCCGACAGCAGGAGCAAGTTCGACGAAACTACCAGCAGCTTCAACAACACCAGCAGTGCCGGTCCCCGTTTTGCAGACGGGCAACATGGCCCCTGTCGGAGGAGGTACACCTTCCTCCTCTCCAGACAAGACGGTCGTGCTAGAGGCACCAAAGAGCGTGGATTTGCGGAATCAACAACCGGTGGAGTTTCACAGCATCGGCACTCCGACCACGAGTCCGAAGGCCGCGGCGCAGTCGGGTGGTAGTAGTACTGCTCCTGCTGTACGACCTGTAGCCCCACCTAGCGGAACGGTTTCCGTAGTTGCATCTACAAGCACAGTCCCACCTCCTCCCGCTGCACCAACTGCAGCCGCGACAACATCATCTTCATCCGCCGCGAAGACTACAGACAAACTGTTTGATGTGGATGACGATGACCTGTTTTCCATGTTTCAAGCCGGGCTCGACGACATCACAAAGAAATAAAAAAATGAAGCGTCTTGTCGTGAAGTGGAAGTGCTAGTAGATGAAGATGTTTGCAGATGTTAAGATTCACCTGCTAGCTGTGTAAGTGAAGTACTTGGTAGTAGTAGAGAAGTAGTTGAGCAGTAGTTCGCTGTACTCTTAGTCTTAGACAATGACATCGTCAAACAACTATTTTGCATCTTGTGCCAGTGCCTCTGCCTTCGGAACCGGAAGCAGAAATGCGGCACGAAAAAAGCGAAATCAGGACAGCGGCCTTTAGCTTGTCGTGAGAATCGCGGAATAAGTGGATGACGCTGTTGTATTGAAGTAAAAGTTCCCTGTGTACAACTACTAGAAGCGCCTCAACGAACTCCTGAAAGAAGACGTTGTCGCAGGCCTCCTCGGCATGTCTGAGACTGACTTCGTGCTACTGTGCGATTGCTGAGCACGAGAAGCTTAGAAACGGCGATAAGAGTGTTAATGATAATGCCGTACTATTACGCAAATAGCAAATACTTGTGTCAGCAACAAATCAAGACAAACGATCAGATCCGCAAGGAATTTCTAGAGCCGGATTCACTTCTTTTTGCTCACGCAAAGATCACGCGAAGAACAACTAGGAACAATTTACGACGACAGAAGATCCGACGAGGATCTCCTTTAGCTTCACTTGATCTTGATCAGCGATGGATCCGATCTTCTACCTGATGCTCTGCGATGTTGGATATTCCGACTTCTTGTTCCCTGCATACATCGATGTTGAACTGTCCCTGCCACTAGTCGATTCCATTTGGATACTCATTGCACCTCTATCCACCACCAGGCTCTACAACTTTTGTTGAACTTGTTTAGATCAAGATTTGGAAAAAGAGGACTTATCACTAGGCAATCACTTTTTCTCCTGAAACGTTTACGTAGAAAACACGCAAAACCGAAAGCCGCTTTGAGTATTTCATCATAAATTTTCCTGGTTGGACTCTTCAAAAGCGGAACAAAAAAGACAAAAAATGGGTCGTCTCGGGCGGGCCTTGTCAACAAAAAAGAAGTTGTTGCGACCACACGAGCGGGCAAGCGCGAACAAAAACAGAAATGTCAGTGTGAAAACGCATGAGGAAAGGAAAAAGGAGAAACGGGACCTGCAAGCGATTAAGGATCTCGAGAAATCATTGCTGGAGAGCGGGAAAGCAAAGAGGGTATTTACTTTATTTTAATTTTTCTTTCACTCAAACTGGAATACAAAGGAATAAGTACGAACGCTGAGGTTCTGGGAATGAGATATAGGCCATGCATAATGTTGATGAAAAAACAAAGTAGAAGCTGACTCCGTGTTCAACCACGAACCAAAACCGAAAGAGCAGTCCCAATCTGATTGCTCATGAAAAACAAATACTAATACAAAACTATTTTTAATTCTATCCCCAGGTCGCCGCCGCAAAGAAGCGTGCCGCGAAGAAGGCACGGAAGGCAGAAAACGAAATCAAGAGCGGCCACTACCAGATCATCAAAGATACGGAAAAGATTCGAAGATGGCACAAAAAGGCGAAAAGAGACCTAGTGAAGATGTCGCAAGAGCAAATGAACTTCATTTCACAGAGGGCGGGGCATTAGTTGCCTCTTGAAGATGCTGGGACAAAATTTCATCTTCAATACCGACCACTTCTGGTGAGGAAGCTGCATAAGTACGCGCACAAAAAATCCTAAATAACGAAGATCGACGACTATGAATTCACTCGTCGTCGTCGTGTTCCCATCGGTTAATCAAAGGAGCGCCGACACCCAACAAATATGCAGTGGCTGGAAGGTGTTCAGTTTTCGTCTTCGTGTCGAATATGTCCACGGGCAGCGAGATGAGATTAGCATTTGAGTGTTGTTGTTACTCGCTAATCATGCTGTGCCACTTTAAAAACAAAACTGAGTTACAGTCTCTGTGTCGTCCATCATGCTCTTCTACTAAAATTGCGAAGTGCCCCTGCGGCAGTGCGGTCGGGTCAGTCGCTTTATCGAATTTGAGACAGAAGAGAGAATTACCAGTCGATTTTTAGTTGCGTTCGCGTTGTTCGTAGCTTTTTTTTGTGTGGTGCTGTAGAATGAACGTCACGAGGGAGCGTCCTCGTCATTTAGGATGGAAAGTTTTGTAGGTAAAGGAAACAAAAATACATAGCCGTAGCTTTCATCTTACCCTTGGCGTACTGGTTTATTCTGTGCTGCGTTTTGAACTTGGTTTTGGAAATCGTAACAATAAAGGACGAACATGTTGGCTTGGCGTCTCCACCCAAACCTTGCAGCGTCGAGCTCCTTTTTCTCTTCGTCAGGTAGCGCAAGCCGGAACGGGTTACATGATCCAACAACTGGAGGACCACAGGAGACCGCTGCTTCACTTTTTCAGCCACCCATTCATCTTCACCCGCATCAGCCTGCCAGTACTACCAGAAGTTCGATATCACAAGCGAAAAGTACTAGCGGTGGAGTGCTAGCAGCACCAGGAGCCTCGTCCACCACCTCCTGGCTCGCCGCTGCAACAGCGCGGACGAAGAAGCTTTTTTCTTCCTTTGTGGACGATGAGGAGGACGACGATGACGACGCGAACCCCGATTTGGGGGACACCATGGACGCGCCCACACCGAGTCTCGCCCCGGGGGAAGACATTTCGGAAGCCACGGATCCGTACAATGGCCCGGCGATGCAGGAGGTATTCTATTGTGAATAGGGCTTTCTAATTGCATGATCATGAAGATGCTAGATTAGCACTTCTTTTACAAATTCCGCTGGAGGACGAGCTGCGATGATATTGAGGCTGTGCATCCTACATACAATAACAGATCCAGATGAAAATATGTGGTATCTATTATACGTACACTCATGGAAAGAACATTTCAAATATTGCAACAGCGACTAGTAGCACCTCCATGTTGCATCATCAGCGTCTTACAAATAGTACAAGCGCACCACAACTCACCATGATGCTCCCAGGTCCACGGTCACAGCTCTCCATCGCTCGAAAGCATGAACGAGCTCGCGATCGTGCTTGCTGGTGGTGCCGCGGGAATGAGCAAGCTTTTGGAAGGGGATTCGACCTCCAAATCGTCCTCGCGAGAGGGCCGGTGTGGTGAAACGTTCGGCATCTTCATGCGACCACATTCACGAACATCGAACACAAGGCGCGCAACAGGTAATCAGGAAGGGGAGCAGGCGATCGATGTACTGTGCGTGTCAACTTCGCCGGACGAGCAGAAGTGTTTGCGAGAGCGAATCGGATTCTTCTAGGATGACACGCTGACCAGCGACCACCCCCCCTGCCTGGGTGGCGCCTCAGAAGGAGCCGCGACACGCATACGCTGACCCCCCGGAAGCTGTGCTGCTGCTGCGTGGGAGGTTGATGATATAATACGGAACCTCAGCCTCTTTTTGATATTTGTTTCGAACAACTTGTTGGTTGTATTTTGCGAATCAGACCACAGTTCTTCTTCTTTTACAGATTCTGAACTTTGAAATATAGTGAGAATTTTGCGCAGCATCAAGAGCAACAAGATAAAATCTTAATCTACTTCCCGCCTGAATTACGCGTTGGAGTAATATAGGCCGGAGCTGTTGTGATGTCATTTTCATTTCGGATTTTTTTTCTTGTGTTTCAGTTTCTAAGAAAAATCGACGGCCCTGGTGCGGGACCGAGCTCCGCAGGTTCTGCGGAGCCATGACCAGCCTTGTCTGCGACCACAGAAGGTTCGTCATTTCGCACTTCGCTTCTGAACTTCTACTTCGGCTTGGAGAGATCGCATGCAGTTTTTATTGATTTTCCATCAACGATCTACTTGCCGCTCCCGGGCGGATGCGGGTCGCAGCAGAGGCGAGGAGGTCATTCGTTCGTTCTTTTTCGCGCACCAGGAGCAAGAGTCAGTGGTAGGGCTGAGGGATGAGAAAAATGTCGTGGAGGGCGCTTGTTTGCAGGTCGTGTTCGTTACGATGAACAAACTTTCCGTTGCGATACCGACCGGCTCGCACTCGCTGTATCGGTGTAGCGTGCTGGACGACTGGAAATCTTTTAGCGCTGAATCTTCATAACTGCCGGCGCAAAATAACCAAACCGTATTTCCTTTTAGGTGGAACTTATCCTTTCTTCTCTAGTTTACCCTTCTCGGCTACCCCCAACATGGCCCGGCGCGGGGGAGACAACTTTGCGCGAGAGGCCCAGCTATGAAATGCAAAAGCATCTTACTTCTAGTAGTACAAATCGCATGACAAATTTCATCAGCATGAGAAATAGAATTTGTAATGCGGATTTACATTGAGAAAAAAATCTGTAATGCATGACTGCGATAATTACTACGAGTGGGAGTGCGATACTTTTGCACAGGATACCAGCAGCCGGTGATCCAGGACCGGGTGTACAAAGAGTGCGCCTAGTATCTACAAGAAAAGAGCCATCCACATCCAATTTGTCATGCAAAATGTGCATAAATGCCACTATTTGTCATGCAAAAAATGGATGGGGATGGTTGTTTTGTTATGGATACCCACAAGGAGTGGATCACGCACAAATTTAACAGCGTCAAGGTCGAAGCCTGGGGCGACAAGCCGGTGGCGCCCAAAGTCACCGTCGCCATGTATGGTGTTCTCAATTGTTACATTCTCAACTGTTACATGAATTTGTCATACAGAACCCCAATCAGATTCGACGCGATCAAGCTGCTGCGCATTACAAATTCTGGAAGGCCCAAACAGGCTGAGAATCTGCGCGAAATCTGTCATGCAAGAGACGCAGTCTTCGCCCTTTCAGTTTTGCCATTCTTGCATCACAAATTCATGTAACACTTGAGAATGTAACTTTTGAGAACGCCATACCATGGAGCACTTCGCGCCGCCGAAAGCGTATTTTTTTTGGTAAAACAAGGAATCAAGTTGAGGTCATGGAATCAAGTTAACTGGAATCAAGTTAGGCCTGGAATCAGGTTATATGGAATCAAGTTAAACCCGGAATCAAGTTACATGGAATCAAGTTACTATCTGGAATCTATCAAGTGGTGGAATGGAATCAAGTAAACCACCACGACAACTTCATCCCCATCAGTCCTTCGCCTCGCAATGCCTCCCCTTGGAAGAATCTATCTGCTGCGCTTTTTGTGTTTTGTGGCTTCCACACCCTCGCGCCTAAAGTTCTCCGCTATTTTTTTTGAAAGGCGGCCACGTTCATCAAAGGTGTCTGGCTTTTCTTCCTCTGGTCGATAGAGACGTGGCGAGTAATGTTATAGCTAACCTTCGCGCGCCCGTCTTGTTTTACGGCTCTTTGCCGAAAGTTTTCGAGGCTTTCGCCTTGCGAAGTTCCAGGGAGGGATTCCATTTGTGTCTCCTTCCCTCGGAAGGGGTGTGTCTCTGGGAATTCCGTCTTCATTTCGCCTTCCCTCGGAAGATCCATCCGTCCCTCTCGGAGTTACATTCCCGCTTCGCCTCCTCTCGGGAGACCCATTGCTCATGGGATTCCGTTTCCATTTCGCCTTCCTGGGGATGGTGTCAGTCTCGGGGGATTCCGTTTTGCCTTCCTGCGGAAGGTGTCTCGGGGGCCGCCATTTCGCCTTCCTTGCCCTCTTTTAGGTCTCTCCCTGGCGGAAGGACCGCTGCTTGATTGCCTCTTGGGGGAGTGTGAGTTGTTTATTTCCTGGCTGGCGCGAAGCTTTCGCCATCGACTCCAGATTGATGAATGGCCCGAGCTTATTGACACCTCCTGCGCGACGTGGGTGGTTCGGGGTTTTTCTGTGCCCGGGGGCCCGAAGCACAGGCTGGCGCGTGCGTGGTGAATAACGTCAAGGTCGAAGCCTGGGGCGACAAGCCGGTGGCGCCCAAAGTCACCGTCGCCATGGAGCACTTCGCGCCGCCGAAAGCGTATTTTTTTTTGCGACTTTTCATTTTGCGTTTTGCTGCAGCAGCCTTGGCGTTTCTTCGCATCTCTCCGCTTTGTAGTTTATCTTTATATAACATGTGGTCGATGTCTTGACAAATCAAATCGTGTTTTGTCTAAGAAGCTTGCATTACATTGTCTTTTTCTTTCGTCCCTTTGAAATGAGTGTCAAAAACTATCAAAGAAGTGAAACATTATACACCAACAAGGTATGGTGACAAAATAACCGGAGCAAGACCTGCGGGGAAGCCGAGCGCTGTTCCCGAAGATGTAAGCGGGAAGTGAGTCCTCGCACACTTGTGGTCCATTTCGTTCATCCTGTAATCACGGCTGGCGCTGCCTGAACAAGCTGGCACTGGTCCACCATTTCCTTGTAAGAACAGTGACGCCATTGCTCTTTCAGGACGTGATCCGGAACTTCTACTACTACACCCACCCTACCAGCAGCAGCAGGCCCTCCTGGTTTATAATGTTAATGACGACAAGGACAACATGATACAAGATCAAGAACAACAGAATTGAGGCAGCGAATCTTTTTCCCATTTCCGGCGAGCCTGCAGCTCGCCTGCAGGACGCATGAGGCTCGGCGAACCGGAACAAAGTTGTACGGCTGAGTCGCGCAGGTGTTCGCAACTTGTGGTCTCTAGTATACCAATCGTAATTTTTATGCTGGCTCAACAAGCATATATGCTGCTGGGGGACAAGGAGAAGTCCTCGACGACGGCCTTCTTGTCCACTACTTCGACTTCCCGTGTAAGCAGAAGTTGTAGTTGTCTGAGACGGATCATAGTCGGATCACTCGAAGTAGAACTCACGACCCATCTGGAAAAATATGCGCATTTCGGTTGATAAAGTCTTGACCTTAGATCAATATTGTTCGAAAATCCACAACTGGGAAGATTGAGCTTTGAACTATGGTAAGAACCCGATCTGATCGAATCGGTGACGGAACTCACGGAGCTGCAGCAAATTGTTTTCCATTTCCAACACTCCGTAACTTCAGTTGAAGCCACGGGAGTGTTGTAGCATTGTCGCGCCGTCAAAAGATCATCTGGAAATCGCGCGATATTGATCCTTGAAATTGATCCTGGCCTCTCGTTCGCGGTTGAAAATGAAACAACATCGCTGAGAGAAGGGCATGTGCAATGCTACTTAAACGAATGTTTGAATATTTTGTCGAAGATTCATCGGTACGATCGGTCAGCAATTTCTTGGAACAACAGAAACAGTAGGGTCTCTCTCCGGCTCCATCAGACTTTATTCCGCCTTGTTTCATGATCACTACAGCCTTGTCTCTCGTCGAGAGGTACAACAAGATAAAAAGTGCTACTACTTTTCAACGTTTTGCAACGAATTTCGTCTGCTTCATCCACAAGTTCTAGTTTTGAAAAAATCCACAAGTTCTACTTTTGAAACAAAGCGAATTTATATCTTCACCTGTTATATAATTACAGATACGATCATTATTTTCAACTCTTGATCATCAACATTCTCACCATGACATTGAGGAAGTACAACTACAATCCAATGTTTCGGTTTCCGTTGGTCCTGGTGTCTGCGCTGTTCGCCGACAGCGCCAATTCCCGCCTTCTTGCCGCCAGTGGGGGTCGTGTGACAGGGGCTGCTGCTGCTGGATCTCAACAACTACTTTCACCACGGCGACGAGGGCACGACGATCAACGTTCCGGATTTGTGCGGTCGTGCATCGCCCGTTGTTGCGGTGGTCGTCCTATCATATTAAAAAGCGCCCCACACGACCCGGACAGTGTAGTTATTCCAAAAAATATGTAAGTGATGTTATTGCAATTGATTTAGTAGTGTGTGTGTGTGTGTATGTGACGTGTGTTGTCTTCTTTTTGGGAAAAAGATCATACAGCAAAAACTTCTTCGTGACACGCCACAAATTTTTGCCAAGTGTCAGCGCTGGTCGTGTGGTCTTCTGAGCAGGTCGCGCTAGCGGGTGGGGCGCTTTTTATCTTCATGTTGCGCCACCGCCAGGAGGATGGAGATCCGCCAGGACGAGACGGGTCGCAAGAAGGTGCTCCGGAAGGAGGTGCTCCTCCAGCTCCGCAAGGAGAAGGACTGTCGCAGCCCCTTCCTTATGCTGCGCACCAGGGAAGCGCTAACGCTGCCGCTGCTTCGTCGGTTCGTCTGGGAGGTCTCGCCGTCGGCGAGGTGTATAGCCACAGCCATGTTGGTGCGCCGCGGCCTGCTGCCGTCGGATCGCAGTTGCGGCAACGCAGGGGGCCACCGCAACGGCCTGATACGGCGGCGCCGCCGCGCGCTGCCTCGTCATCTCGGGGAGGTCGCAAGCTCGACGAGTCCGGCCGTCATTTCGACGAGCAGATGGGCCGACGATTCGACGAGATGGCCCGTCAACATGCTGAAATCTGCCGTCAAGATACTGAATTCTGCCGTCACGATGCTGCATTATGCCGGCTTTGGCGCGAGGAGATGGTCCGCAAACTTGAAGCTGCTGGGCGACAACATCCTGATATCCGACCTCAGCTGCTCCGCGGCAGTGTCAAGAAAAGGTCCTCATTCTGCCAAGGTTTTTTCGAGGACATGGTCCGTCAACTTGAACCTGCTCGGCGACAAGATCCTGAAGTCTTAGCTCGGCTTCTCAAGGCTGTCGAAGCGGCTGTCGAAGCCTGGCTTGAGAATGGCCGACGCATCGAGCAGCGGAAGCTCTCCGCCTCCACCGAGGGCCAGGATGGAGGTCCGCCCGGAGGTCGGTCGCAAGAAATTGCTCCGGAAGGAGATGCTCTGGCCCTGCAAGGAGCGTCGAAGCCCGTTCATGATACAACTGCGCAGCAAAACGCTAACGACATGTCGCAACGTTCTGACATGCCGGCTCCGGGCGCTGCTGCTGCTTCGTCGTCTCGTCTGGGAGGTCTCGTCGGCCGCGAGGTGGGTGGCCCTGTCCATGTTGATGCGCCACCTGCTGACGTCAGATCGCAGCTGCGGCAACGCAGGGGGCCACCGCAACGGCCTCTCCATACCCATGCTGATGCTCCGCCTGCTACCGTCGCAAACAGCCGCGACGAGGCTCTGATCATGCGTCGTAGAGTACAGAAATGCTTCCCACGCCCTGAAGCGCCGCGTGCAGGACATGGCCGTCCAGGAGATGGGCAGACGCAGCAAGAAGCGGGAAGACCCGGAGCGTATGAAGACCGGGGGGACCCGTGGGAGCCCATCCATCGCATCCCAGAAGAGAACCGGTGGAGGACTCGGGTTAATGGGAGTGATACAGCGGCAAGGGCCAGGGCCAGCTTTGTCGAAGGCTTCGGAAATGATCTGGAAGTGGGGGCGGAAGATGGTTCTGGAACTGGGGGTACATTTCAAGAAGGTCAATGGTGGAGTGGGAGTCCATCCGAAGCCCCGTCTTGTGAAAAATAAACCTCGTCTCCTGATTTTTTGGACGCGGACATGAAAACCGAAAACGCACACTCACCAGCACTTTTCGATTTTTTTTCAGAAAATAAAAAAAAAGCCCTACTGTGTTGGACTTCGGCTGGCCACTGGAATGTCCTTCATAGGCCGCCGAGAGATTTCGCTCGCCTCGCTCGATTTTTTTCTTCATCCTCCTATTTTTTCTTCATCCGACCATGAGGTGCACATATGATGTACGATAGGGAACAGAATTAGTATTTTTTTAATCGCGTGCAGCTGACCACGTTATCTATCAACGAACTAACACGACACTTGAAAGATTCAACAAGTGAAGTTATACGTAAAAAGAAGTTCTCGTCGGGAGTTGCGAGTGCGCGACTTCAGTTTTGAGCCCAAATAGGGTGGGGGCAGACAGACGGGTTTAGGATTTTTACATATGTAGTGGCGTCGGTAGAAACAATTTTACAGATCATTTTCGTAGAAACAAACTTGTATATAGCTCCGGGTGTAGGGTAAAGACGTGCTCTCACGTCGGAGAGGCGACCACGCTGCCCCCTCCTAGTCGTGTGCCAGTTCGCGAACAGATGTCAGGCCGCGTCTGTCTATCGAGGGTTGGGGTAAGAGGCAACGCCAATCGCCACCTATCTAAAGCTAAAGTATTAACCGTTAACAGAATTTGCATTTTTTTAATCGCGTGCAGCTGACCACGTTATCTATCAACGGAACGGATTAACAACACACTTGAACGATTCAACAAATGAAGTACTTATATTTTAAAAGAAGTTCTGGAGAGTTGCGAGTGCGCGACTTCAGTTTTGAGCCCGAATTCGGGGGCAGACAGACGGGTTTAGGGTTTTTACATAAGTATATAGTAGCGTCGGTAGAAACAATGTCACAGGTCATTTTTGTAGAAACTTGTCTATAGCTCGGGGCTTAGGGCGGTAAAGGCGTGCGCTCACATCAGAGAGGCGACCACACTGCCTCCTCCTAGTCGTGTGCCAGTTCGCGAAAAGATCTAAGCCGGCGTCTGTCTATCGAGGGTTGAGGTAAGAGGCCCCGCCAGTCACCACCTATCTAAAGCTAAAGCTTGACCATGACCGTTCCAAGTCCAAGACCTCCAATGGGCAAAGCGAAAAGGTACGCTGTCAGTAGAAAAAGGAGACCTGCAGTACTAGCTTTGAACCTGAGCTAAGCTATCGCTCTAGCACTCTTAGAGGCACAGCGAGAGTTTTCACTCCGGTTGGTCTTCGCAGATTATTGCTTCGCTCTGTATCTGTATCTGTATCTGTTGTGTACAGTTGCATTAGTTCCCACGTGCAGCTTCTAAAGACCGCACGACGTCTACGTTTGAAGAAAGCTGCGAGCATCATCATCAACTACTCACGGAAAACCAACTACTCACGGAAAAAACGAAAGCGCCTGTCCGTCGTAGCTCGTTCGAGTTGCAGCCGCTGTGGTTGTATTCACTTGATTCACCACGCGAACAAAATGCTGGTCGAGTGTTCGCCTCTGATACTACATCATTTTGCGTCGGCCTCGGCCCGTCATTGTGTTGCTTCTTGCGTGAGAGAAGGCGCACAGATGATATCAATTGCAAAAAATATGTCTGGGTTTCTTTGAAAGTCGGAACTTTTAATGTTGGTCGTGCATTCGTCTGAAATCCAAAACCAAATCTGTGTTGCATGACCAACAAGAGTCGCTGCCTCTCTTGTCATACAAAAACGCAGCTTCTGATGTGGCAAAAGATATGTAAGTAGATGAGCCTCGTATATTAGGTTTAGGTAAGTAGACGAGCCTCGTTTAGTATTCTTTTTACATCATCCGTGTGGTTGTGGCTCCCTGACAAGAGCTTCAACTATGTCTATCAGTGAAAAAATGAGTACTCGATAATTTTTTCGACATCTTCCATACCACCCGACAAGAATAAAGAAGAAGAACCCAAACCCAAATGCCGCAACCGCCTCCCTCGTCTGTCTCCTCGTCTGCTCACGGCACCCAACAAGAAGACAATGCGAGTCCTGGTTCCTCGTCCACCTCCCCACCAAGCTCCATCGGCGGAGCTGCCACCGCCGCTGCCCTCGGCGCCAGCTCAGGTAGTTCTTCGTCGTTATCCGGTTTTATCCTGGCGGTGGCGCTGTTCTTCGGCTTTCTGAGCTTCGTCTGGTGGCTCGCATGGCAACTGTCGTTGAGCAAAGTTCCAATCTTGCGCGAAATTTTCTCGGACAAGGAACCCAAACAGCACAAGAACTCCTCGAAGCAGAGAACCAGCAGAACGGCTGGAAATGTTGGCTCTTTCGGCGCAGATATCGCTATGGGTGCTGGACCAGGGGGGGCGACAAGAAATCGGCGGCAAAACGCGCGCGCATCTTCATAAACCCTTTCACGCTGGGAGCAGGGCAAGAGCCAAGCTTTCGAATAGCTCTCAGACCGCCGGGCCGGAAACTTTGTGAGATAGAAAAACGAGCTTCTGTAGTGCGATCTCGGGCTACTCCGGAAATCTGAAGGTATGCTTCGCTTCTGAGGAACTTCTTACCTGCGCTGCGCTTTCAGCAGTGTGCCGGATAGCAGACCCGGCTGCAGCGCCGGCAGCTGTGAGGGGAGGTTGATATACCGAGCAACTTCTACTTCTTCTTGATGACCGAAATAAACCGAGTCGCCCGTCGAGCTGGTCACCCAAGGCAAAGAACGGGGAGACGGAGAAGAGTGGTTCCTCAAGAGGCGATGAAAAAAGTGCTCCATGCCACGACGAAAACGGTTGCGATGTCAGTCGCGAACTTCTGGGCGTGAGGACTGCGAGTCACGTCAGCGTCAGAAGCAACTTGATGCGCATTTTGTGGTGTCCGCAGGAAGTGGAAGGTGCAACTGCAATTAATTAGCGTCGGGGTTGCGCTACTTCTAGCGCTGCTGAGGAGAAATTTTCCAACCTGAACTTCATGAACGTGCATCTTGATTTCCGAATTTTCCTTTCTACCCGAGTGGTCCGAGTGCGATCAAAAGAAAAGTCAGAATCGGACGATGTTCACCCCGTGGAGGACGCCACTAGAGCACCTCGTCCGTGTGGTCCCCGTTGTACTCGCTTCCAGCCTGCCGTCGTGCTGTACGAGCAGGAAAATCTTCAACATTGAACCATTGGAAATAACACAATGGAAAAACACATAAAACAACTCGTAGGAGGATGAAAGAGTGGTCCTTGAGCTGCACTATCCTTGATGAGGTATGGTCCATTTTTGCCCTGTACCAATCACGACACTTTATATACGTGGTATGTTCCTGATGTTGCAGCTTGTGGTACCACATGTTGATTCCGGCTTTGTTGCTCGCCTTACAGCTGCATCAGCACGTGCTGTGCGACATCGAGAGGAGGATTTTTGCGTCGAGTGCAAATACAGGTTGTTGAAAGTAGTCCCGCCAGCTTGCGGTAAACGCACTACTTAAGTTGTTGTACGTAGTAGCCCTCGTCTCGCTTGTCCTTCGAAAGAATCGGTTTTGCTATGCTTTTCGACGACGTCGTACGTGGTAGTAGCTCCACTGGTTATTTGCAATGTAGTAGTCCTCGCATTTGGAGGTTCTCGAGCTGCTCGACCGTTCGCGAGATGAAGAATTATCCGGCCATACAGTCCTTGTAGCTTTCTCGTCGCAACCTGAATCTCACTGAGATGTTGCTCTTCAATCATAAAGCGTACATCTTGCTTATGCAGCGTGTAGTGATGTTGGTGTCTTGTTCTTGTTGTTCATGTTGACCATGACAAGAAGAACATAAGAGCAGCCAAGGCGCAGCAGCTCCTGCCCTTGCCGTCTGTTGTTGAAGTTGAAGATGGCTCATCTGCGCGTTGAATCCGTGTCCCCGGAGCGGCCTAGCCTGAGCGAGCGGTTTATCCAGGAGAAAACACGCGTCCCCATCCATTTTTTTGCATGACAAGCACTGGAGTTTATGCATATTTTGCATGACAAATTGGATGGGGATGGGTGTTTTTTCCTGGATACGATTCCGCGAACTGCAGGAGCGGCGGGAGAAGTTGTCGCGAAAGATCGAGGAGCGACTAGGAAGTTTGAGCGCAGGAGGAGCAGCTGCAACTGCCGGCGGATCCTCGACCACAGGCACAAGTTCTTCTACAACTTCCGCGAGGCCACCTCCAGCACCCTCACTTGGCACCGCAGAGCTGCAAACTTCTAGTAGTTCCTCTGTTCCTGCAGGGACGACGCACAAGAACAGTAGCAGGACGCTTTTTGTACCCGCCGGAGGACCAACCGGAGGTGTTGTGTCATCTTCGAGCACTGGGACCGCGGGGACAGAAAGTACGGTACTGAATGTTGGCGCCGCGACGTTTAATGTTCCACCGACGTCCACGGCCATCAATAGCTACCACCTGGACATTGTGGAGGAGGAAACCTCGGACGACCTCGCGAGCTCACCCGAGTGGAACCGCAAAAACGGTACGACCAGGAATTCCCTGATCCGCAAGGCCGCCGAGTCCGCATTACAGCAGCAGAAGAAGAACTACAACTACCGGCAGATGAACAATACTGCTCAACAAAGTGGTCAAATTGTTCATAATTACAATTACAAGCAAGCGTTTCTGTACAGTACAAAGGAACAAGACGACGACGGCACTAGTACGCCAGCTGGAGGGGCTCCAGCCGGAGATGAGGAAGTAGACTCCGTCCTCCGTGCCGAGGGCGAAGACCTACACCCCGACGAAGTCGAGGATGCCGGGCCGTTGGAGATCTATGAGCACGAAGACGGCCACCTCCGGGACGCCGACGGACACCTGGTGGACGCCGATGGGCGGCTGATAGACGCGGAAGGAAGATTCATCGACGCCGACGGGAGGTGGGTTAGGGTTTTTGATTTACCTTTGAACGAAAATGATTATACTTGTCGAGCACGTGAAAGAACGAACCCAGCACGTACTACTTTCGTCTTGTTTCAAACACGAGAATCAGATTTCTCATCGGTGTTAACACCTACTAGTACTATCAGGAGTATCTGTATCTTCGACCACCTGACCACTTCTCAACACACCAATCTACCAACGATCAAGGTTCATCGACGAAACGGGTCGGTTTGTGGACGCCGAGGGCCGCTACGTGGACGAAGATGGCCGCTACATTGACGAAGACGGAAACTTTGTGGACCTGCATGGCCGGTTTGTGGACGAGGAGGGCCGGCTGGTCGACGAACATGGACGACTGGTGGATGAGGACGGAGCGTTGTTAGAGGAACAAGAAGATCAGGAGGATGGTATTGTTCGTATTTGATTTTGATATAATGTAAAGGACAGCACGCTCGCGGCAGAAATATGATGATGGTCCTCAAACTACGAGTTATAGCCTATTAATATTATCTTAATCTTGTACTAGTTGCTCAGCATCCACCTCTTTGAAGATTGATTGCTGAGGTCGTCGTCGACCTATGTTTAATAACCCGGTTCTTTTTATTATTCTGGTTCTTCAACATAATCTCGAATGAGATTGATCACTTTATTTCCACCGAAATTTCCTGCACAGAGGACGAGGAAGTTGGCGATACCGAGAAAGACCAACAGGACGATGGTGGACCACAACAAGAACCCACCAGTTCATCATCTTCTGCAAGCAAGAAACGGCGTAGCTCAACATCCAACGTTGCGAGTCGGGAAAACACCAGCATTGTCAGCCAAATCTACGAGGACGAGGAAGGCTACTACACTCTGGAGGACGACGGAACGGTCATTCCGTTGAAAAAATCTCCCTCCGGCAACGCTTTTCTCCGGTCCCCGAAGGAGCGGGCGTCGTCCTCGTCGAGCACGCGGAAGAACTCCTCCATGAGTCCCTCGAAGACGGTATGCACTGCAAAAGTATCGTACAACTCGAAGTAAGTGCCGTCATGCATGACAATAAACCCAACGCTCTAGCTGAAGCTGAACTTGCATGACTAATTGCATTTTTGTACTTCAGAAGATTTGTGACGCAATTCATAATAGAACCAGGGCGATATTCCTTTTGCAATGCATAGACGGCGAACAAGCCGAATGTAAAACACGGACACTACCACGTCCCCGAGCCCCAGGTGTCCTACCTCCCGGCATCCGTACCCGCCTCAAGCAGCGCGTCGAAAGGAAGATCTGGTGCTGGCGGCATTGAAGACGTCTCTTCGCCGAAGTCGTCGTCGCCTGGAGGTCCTCCAGGTGGCGCCCGGGGGTCGAAAAGCTCGGTAATCTCCCTCACGCGGCCGAGGGAGGAGGAGCAAATCATGGAGATCTTCGAGCAGGCCGACGGCAGCTTCGTCGACATGGCAGGCATTCCCTGTGACGCCACGGGCCGCTTGATTGACAAAAAAACCGGGAACTACATTGATGCGAGTATAAGGCGAAGGCTTGAGTTGCTGTTGATGTTCTTGTTTCATGATCTGCCTCGCCCTGTTCGTCAGGAATAACCGTAGCTGGCTGTGCTTCTTCTGTGGATCATATTAAAGATGAAGATGTATAAATGCATTTTTGTTTCTTTCGCTTGCGCAGTATGTACGCGGGTACCTTCACGGCGAGCCGGTGCCGGTCCTGATCCTGAACATCAAGCTGCTGCCTGCACAAATAGAAATACCGAAATCAAACTCCTATAATCACATTATCTCACGAATAATTACCTTCAGACGGCCGTTTTGTGGACCGCGACGGCTACTTCGTGGACCCAGACACGGGAGCCTTTGTCGACGAAAACGGGTATGCGATTGAGGATGATCGTATTCACACCGACACGGCCCTGGTCTCCACGGCCGACCTCCCGCACCAAGTCTCCAGTCCCCGGCGCCTGGTTAACATAAACAAGCACGACGGGACCCGTGTGGAAAGCCCAGCGGCGCAACAAGGGAGAAATAGCAGTAATTATAATTCATCATCTCGCGGCGGTCGTGAACCAGGGGGTCCACGAGGTTCCTCGTCATCTCCCCAGGTAAACCACGACGACGACGATGAACTTTCTCAGATCGTGCCTAGCGGCAAGGAGGTACTACGATCTCAGACCGAAGGAGAACGCGGGGGAAGAGCCAGAGCTTCAGGAAGTAGCCCCTCCGGAGGACGCGCTGCGGGTCAGCAGAATAAACTCTCTTCGCCAGTTGAGCTGGTGAGCGCACCGACCAATGGCAGTAGATCCTCATCGGCGAAGATGAAAGTCGATACGCAGGCGGAATCAGGTCAAATACCGACATCAACGCTGCAGCCGGCGCCCGGGTCCTTCACCAGTGGCGGGTCGCAATCGTCGACTGCAGCAGCCGCTCGTCGACAGGATGATGTTGATGAAGTGCCGGTGGTGCTACAAAATAAATCGCCAGCACAAGCTCGATCTTCAAAAACTACGGGAAGGACATCGACCGGAGGCGGCGGCACTGGATCTGGAAATGGTGGAACCGCCGCAGCTGCGACCACCACCGCCGCGCCACCACTGCCTGCGCCCCCAACCACGAGAAAGAAGCGGATGACGAAAAAGGAGCTGCTGAAAAAGAAACAGAAAGTGGAGCAGCTGCAGCAGTATGCATTTTTGCAAAACAGTATCGTACTTCTTGTTGGAGTTGGAGGAATTATTGCATTTTCAGACTTCTTAGAAGGAAAAATGAAATTTGTAATGCTAGTTCAGCTAGTACTTAAAATAAATGGGCACTGTACACGTTGAAAATAATTGCAATTTCTAGTACAACGAGTGCGATGTTTTTGCAATGGATAAGCAGAAGCTTAGCGCGATTCGGGACCGCAATGCGCGGCTGATCCAGAAGTGGTGGCGGCTGCAGGTCGTGCTGCCCAAACGGCGGAAGCGCCTGCACGAGCTGCACCAGCGGGCTGCGAAGTTGCAATCCTGGTGGCGGTTTCGACGCGGGACAACGCGGGCGCTGCGAAAGTGGTTCAGATTGCTGGACAAAAGCAAAAACGGGCCGCTGGAAACGTTACGGAAGATCAAAAAGCTAGAGGAAGAATCCGACCTCACGCCGACGATGTTCGCCAAACCACTTCTGCTCTTTCAGCCGCAGAATGCTGGCGGAACGCCAGCGGGCGGAACAAATGCTGCCGAAGAACGAGATTTGTCGCCGAACACGAAGGAGCAGCGGGCGCGCAGAGCTTTTCTCGACCGGTGCGACGCCGCGACCGCCATGGCGTCCAGCAGGGAAAAATTCGGCAATAAAGCAGGAGCGACAACTGCGTCCTCGGCAAAAGCGCAGAAGATGAAGCAGAAGCGCAGTCGATACCGAAACCTAGCCGAGGAGTTAGCGTCGCTGGAGAGCAGGATCCAAACTCTGGCGAAAACAGGCAAGGATCCGCTGATTTCCGTAGAAGTGGAGCAGAACCACCAGCAGCAGAGTGGTGGTGGTCCTAGTATTGCCAGCCGAACCGCTATTCCGCAGCTGAACGTCCCTGCGCCTTCCTACGCGGCGGTGTATGGTGGCGGCGGAGCGGCGGCGCCGGCCTCCGTCCGGAGTAGCCGAGCCAGACTTGGCTCGTTTGACAGCTACCCCGGCAGCAACCTCGGCTATGATTCCCCGGCCGTGGGGAGTCGCGGCGATTATGTCGGTGGGGGTGGAAGTAGTGCATTCATTCCGGGAGCAACGCCACTCTACGGCGGGATGCAGCCCAATGCCGGCACAACTCCTTTCAGCAACGCTGGACCTTCGGCAGCGGCAGGAGCCACGGCAGCAGCATCTTCGAGTAGGGCCGCACGAGCAGCAGCAGGAATGAACAACTTGTCGTGGAGCGAAAAGATCGGACAGCAAGAGCAAGACGACGCTCAGCTGATTCCGCCCGGTTCGGCCCGGAGCGGATACCGTCCTTCCCCAAGGTACGGCGATGCCCCGGAACCACCTCCAGGGAAAATGATGGCACCTCCATCTAGTACTTCCGGGTCTTTTCAACCACCTTTCGTCCCTACACAGCAATCGCAGGCGCAGCAGGCAGCCGGCGTTGTGAACCTGCAGACGCAGCCGACGATCTGGGAGGCCCGGGACAGCGAGGCAGACACCACGCTGGGGTCGCAGCTCCAAACCGTATCCACAGTAAATTTCCCGTACACGTACAAATGCGGTCTATGCATGACAAAACTTGGCTTCGATCCTAGTATAGCATGACAAGTTTCACGCTCCAGATTGGTGAAATTTCTGATGCATCTTGTACATGTACGGGAAATTTGTATTGCATAAACCGCGCGACGGCACTACTTGGAGGATGCGCCCATCAAATCGTCCGGGGCTTATTCGTATCAACTGTAAAAATGTCTGGGTCTGGAAGAATTCATGTTTGTCTTGCTTGTCTGGCATGACTCTTAAATCTGTCATGCACGTTACCCACGAGCTCCGTCTTTCTGTGCTGGTGCAGAGCCGCAGTTTGTCATGCAGAATAGGCAACACCTAGGAGCTTCGAAACTTGTCATGCTGAGCCAGCATTTGTAGCCTCATCATGACACGCCACCCAGCATCACAAGTTTCCAGACCCAGACATTTTTACTTTTGATAATTCGTTAAACGGCTACGGGGAAAACGACGTGCCGCCCGTCTCGCAGCACGAGCGGTTCCTGCAGGAGACCAAGAGCAAACTGGCCGAGACCAACTCGCAGACGACCACGCCTGCGGAGTCCAGGCGCGGATCAAAGCCACTCGGTGAACAGGACAATCTTCACCCTCATTCTGGTGGAACTTCTGCGGCGGGTGCGGCTGCCTCCAGGCTGTTCGGGGCTGCCGGTGCTGGTGCAGCTTCGTCGTCGAATAGTGCGGCAAATACAGCAGGAGCTGGCGGGACAACTGGAGGTCATATTCCCGGGCTCGCGTTTGGAAGCGGTGGCGCAAATACTACTTCTATGCCGCAAGGGCGGGTGAGCGGCGAAAGCTTTCTGGATCGGTCTATCAACACCCCTCGCTCAGTTATGGAGACCAGCTTCAGCGAGCAGCAGCAGCGGCAAACGCGTGGTGGTACAACTGGCCCGGTGGTCGGATCGTCGTTGGTTCTGGTGCCAGAGCAACCGTTCGGCGGACCAGGAGGTGGGAGTGCAAACACATCCGGCATGCTGGCTGGTGACCAAAGTTCTTTCTGTGAGCACTACGGGCCGCCGCCACGTGGAAGTACTAGTAGTAACGTGTATCCGGCACCCGGAGGTGGACCTCCATCAGCCAATACCTACACGCCGCGCTCGATCCAGCACGCAGCTGTCTTCCGTACAGAAGATGATGATCTCGACTTTCTTATCGATGAAGATCAAGACGCAACAAAAATCCTGACTGCTTATCTTCTTCGTGCTGTCTCTGTCATGCTCGTCATGTTCACTACACTGGGTCGTGCAGCCCAGACACAACTTTATCTTTTTCACCCTCTCGTCGCTTGTGAATTCTGCACCAGCTTCGCTAGAGCGATCGCCTGAATTTGTTTTGGTAGGAAAAAAAATAGTTATTCTGAAAAAAAAAACCTCAGGCGTCGCTTCGCACCAGACTGGGGGGTCTTCCGGGGAGCTGCAACACCAGCCGCCAAATTTCCCGCAGCAAAACGTCTACCGCCCCAACGACTCCGCGCTTTCACTGGAGGAAGCAGCGCTCGCCCCGTCGCCGTACTACGCAAGTGCGCCCCCGGGCGGGGGGAACAATGTTCGCCCTGCGCCAGGCGCGATGCCACCACCGATCCTGTCAACGCGGGGGGCAGGTGGAGGTCAAGGGCAATTCTACAACAACCAGTCGAACCAAAATAATCAGTACGACCAGGAAAACTGGCAGGCGAACCTGAGCGTCCAGGAAAACATTTACCGCACGGACAACGAGTTGCGCGGGCTCCTGAAGCCGGAACACATGCAGCTCTTTGCCGGCTTCATTCGCGGCTTCGTCACCCGCCACGCGCTGGCAAGGCTGTGGCCGCAGATCCAGCAAACGCACGACGTCTACGACATGATCTTGGACATGGAGCAAGGCACAGCTTCAGAGGACCCGGGTTTTCTCGACCACTTGTATGCCACGCTCCACAGCCAGTGCGGCGACATTTCCAAAGCGCTGCACAACGCCAAGTTCCGCACGTTCCGGAAGCCGAAAAAAACCGCGAAAATTGACAAGTTCCCCGGCTGGTGGGCGTTTCCGGGCCGGTTCAAGCAGGGCACGAAGGGGACGGGAAACAAGAAAAATCCGTACTACAGCTATCCACAGTAAAATTCCCGTACACGTACTTAAGTCCAAATGTGGTCTCTACATGACAAAAATTGGCTTCGATCCTAGTTTAGCATGACAAGTCTTACCCTCCAAATTGGTGGAGTTATTAATTTGTGATGCATCCTGTACATGTACGGGAAACTTGTATTGCATAGCAGCTACGCAAACAGCACGACCATGAGCCGGACGAGATCCAGCCTGAGTGCCCAGCACAACGAGGACGCCCTGAATAAGCGCAGGGAAAAGAAACCTATCAAATGTAAAAGTGTCTGGGTGGTCTGGAAGAATGCAAGATTTGTCATGCATATTTCTCATGACCCATGACGCCTGTAATGCATGCCCTAGCATCACAGGTTTTTTGATGGATTCTTGATGCCCATTCCGCATGACAAATGCTCTCTCCGCATAGCAAAATTTAGACTCTGTTTCCTGCTCATGCAACACAAATTTTTGAGTCATCGAAACGCAGCATCACAAGTTGCATTCTTCCAGACCCAGACACTTCTACATTTGATAAAACCGTTCCTGAAACGATCCTCCGAGGCGGTTCCCGTCAACACCAAGCCGGTGCACTGGCGGGCGGCTGCGAAGGTGGACAGCTGGAAAGCCCCGGACGAAGACTCTGAGTTGCTACTGTCCTCCGGGGCCGTTCCTGCCGGGGGGACAGGGAGAAGTATAGAAAGAAACTGTTGCTGTTTTTTTATGCCCGTAGCTTTCTATGCAGACTCAGTTTTTAAGTACAGCTACCATTGGCTTTGCATATATCCTTCGAATCCGAATACTCGTGAAGAGGGTGAAGGCTGCATCTGCAAAAGCAACATCTACCAGGCACAACGCGGAGCGCCACATCGAAGATGAAAAAAGGTGACTTCGTCGCGGTCGGTCCGAAGGTGCACACAGCTCGCGGATCGCAAAATTCCCTGGCCTCGACCTCCTCTGCGGTACTGCAGCAACGTCCTGGTGTATCCCACGAAAAAACTGTTTCACTGTGGTGATAGTGCAAGATCTGCATCACAAGTTTGTTACACAAAACACGGAAAATTTGCTATGCGCGCTTCCCAAGGGAAGACACACCAGGAAATCCAATGTCTTGCAGGTGTAGCAAGACAAACACTTTGGTGCTTCGTTCTCTACTGCATCACAAGTTCACATTGAAGCAGTTTTTTCTTGCGATATGCTGCGGGTGGTAGTGCGGCCCCGTCATCAATCAAGCCGTACCGGAGTCTGGCACCGACCACCCTGCAGCAAAATAGCGCTGCAGGCTTTCAACCAAAAATACTGAGTCGGGGGAAGTGACAAATATAATTAGAAAGTAATCCGTGCAGGAGCTTGCTCAACTTGGCTTTCTTTGCAGCTCCAGCGACTTTAACTTTGCTGCACTATTTACTGCTGCTTTCCTATATTTTCACCATTGTTCTTCTTCACTTTGTTCACCGGCAAAGACGTTCGCGAAGAGCGAGTGTGAGATCATGATATAACAAACTCCATTTCTATCGCACAAAACACGCAAACTAAATTAGCGCTGCGCAACAAGATCTTCACTTACACATCAAGGAAAGGAAAAATTACTTCACAAACTGATTTACACTAATTCTGCAAAGATCGCTTCTGGAAAAATCTTCTTTTTCACCTAGGTCACCTTTTTTCATTCGTGTGAACAAAAAAATCTTGAACCAAGTACAAAATTAATGAGTCTACGTCCTCGACGTGAGGAAAAAAGGTGTGGATAAGAAAATTAAGCGAAATGCGTGCTCAGATATCTTTATGCCGGTATAAAGAGTATGTCTACCTCGGCTAGCACTTGCAGCTCACAGAAACATACGATTGAACGAATTGAACGAGGACTCGACATTTGCTTCTCGCAACAGAGATGAAACGATCCACGACGAGATCAAGGAAAAAATCAAGCATTAACATTATCTCGATCAACCGCACAGCCCAAAAAATAAAAAAGTGGGTGCGGCGCAATAGCGGTTGTACGTGTAGCCGCTTGCGTTCAATGACAAATAAGAGAGAAAAATAAATAAACGTAGTGGTCACGGCGCAGGACGAGGTTCTTACACGAAGAGCGTTGTCCTCAAGAGACGAGGTAGAGCAGCGGGAAGAAGTACATCAAACTAAAAAAAATATTAATGACCAGATGCACATACGGATACGGATTTTTAACTGCAATTCGTAATAGCTAACAGAAGAGATTGTTGCCTCTTGGAGAGCTACTTAACTGGGGAACGATTCTACGCCACCTTCAACAAGCTCGTGTTTCCACCTCGAAATACAATCCAAATTTTCCATCCCCCACCAGATCACCATTCTTGACAGCCCCATTGCATTCGCGCATCTCTTGCGGAAGATTTCCTTGAGGTGCAGGAAAAACCAACCAAAAGAAACATGATGTCAGAAAAAAAGATACAAATTTACAAATACCACATACAAATACTCTGCGAGACAAGTAAGTCAATCTCTGTCTCGTCAAAAATAAAAATTGAAACACCGAATCCAAATTCTACATCCCACAGCGACCTTAGGAATCCATATTGCTTGTCTATTGAGTTGGGTAGCGAGCACTGCTCTGTAAATTAGTAGGACGCATCCTGTAGCTGTAGGCCTCCGAGTAACAAAATACAGATTTGTACGTTTGGACTGCATATACATACGGATTTGAATTGTTTTCACAACTGCATCGCCTGATCTTTTTCTCGTCGATCATAGTTGTTTTTTCGTGTCGGCTCGACACAAAAGAGTTTTACAACGTCTCCGTTTCACCAAGAACACCATCGCATCAAAAGACTCTCGCAGCCGCACCATCTTCATCATGTCCTTGCTGAGTTCTTACCGAATCGCGGACACGCATCACCGGACCTGGGGCCTGGCGGTCGCCGGTACCACAACCGCTTTCCTCGTGGCGGCGTATTACAATTACCACAAACGGGGGGAGCGTGCTGACCGCGCTGCTGGTCGAACATCAAATAGACGCAAAAATAACGGCACGAAAAAACAGAAAGTTGTTCCCGCTCCTTCGGCTGCTGATGAACCATTATCCGATTCCGCGGCAAACGAAGGAGCAAAACTACAGGATGAATTGCAGGAGTCCGCAATAAAAACAAAGCAGCTGGTGCACCAGCTGCCGGACAGTAATATCGCGTCCTTGGAGGACTTCGATTTGGAGGACGAGTATCTGCTCGTGGATGACTTTGACAGCGATACGGCCCGCGTGGAAGTCGTGCCGAGTTCGAAAATGAACGTAGTTGCGCCGAGCACGACCTTCCACAATGAGAGCAGCAGCAGCAGCAGCAGTACCAATCGCATTCTTGACGACGAAAACTTCACCCACGACGAGAAGGAAATGACAAGCAGTCATACGAAGAGCTGCATCGAAAGAACGACCAGGGATCATGATGAAGAACGCACGTTCTTCGTCGAGAAGCAGTTGCGCAGTGTCGGGCTCTTCACCGCGTCGGCGATTGGTGATGAGGAGGACCATGATCTCGAGGACAGCAACAAGAGCGCAACAAGCCCAACCTCGAGCAACGATAAAAACAAAAATATATCTTCCACAACGTCAAGGTCAACCACTGCCCCGATTCCCAAGAAGAATTACCCGCTGGCGGGGGAGAACGGCGAGACTGCGGACGACGTGGTCGAGGTCAAATGGGTGTCAGAGGCGGAGGAAAAGCGCCGGTACTTCAACGTTTGGGCGGAAGAGGACGAAGACGATCCGTTCTTTCATAACATGCCCAAGCCGATGGGGAGCAACGCAATTGACTCAACCTCTTCTATTTCTGCAAAGCAGAGCACCATGAGCAACTCGTTTATCGTCGATCTCACCGGCGAGAAGGACGAAAAGGCGACTAGTACATCGTCGCGTTTGCAAAACGACCACCAAGAACTCCCCGGAGGTGCACCAGCCGCCTCTGCTGGGACCACCAAAACAAGTCTAAGTGCAACAACTACAAGCGACAGTAATAGAAATAACAACTTCGAGCAGCAGCTGCTTCCCTTCGAGTCCGATTTTATGGATTCCGAGTCCGATTTCTTGGATTCCATCTCCACGACCACCCCGGCCAGCTCCTGCTACACCAGCCCCCGGACAGCTTTGATAGCCGGTGGGGGCGGTGGTCACAACTGCGGGAAGACGAAGAACAAGAATCCACCGTCGGTGGTTTACAGTTTTCCACCGTCCTCGGCTCCTTTGGGGACAGCAGCGGCTGCCTCGTCGACCTGTTCCAGTTCTTCGTGCTGTGCTGGTAGTGCTGACACGGCGACGGGGATGAACAACAGAAACGCGGATTGTTCCACGACTTCGTCTACCTGTGAAAACCACAAGAACCCAACCAGTGTGAGCTGCAAGAAAGGTGAAACTGATCACAGTGATAGCATGGTGCAACAGATGCACGACGTCAATCAGCACAATAGAAGAAGCACGTCGAATAATGATCTTCACACTTGCGGTCGTTGTACTTCGGGTGATAGTACAACGAACGACCATCAACAGGAGCGTAGTACAACCAGCTCTAGTAGTACTTGTTCTTCCCAACAACAAGTGCTGCGTCATCAACCGCAGTTCACGACGACGAGTCATCAGCCGGTGGTGAAGATCAAACTGGACGAGGATCATGTGCAGATTCTCAGCACGCCTCTCGGCAATCCCGACGACCTCGAGTTGGACCTCGAGGACCTCTTCTAAAGCACGACGAGCACCTTGGGCGGAGGCCGACTCCTTCCTGCGAACAGAATGGACAAACAGCGCGAATTTGTCGTGCTGGCGGTTGTGCTGCCGAGCAGGTCGTCTTGTTGGTTGCCAGCAGCTCCTCGCGGTGGAGCACAAGAACACGATCGGCAGCTACCGACGATGTTTATTAGAACTTCTTTGCCAGCCGCAGCTTGTGCCCGAATCAAGAGCGGCGAGACGTTTTTGCCGGAGGTGGAGGTGGAAGCGGACCGTTTCGATCTTGATGGTCATGATTCCAACAACAGTAGGAACCAGGCGGTTCTTACAGGTGCGCTTCAGCTTCTCCTCGCTCTTGTTCCACATGCGCACGTCTTGGTCAATATGAACAACATCCGGACCATGAGCTCGAGCTGCACTCTCTTACTCTTTCTTCCCACAAGTAAAAGTAAAACGCCAACGGTGCAGGTGCTCTTGCTAGACCAGATGCAAGAAAACGTCGACCAGCCGCCACACCCACGCGCGAAAGCCAACGCGCAGTGGTCTTCGTCAGCAGTGGTGGACGGCAACCATACGGCATTTTTGGTAGAAGAAATGAAGCGGAGTGATCATCTACATGAGACTAACTTGATGCTGACCTCCTTTGGAAGATGGAGCCGCACAGCCGACCCCAGCGCCACGAGCTGGAGGTGGACTTCTCTAGTGGGTGAAAATATTGCCGACACCGAGGAAGCGGAAGCGGAAGCGGAAGCACCCGACGCCTTGCAACTCTGGTACAGCCGCTACTTTAATAGTGCCTGCGCCTTCGGACGCTTACAGGTCGAAGAGTTAAACGCCTGGGAAACGATGCTGTTGAAAAACCGGCTGCACTGAGACGACCAGAAAACCACTCGGCGTACTGTGCACACAAACATCCATCAGGATCAGCGCAAGACAAATAGATTTGTTTCGTGAAGAGGAGAGGATGCGAGTGTTGCAATTCTCGAAGGTGGAGTAGAGACAGAGAAAGCTGCCGAAACTGAGCAGAGACAAAGCTGTGCAAACTCCGACCGAGCTATGATATGGTGGATATGCGATCATCATAAACAATCCTGACAGAATTGTCGCGCTCTAAGAGAAGTACTAAATCGTAAAACAAGGTCGACGACGTCGACGCCTCAAGAAAGGCAAATCACGACGTCGCGAGCAGTAGGCTTTTACTGCCGTCGCGTTCAGACTATTTTTACAGACGGAACAAGACGAAGAGCACGATGTTGGTAAAAACTATGGCTTCGATCAATTTCAATCCGACGTCGTGACTCGTGACCCGTCTTCGCATTCGCTCTCCGTGGTCGCATTTATACCTTCTTCTCAGGGATCTTAGCCATCATGAGCATGATCATGTTTAAGGGTTGAAATATCATTGGGTTTTCATCGTCGTTAGAGAATTTCGCTCTCGTTGATGCGAAAATCGTCTCCTGCATCAGTGTTGCAAACATATATAAATGAACAAGTTGAAGTTCGACATCGTCATCTCATCGTCAACATCGTCGCTGCAATACATGAAAATGTGGCGTGATTATAATATTTTCAGCATCGTCTTCGTCAACATGCATCGATCTTCGTAGTAGAGTTGAGTTCAGTTCTGAGTTGCGGCACGTCTGACTTCTGTGCCAAAATTTTCGAAGGGAATTGTGTCGGCGTTGGAGTTCCTGGTGGTCCGAATGTTGTCCTAAAACATCACAACAGAAGAGATAAAAAACGAGGTAGAACGTTTCCAGTATGCGTATGGGTTCTGCAATTACATTTACAATACCATATTAGCACCGGGAATAAAGTAAAATAAAGATCATCATGAACACCCAGGACCACGGGCACTCCATCTTGAGTGCCGCGGTGTCGGGTGCGAGTCAAGCTTCGATCCTGGCGCGTATGAACGACGAGCTGAAGAAGTTGAAACAAGAGCAAGCTGGGGCGCACGAACACGAAGATCCTGCTATAATTGCAGCTGGCTCATCAACTACATCATCCCCCACTGCTTGTCTTCCAGCCGACGCATCCTTTTTATTTTCATCGCCGTGTGCTCTTTTCCTCGGAGCCAATAGGCGGAGCAAGCGCTCAGCGTCCCCCTCGCCTTCCCCCAAAACCCTCTTCCGGCGAACGATTTCTACGGAAAATGCGCGCGAGCGGCTGGGCACGGACCTCGATGAGTTACTGGAGAGCATTAAGGCCAAGCTAGGGGACGGCGAGGAGGTGCTATCTGCTCCTCTGGACAAGGTTTCGGAAGGGGATGCTGATGAAGAACAACCTCGAAGGTTGTCCGAGCAGGAGGCAGGTCGGGGCGGGACAAGCAGTGGTGATCTTCATCCGCCGTTTTTTACCATGCTCCAAACCCAAAGCCAGCCAAAGTACAACTACATGTTCTACGGCGCAGGAGGACAAGGCTCAGCATCCTCTCAAACGTCTCACTCAACACGAACCCAAGGGGGCGAAAAACATTCTTTGCATCACCAAGCTAGCCCCACGAGTCAGGCGATCCGGGGCTACATCGCGAACCACCAAGAGGTATCAAGTGCAAAAGTATCGTATTCGTATAATACAAGTCTTGCATCACAAATTTTTTTCTGAAGGCAAATCAGCATTACAAATTTTATTTTTCATGCTGAGTAAATTTGTAATGCATTCATACGAGTACGATACTTTTGCAGTTCATAAGAGGCAGTGCGGGATCTGAACGGGCACCCCATGGGCTTTTTCACCGCCGATGCTAAGCTGACTGGTAGCAGAGCTACAGCTAGTACTGCAACTGCTCGTCTTGATACTAGTGTTCCACCAGGAGGCTCAACAACTTCTGCCCCAATTATAAGTTCTTCTTCTAAAGGCGGCGCGAGCGCGAGACCAAAGGAACATGAACAACCTGCAACTCGTACAAGCGCTTGTGCATTGATTCCTAGTCAAATCCTACCGCGCGTCGACTTGACAGGAATGGTGCTACCGGCTGTGGCGGTATCCACAGCCTCCGCGTTTCAGGCGCGGAGTAGAACAACCGAGCCCCGAATAAAAATTCTTCAAAGTAGCAACCACTCCTACCAAACGCCACGAGGACACGGACCGGAGGACGGCAATAATTATTCTTATGGTCCAGCGAGGACTTCTTCGTGTTCATCTTCTTCGCAACAGGTGGAACTAGAAGCAGGACTACTACATCAGCTGCAAAATAAACAAGGCGCAGCTCTTTCATCAACAACCACGATCATGCCCCCGGCGTCGACCTTGGTACTATCGGAGAAGCCCTTATCCATGGCCGTGCAGTCCGCGGTGATGCAGAAGTTTCTCGAAATTGACCAGCGCACCCAGGTTATGATGGACAGCGTGACGCAGCAAGCAGCGGAGAAAAAGGCCTTTCTCAAGGGGGAGCACGTGCGGAAAAAAATGCAATTTTTCGCGGAACTCGATCGCGACGTGGAGCGGCAGTGCCTGGACTTGGACACGAGCCTCCTGCAGGAAAAGGCAAAACTGTTGGCCGAATTTGAGGAGGCCGCGAACAATGCTGATTTCGAATACGCGCGCAACGCCCTGCAGCTCCCCGCTTCGAGCACTACTAGTAGAAGTAGAAGTGGTGCGACGAGTTGTGTTTCGGGTGCAGCTTCAGCTGCAGCAACCCCAACCCCACGGCGGCGAGGACTCCTCGTCGCTCCGTCCGTAAGCGATTACCAGGGTTTGCAGCCGCCGACCGGAGTAATTGGTTATGGCAGTGGGGCGAGTTGTTTTTCTGGCCTCAGCACGCCCCGACAACTGCCCCCGCTTTCCGCACGGCTGCACATTGCGGGCCAGCAACATCAGCCGGCGTTCACAATGGATGCAAGTAGTGCGGCAAGAAGCGGTTTCTCCTCACCGCGCCTCCTGCAACAAGGGCTGCTGAAAGGAGCGCAAGGCTCAGTTCTTGCAGCTCCAACATTCTTGCCGTCGTCCTACGCAGCAGGAGGTCGTGAAGATGATGATGAAGGTGACACAGCAATAGAAGTCCACAACAGCCTGCGGCAACTGGACTCTGACCTCCAGGCGACGTTCCAGAACACGGCTTCAAGTACAGGAGCGCAGATGAATTACAGGCCCCAGTTTGTGAATGCGATGTCTTTACAAGAACAACGCATCAACCACACACTCCCGTCGCAAAAAGCCTTTCCGCCTGCCGAAGCTGATAACGGGCCGCAAGAGTATGCCTTTGGCGTGGACGTGTACCGAAGTAGAAGCCCACAGCACAACACCTTCCCGCAAGCACCACGAAAAGTACAGCCCCACGACGCTCCACCTGGACGAACAGAAGTGGAACCTGTCACCACAACGCTGGTCTCCATCGCCGCGCCAAGTCGTGGAGGATCTGCCGCCAGTGACGAACCGCCTGAAATCATCGAACTGCGAGGCTCGCTGCCCGCAGCCCGTGCGCGCATCGAGGCCGCCCGGCGGCAAGCGCAGGACACGATCCAAAAGGCGAAGCGGAACTTGCGGAGATCCCTCAATCTCTCCTCGGCGACCGACGAGTCGGCGTCGGTCTCCGTCCAAACCGAAGCCTCACCGTCACCGCGGAACCGAAAGAAACATGAGACGCAGATGGGACAAAGCAGGCGAACAAATATCAGGAACAAAAAACCGATGTCAACATCACCCACTGTGCTGGTACTGAAATCGAGCCACCAGGGACCACCAGGATCGATAATATCGCCGGGGAACTCGTCATCGTCTCCCAGAACGAACGCAAATGGACATCAGAAGTCTCCGGAATTGAACCTCACACCGCGGCGCGTCGTGAAAAAGAGATCTGTGTATCAGGTGGAACAACACGCGGGGGACGAGGAGAAACAAGTGGGCGAGAGTTCACTCTTGACGACGGAAAGTCGTGAAGCAAGACCGGCCTTTGCTGACTCTTATACCGACTCCCCTTCATCGTCTTCGCCCCAGCGCCAGCAGGAGACGCGGCGGGATTATGCTGGAGAGCAGTCTTGTAGTGATGTTTACGTGCGGAAGGAGCAGGAGCAGAGCAGGTGTGGGGAAGAACAAAGGCATGCTCATGCAGCGCCAGCGGAGGTGGGTCCTTTCCACACAGCAACAGCCGTCGAGACATCTTCGTTGAAGCTGCAGCAGCAGCCTTGTTTCCCGGGTCCTGCTCTGTGGTATCATTTTTCCTCTTTAGCTTTGGGTTAGGTTTCAACACGCCAACAAAACAAAGTTTCTATCTTCCTCGTTGCTTCAAATCTAAATCAGTCAGGAGGCTCATGTCATCGTCTCTCTCCGATGGAGGCTGTAATCAGAATGACAAATAACAATACACCTTTCACAGGACCTCGAGGACCCGCCCTCCCGCAACTTGTTCCCCATCGAAGATACAGACGCTGCTCCCGCCGTCGCTTGCCATGCCGGGCCCGCTGGTTCATCCCAACCCACCCGCGTTTTCGCGGTTTCTCAATGCTTCTGTTCGGCAGGGAGACGCTTACATTCAAACTTCCTCCTCCACCACTACGACCTGCTTCACCCCACCGCAAAAAGGACGCGCGACTTGTTCCAGCGTGGACATTTTGATGGTGTCGCATCAAGAACAAAACACTGCTCCACCCGAACTTGAGCTGCAGCGAACTGGTGTCCAACGTCCTGGTGCAGTAGGAACAACGACAACAGCCGATGGCTCGTCGTGGACCGTGCAAAATATCAGCGATGAGCTGAACTTGTTCGGCTTGCTGCATCAGATGAACCAGGACCCAAACACCAGGACGAGAAACGGTGCGAAAGCCAACACGCCGATGAAGATGAAAACGAATGAGACCGCGACCGCCGCCCCTGTCGACGTGATGTCGTCCGCGGATCACCAGGGTATGCTTGCTACTCGCGGTACTACTCCGCGTTCTATTCCGCCACCAGTTGCTGTTTCCTCCTCCACGACAGCGTTTTCGGCCGGTGCGGCAACCAAAAAGCAGCCCGGCTTGGTCCCAAAGTTACGTTTGGGCGGACTGATGCAAGGTCAGGCAACGGACGCGAAAGGACCGCTGCACACCGCGCGACTGCTGGTGAATAGCGCTGACGTCGACGCTCCGCGCACGGCGAGGGGGCAAGGCAGAGACGCAGGCTTACTTTTTACAACGCGATAGATGGAACAAGAAGGAGTCACAAGAACTGCAACAAGACTGGGAATTTCATTTTAAAATTTTCGTCTCCACCACAATCGGTATCGCTTCGCTGCTCGTGGTCGTACTTACTCGCTGTAGCTGCTAGGAGTCCCAGCGGTCTTTCTCCATTAAATATCAAACCGAACCCGCGCTACAGTCGAAGTTTGAGGAAGTGTACCTCCGCATGCGCATTTATGGGGGATAAAGAAGAACGAGAAGTTCTTGTTCTTCTTTATCCCCCGCGTGCTGTGATGGTGCACGTGAAGACGAAAGCCGAAAAACAAAAACATGAACTGCTACTGCTGCGGAGGGAGACCAGATCATCGATATTGATGTCCCTATTGATGTCCCTATTTCTACTTGTTCCTTGACTGATCCATGTTGCTCGTCAATCGTAATATCGTAGATATCGTGGTTGTTGAGCTTCTAATCCTCGTGTTAAAAGTCGAACTTTACACTTTTCGTTTTCTGTTTTTGAAGTGAAAAACTTTTCAAAAAAAAAAAAAGTATACACGAAATAAAATCGCGTAGAAGAAAATAAGTAAAGCCTAAGCCGCCGGCGGCGGCTTCATGGTTATCTTCATCTCTCCATCGCCATCGCTAAAGTCGACGCTCGCAACATCGACGTCGTCGTGACTAAATCGCTGCCGTCTTCGGGCCACAGTCTGACGAAGTCGCGCTGCGAACAACGAGCCGAATCCGAGGAAGATCCTCGTGAAAAAGACAATTTAGATTTACACCAAAATATAAGTGATCGGGTGAACAAGATGAGACTAGACCCTGAGACGCAAAAAGTCGTTCCTCCTTAAAGAATAGACTTAGACGGCGCGCTAAGAAACAAATGAAATAAACTACTTTTCACTGCTAAGTCCTGCAGCTAGGTATGTCCAGCAAGATCGACCTGATACCTCCGCCTCGCCCGGAATGGATTCCGAGCGAGTTCATTCGCACACTCCCACTCGAGTGGGCCCAGCGCATGGCCCGGCGACCGCCGAACTGCATGCTGACGCAGGCGGGAGGCTCGGCGTTCCCGCCCTGTGGCAGTGAGAAGGCGTGCAACGACCAACTGTTTCTGTTGCAGTACCTGCGCGAAAAGGCGCTCACCGCCATGCAGGACCTCGAGCAGACGAAACTTGGGTTGCGAATCGCGAAAACGGGGTACGTGAAGGCGATCGCGCGGCTGGCCAAAATGCAGCAGATCCCGGAGGGTTATTTGAGTGAGGAGGACATCGCCAACTACAACATCCACAACCTGAACCACCGCATTCACGACGTTGCGCCGCTGAAGCGCGGCTTCCCCGGTGGAGAGGGAAAAAACATCGAGCGTGCGTGGAACACCTTGGAGGACTTCGAGCTTGAGATCGACCGGCAGCGCAGGGCGGCTATCCACTGCTGCAAATATCTCTGGGTCTGGAAGATTGATGAAGCTTGTGTTGCGCCGCATTTCGGATCAGACAAAATTCTGGCATGCATACTGGAAGACAAAAGTAGCCTATTGCTTAGCATCAAAGTCTGGATTTTACCATGCGGAATAGGTGGCATTGAAAAGCTCTTCAAAACCAGTGGTGCGATTGCTTGCATGCCAGAGCTTCTGGGCCATGCAAAAACACCATGACAAAGTCCGCGCTTTTCCAGTCCAGACCCAGACATATTTGCAATGCATAGTGGCCATCGGGGGCATAAACATCAAGGAACGCCGAGACGAGGAAAGAAAGGGGTCCTTTATGGGATTCTCAAACGTTACATTCTCAGCTGTTACATGATGTGTCTTCATGCAAAATACCTATGAGCCGCCAGAGCCAGACGAAGATCAAGCTACCTCGTATGACAAATCCCCGAGGGGCTAGACAGCGCCTCAATCCGTGAAAAATTTGCCATGCGAGAGTTGCAATGCAAGCTTGCCCCGTTCACTGATGCGGAAGCGGATCTTGCACCATTACAACATACTTGTAGCTACAGTGGAGATGAATGTAACGTTTGAGGACGCCATAGCCGTTCGCTTCCTGTTCGAGGGTCCTCCGCTCATGAACGACACCAACCCGCACCACCAACCTGATATCCACCAACAAAAAAGTGTTAACGTTAATGGTTTTCATAGGTTGCAGATATGCATGACAGATTTTGTTTTTGCCTAGTATGCATGCTATGCATGACAAATTTGGGCACGTTTTGTGATGCATTACTGCATCACAAATGCCGTTAATGTTAACACTTGTTCCTGTGATACCTGACAAGTTCCTCCCACGGTTGCACCTAACCCCGGACCTGGACGCTGGGCAGCACGGCGGGAGCAACGTCAAGGGGCTGAGTTCCCTGCATGAAGACCCGGACGCGAACAAACAGCTAAACGGGTACGGGAACATACCCGGGTTCTTCTGAAACTGGAGTTGTACTATAATAGGCGGAGGCGTCGGAGGACGAACGGTTGAAGATCGGGTTGCGCAGTGCGTCGTCGTCGTGGTGGGCAGCGACAGGAAATGAATGTTTCCTCGGTCGGTTAGAACTGGTCCGCAGGGTTGATAGATGCAGACAGGTCGTGCAAGCGGGCCGCAACCTCGCGGTTTACGCGTAAGAAGAGCCGCCCCGTGGTCGTGGTGGATAATCGTGGCTCCTCGCTGGGAAGACGGTGCTGGTGACCGTCGACTTGAGTTTTTCACTAGGCAGCTGGGTTTGCTGAGGACGGTGGAATCGGGACGACGTGAGGAGCAACGCAAGAAGCAGAAAAGAAGTTGCTCCTGTTGGTAAAGCTATAGACCGCATCAAAAACAACATCCTCTTGCTCCTCCGGACCTGCGTCGAGAAAAGACCAGGAGCTTCATCAGGCGCGTGACAATGGTACGGGCCGCAGGGGACCACGTCTTTTTTTTCTGACGTATGTTCATATGCTGCAGCTTTTGTCATGTTCCATGATGGATGTTGAACATAAAACGTCAGTGCGGGTACTTACTTTGATTGGAGGATGGACGACAGTGTTGAACCAACAAGGCATAAATACACCGTACTGTTCGTTGTGCTGTACAGAAAGTGAATATGAAGAATATCAAAGCTCATTTTTCCCCGGAGGACAGAAGGAGGATCTTAGTAACGGGGCCTGTCGGAGGTTACTTCTTCGACTAAATGAAGAGTGTCTCATCTGCTGCTCTGATGTTGCTGCTAGTGCTACTCAAAATTCAGTAGCTCATCAATCTGGGAACTTCCGCTCATTCTCAAATTGCACGAGTTGGTCTACTGTGTTCCGTTGGCACGGCCAAAGTACTTAAGTCGAAAATCCGTAGTACTAGCAATCTAGATCTGTTCGATCAAGATCATGTTTTTTTCTTCCCGCAGCTAACCGGTTCTCTTTTTCTTTTGACACACTGGAGGATGAGAACGAGCGATGTCTTCAGCCGGGCTCCTAACGGAACGATGCTAGTACTTCTGGGGGTTGTTGTAAAGATACACTCATAAATGCCAATTCCAAACGTGAGCGAAAACTAAAGTTTTTCACCTGAAGTTGCGTGTATTGTTTTGAAAGTAAGTAAAACAATCTCAATCCCAGATTTTTAGTAGCGAGGAGAGACTTATTGCTTTCGCCGTCTTTGGTTATCAACGGACTCAACATGCCGGCGAACAAGAAGAAGTCTTTGTCCACCGCCGCCCGGGTGGCCAAGCGGCAGCGCGACTGGGAGGAGATTGAGGAAGGTCGGAAGAAGCAGCGCAATGCGGACGAGTTCGACCCGGAAAACTTCGCCAACCGTAACAAGTTCACGCACGGGTACCATGTGCAAACCAGCGCCAACCCGGTGCTCGGCGAGGGCGAAATGAAGACCGTGCGCAAGGGGACCTACGACGAGGGCAAAGGCGTGTGCGTCGGGAAGGTGCTGAAGGCGGGGCACGAGAAAGCCACCCTCGACGGCGACGTGAAGGCGGCGGAGAAGGCGAAGACCTACCTGGCCGGTTTCCAGAAGTACTTCGCGCAAAAGTTCCCGAGTATGAAAAATCAGATGGCACTGAAGATGAACATTCCGGAGGTCTGGATGTGCTGCGGCAGGGCCGACGACCCCAAGGGCCGCATCCGGACGCGCGTCGAGAAGAACTTTGGCGGGAGTGTGGTCCTGGTGGAGCCCTTCATCGAGAACTTCATGAAGTTCAACTCCAACACGGGCGCGACGGCCCCGGAGGCGCTGGTCGCCCAGGCGCTCTCGCACTACTCCTACCACGCGTCCAACGGGGAGGAGGTCTTGTGCGACCTGCAGGGCGGGAAGGTCCAACACGAGTACACCTTTTCGGACGTGGCGATCAACAGCAAGCAGGAACAGTACGGCGCCGCCGACCTCGGCGCGCTGGGGATCGAAACCTTCTCCAGCCAGCACCGCTGCAACCACTTCTGCTGCCCCTCGTGGCGGAAGTGGGAGGGCGCCAAGCCGCGGCTCGTGGTCGGCCTCGGCACGACCGGGCGGAACCAGGCGGGCGCCGGACTCGCGACGAGTACCGGATTCAAGGAACTGGAACCCTTCAAGATCCTCTTCACCCAGCAGTCCATTTCCAACCACTTCAAGCAGGCTGAGTTTGGCGGGCCCGGAATGTTGAATATGAACAAATCGCTCACTCTGCAGGACACGGCGGAGGCCATCGCGGGCCAGGAACTGCACAAGCGGCAGATCCCCATGATCCGCATTGTGAAAGACCCCGCTACTGGCAGCTGGCGGTCCCTGGACAACCGGCGGTTGGCGGTCTTCCGGCTGCTGCAAATGTGCGGAAAGATCAGCTTCGTCCGGTGCAAGGTGGAGACCCTGTCTGACGACCGCATCCGCCAAGAGTTTGACAGCAAAACCCGCGAGAACACGAGCAACGGGAAGAGCATCCAGGTGCGACAGACGGGCTTCCAGATCGGGGACAATGTGGATGACACCCGTTGCGGGGGATTGTTGCAGCGTTTGAAAGAGGTAAAGAACGCGGCGGCGCAAATGACCGACGCCGAGATGCAGACCTATTTGCAAACGATGACCGGGAAAAATGCGGAGATGGAGTAGAAGCGGAGATGGATTTTATCTTTACGTTTACGTACTTTTTCAGTTTCACGCCGAACTTGTGAGGATGTACGTGAAGAGGAGGCCACGTCGTGCTAGCGGGGTCCAGCAGCTGATGGCGTCAATGAGACCACGGGTAAAGATCAAACAACTTCTTCATCTCATTCCATATATGAGAGTCCTTTTTCCTCCTGAAGATTCTCCTGTTTGCTTTCGCTTTTACATATTTGTACGAAGATACGGCTTCATTTCCAGCGATTGATCAATGCGATCTTTCCATCAACATCTTCATCCCACATGCGTACTTATCTACAACAAGCAACTATACTATGACTTTCATAATTTTCAATAAATGGAATCTATCAGCCGCAGGAGAGGATTTCGCGAGAAGAAATTACCTATTAATGTCGACGACAGAGCTCCTGTGCGCGAAAATTTGCGTATGGAGCTGCGTTTTTCACGCGCTTGCCGTGTCTTGATGTTCTTCATGATCAATCAATGCTGGGGGTGTGTTTTATTTATTCGCGTCTCGATTTCATTATGGCTCACAAGGCACGAGCTCCTGTGACTCGAATCACGTCGTTCCTCTCGCTTTCGTATTCCATTTTCGCTACTGCGTTGATCAATGACCTATCAAGATATTCGGTTTTCGTTTTGAATCAAAACATGGTGAAAGAATAAAAAAAAAGCAACATATCAATCGTAGCGAGGAATAGATAGCAGATACAAAAGCTTTGCATCGGTTCGAGAGACTACGTGGAAGAACTCCCCGCGCAGATGAAGCGAAGGAGTAAGTATTTGCCATCGGTCCAGCTCCGGCATCGTGAAGTGGTGTCGTTCATCTGGTTTACAACGCGTGCTTTTACAACCGAATCGTGCGGATAGAAGATCGAAGCGTATTCTCGTGCCAGTGCTGGACACTTATGCTCGAATCGGTTCTCGTTCTCCTTCCTTTTGCTCCGTTTGTTTGCATTTGTTTAGCAATTCATTCCATCTCGGTTGTTGATGATCTTGTCCATCCGGTCGGTAGCTAGTTGGTACGATTGTTGCCGTGACACCGTCTAGTCTCCTTGGCATGAAGATGAATGATTTAGAACATACGAGGTCGTCATGGCGCCTATAATTATTCCTTCAGCTGTTCCCCCGCCCCCCACATACATTATTTATGTTACCGCAATAAATCCAAAATCCTTCTTGTATTGGTGTCTGGCCCCCCCGGCTCCAAAAGATGCAAACAATAAGTACTCTCTTATATTTGTAGTCTACTCTTCGTTTCTTCTAATTCCTCGTTCTGATTGAAAAGATTTTTAACGGGCTGACTTTTTACTCAGGTAGTTTTAAACGGCATCTATAATTCTCGTTTCGTCGAGAAAAATATCAAAATGGTGGAGCATCTTGTGAGCACGCTCCTCCAGCTCCTGCAGGGGCCACTTTTATCGACGGCAGCGCCACCGGCGTCTGCAGATGGCACAACTCCCGCGACACAACAAGCAGTTCTTTCTGCCACGACTCTCTCAGCCGCACAGCAAGTCGCGCCCGTGAACGCCGCAGCCGCACAGCAAGCGGCACAAACTGCCGCAATCGCGACCGGGACCACAACCACGGGTTCTTCTGCAACGACTAATGCAGCTGCTACGGTCCCGACTGCTGGGCCGCACGTCGACCCGCAACAACAAGTGCCGCAGATTTCGCTGCAGTCCACGCAGACCATTGACGGGCAGGAGGTGAAGGTCTTTCAGCGCGGCCTGCAGAAAGTGTACGAGGTGCAGAACCCCGAGGATTCGGGTCTGGAGGTGGATCTGAGCGAGGGCCTTTTGTTCTTTTTGAAGCTACTTGTCCCCTGCGTGGTCATCCTAGTCCCCGTGGTCATGTGCATGATCGCCTGCAACACCAACAAGTGGCGGCAGGTGTTCTGTTGCGGCTCCTGGTGGACACCTCCGCCGGGGAACAACTACAAAGGAGCTACTTCTATTAACACGCCGCTGGCCGCAGGACAAGCCAGTGCGGCCGGAGAGGACATGATCATCGGTCGGGCAGCCGGTCATTTGTTGCAGGGCTGCAACAGCAAACCGTACCCAGAACAAGATGCGCAGTGCTGCAGCGGAGTCACCAGCACTGTCGCTTCCGACGAAGAGGGCCGCCGGGGCGAAAACCAGCTGCTCATTGCCGGACGGGAAGTGCGGATCTAAAAGACTTTTGGGAGTTTATTCTTGACGGGAGATCATTCATGAGGATCTAGATCTACAGGAGAAATAGAAAAGCAATTTTTTATACGTACAGCATTAACTCTACCACTTAGGGACGATAGGAGATATATTTATTGTAAAGAAGATATCTTGTGGTGCATTTTTGCTTCAGTTTTTTTACTTGTAGTACTAGTAGCTATGAACTAACAGTAACATGTGTGTGCAAGTGTTTGAGTTTGTTTGACAACATTGCGAATTTTTCCAACCCTGCATTTCATCTAGAAGAACTTTGATTTTATTTTTACTCTTTCACCGGTACTACTTCATCCCTGCAAGAGATACATTCTCAGCAAAAGCAGCATGTGCGAAGTGCCCTTGATTCGATGTTTCTTTCCTCGGGATTTCGTCGAGCCTGTCGTAGGGGCATCAGCAAAGGGAAACGCACGTTGCGCCGGGTATGGAGATTTCAGCACGTCGGGATCAACAACCTATTTGCTGGCAGAACAAGACGACTCGAAACTACGCAAGGTGCAGCCTCGGCGGTCTGGTCATGATGGTGTTCGGATGTCACTACACTTCAAGTGAAAAATCTGTAACGCACCAGATCCAACAAGTAAATTATCATAAGTAGAAAACAAAAAGCTGGCACTCATCGACGTAGCAGTAGCTTGTAGTTGAGTTGTACTGTTCCTCATCATGAGGAAGAAAGAATAAACGAGCGGACACGGGTAGAAGAAGAAGACAGCGCTCTTGTCTTCCACGGTGTCGCTGCAATAGTGTATTAGACTCGTCGATCTGCTCATGATGATGAAGCAGATTGTAACCTGATTTGGATCAAGGTGGATCAGTTTCGGTATCCGAACTACACTTTTCGAGATCGCTGCGGTTCGGAAGATCTACTGAATATTTCACGCAAGCTATCATCTTTACCTATCTTCAAGAACTAGATCACCCTCGGTTCACAACAGGTTCACGAGCTTTCTATAATGACACGTTCTCGCCGTGCTGTTCCGCTGTAGTTGTAAAGCGAACGATAGATCATGTACTTCGTTTTTTGCGTACATTTTTTTTTGCGCTCCGATTTCATAGCAGCGACAAAGTCCGACTCAAAAACTGCAACACTTTTTTTGGCGAAAGAATTGTAAGCATTCACTGACATCGCGACCTTTGTTTTGTACTATCTGAAAGGGTTACAACACATACTAAGACACATTCTAGCGATAATTTCTTCGAAAGCTCGTTTGTGTACGCCTTCGCAAGGGAAGTCTTTTATCAGAAAATGAGGCAAGTCATCAAGTTGCTCGCCTTTCTGGGCGCCGCTAGTGGAGTAGCCGCGGACGAGAAGAAAAAGAAGGGACCAAAGATTACCAGCAAGGTACTTCTATTTCTGAACAGGATTGATGCGCTCTTCTCGCTTATTTACGAGAGCAGACTCCAAGTTCTTTTCTTTGCATGGGAGGTGTAACTAGTTGTAGCGTCACGGTTATTTGATGCTGCACAGCTGTAGTACTCTTGATGTGTTTGATTGCAAAAACTCCGGAATGATCTATAAGTATAAGTATGAGTATCACATTGTGTAGTTTTTGTGCATATCAGGTATACTTCGACGTAACACTTGGCGGTGAGGATGGAGGTCGGATAGTGATGGGTCTGTACGGCAAGAGCGTTCCAAAAACTGCAGAAAACTTCAGGGCATTGTGCACAGGTAAAATTGTTTACATTGATACCACCTATCCTGGTGCTGCACGAGAGCGCGTGGTGGAATATTTTGTTGGACTTCATCCGGTACCTTGTGCAGCACAAGTAGTGTACTGTTGCGCAGATGATGAATCAGACCAGGGCTTCTAGGCTACAACTTACTTGCTTTTTCGTTTGAATATCGCGAAGAAGTACGAGATCATGCAGACGTAGTACCCCAAATAAACAAGGTGAGAAGGGCGAAGGAAAGATGGGCAAGCCGCTGCACTACCAGGGCAGCACGTTTCATCGGGTGATCCCGCAGTTTATGCTTCAGGGCGGGGACTTCACCAACGGCGATGGGACGTATGAGAGTGCACGCAACCCCCCTCATTTGTCATGCAAGGCACCTATAATGCACGCCTTTCCTCTTGGCACTGTTTGCATGGCAAGTTCTTGCAGGAGCCTAAACACATGGCATTACGGTCTTCTGATGTGCAAATTTGTGATGCAAAGCCTCAACCCTTGCTGACGCTTGTATCGTTGTTCATGCCAAATACAAATGAGTGGAGGTTCTTTTGTACCTTCATAGCCCGGGCGGGGAGTCTATCTACGGAGAGAAGTTTGAGGACGAGAACTTCAAGCACAAGCACAAAAAGCCGTACTTGCTCTCCATGGCCAACGCCGGACCCGGGACAAACGGCTCCCAGTTCTTCATCACCACAGTACTTCTTTTATAGATACGGCAGCTGTTTTAATATTGCTTTTGATACGCAAACGCATATTTTCCATAGGAAGATACTTACTAGGCACAAGCAGCAAGCAGGTGCAGGCATCGTGCGGTACTATATTAGCGTACTACAGAAATGAATACAGGAAGATCACACTTCTCACCAGTCATGCAAAAATTTGTCTACTACTACTCCTACATACTGGTTGAGTTTAGAGGGCTGATCTGTGGCCATGCACTTCCTTGTTGCAGAAATTGTTATATCCCATTCTCCTGATTTGATTTTGATCAGGTCAAAACTCCGTGGTTGGACGGCAAGCATGTGGTCTTCGGCGAGGTTCTCGAAGGCCAGGACGTCGTGAAGGCCATTGAGGGTAAGGGCTCCCTATGCTCAGTAAATTTCCTGCAGACGACGTACAAATGTGTAGTTTTCCGCACGACAAACTTTTCTGGTTCTGAATAACAAGTTGTTTTTGATTTGGTGCCATTCTTACTTGTGATGCACTTTGACGTACACGTGCGGGAAATTTATGGTGCATAGTCTCCAAGCGGAAAGCCGGCCGCCAAGCTGGTGATCAAGGAGTCCGGTGAATTGCCCATGGAAAAGGAGGAGCTGTAGAGATGAAAAGAAGAACTGTTATTGTGGAAGATGAGGGTTCATAACCATAACCGAATGAAAATGATAATCATTATCATATTAGTCGTAAAAGTCCGGCAGGAAAAGCAGGAGGTTGTTACTAAATGTTCGAAATGTACAAACGTTACCGGACGACAAGTATGTACCGAATGAATCCTTGTTGTAGTTTTTCCACTACTTCTTCATCTTTTCTTTTTATAGCGTAAACAACATCCGTTTGCGGCCATCTTGAGCAGCAAGACGGGCGAAAAATATTTCTTGTATTGTGTATTAGTATTAGGCTCGACAAGCCAACGGTAGTTCCAAGAACCTCGCGCAGATTATGTTTCTGCGCGGGGGGCGGCGGCGGGGGACGACGAGAATCGTTTATTTTGTGTCTGTAAGTTGGCTCCTGCTTCTCGCTCCAGGAGAAAAAACACAGAAAGAAGATCTGGTCGAGACTCTTTCATCAAAGTGTTTACAGAAACCGGTATTGTAAGTTTGGGAGGAGCAACCGAGATTTTTAGATAAAGCAAAGGCGAGATTTGTGGTCCTTGCAGAACTATCTGATGGAATTATAAAAGGTTGCAAGCAGGAGCTTGCTATTCGTTGTTCGGGACCGTATCGCCAATGCTCTAGAAAAGCAGGATTGAGGAGGAGTGTTTTTCTCCGCCGAAACATGAGATGAGTGATTGTCGTTCTTGTGTAATCAGGACTACTTTTACACGAGACGAATAAACAGACCCTGAACACGCTCGGTGGATGATGTCGTGCCTTGGAATGTTTATCAGCAACTCGCTGTGTTTTCCTGTATTTCAGGCTTGATTACTCCGGAGACGTTGAAGGTAGAGACGACGAGGTGGCGCTTGTTGTTCCAGCTTCGCTTGCCGTTGGTCTTGGTACTGCACGTACAACGACGAGGTTCTACTTAATTATGCTGTTGCTGCAACGAAAGACCTACGCCAGCACACTCCTGCTAGAGGAGGAAAGAAGTTGCAATAATTCGAGTGAAAATCCTGTGCGGCTAGGATCGACCACAGTGGTTGCCCTTGCTTTCTTCTGCCGGAAAGCGAAAAACGGGTTCAGATGACGAAAAATATGGTAAAGGAGGCAGTGCCATCGATACAAGAAAAAATAGGGTAAAGGTGCCAGCACCGCAAAGCGACACAGGCTTTCCGAACATGTTATGGAATTGATTTCGACAGAGGAGTATAGGGGTGCACACTAGCAAAAATTCCCGTCATGATTATCACTATCAGATAGAACTAAAGGTAGTAGAACTTCGACTTGTACAACTGCAGAGAATTCTAACAAGGAACAGATCATATACAGTAATACGGATGAGCTAGGTGCAGGAGTTGAAGATTATCTTTGTACAGAGTGGCCGGACAAAAGTGGCGCCCAGGGGTTCCTTGGTCATCACTTTTGGCCACCGCTTCCCGGTCCGCCGCGCGAAAGTGATGGCCAAGAACTCCTTGGCCAGCAGTCACTTTTTGCCTTCGCTTTGTTTCCGGGTCGGCGGCAAAAGTGGTAGATGGCGAAGAACTCCTTGGCCAGCGATCACTTTTCGCCATCGCTTTCCGGCCCGGCGGCAAAAGTGATGGGCAAAAGCAGAAGCCCCTTGGTCATCACTTTTGGCCATCTTCAGCCATTTTATTTCCGGCCCGCCGGGCAAAGATGGCGGCCAAGAATTCCTTGGCGATCTCTTTTTGCCATCGCTTTCCGGCCGGGCAAAAGCAAAAGGGATGCCCAGGAGTTCCCTGGCCACTACTTTTCGCTCGGGCAAATGTTGGGGCCAAGAGCTCCCTGCCCTGTCTGGCCATCACTTTTGGCCAAGCCCAAATTGGAAAGCGCAACCGCTCTCAAGTCCGGGCGCGCAAAAGGGGCTGACGCCGGGACCGCAAAAGCGCTAAAGCGGCGAGGCCGCCAAGGCACGCGCAGGCCGGCCCAGGCGCACCAAGCAATCTCCCTCGGGGCAGCCCATGCACAAAGCAAAATCGCACCAGTCCCGCGGGCGCGCCGGAAGGTCGTGCCTGGGTCTGTGTAGCCCTCGCTCGCTGTGCTTTTGCTTTCTCTTGCGGCGCTGCCTCCCCTTCTTCTGACGCGAATTCCGGGGCCTTTTGTGCCTATTTCTGTCTGTGCCATGCCTTCACCTTCTAACCAACCAAAATAGCGCGAGTGGCGCGCGCTCCATATGTGGAACTATTTTTCAAGCTACTAGCCCAGCCGGCGTCCTGGACGCCGGCGTCTCTGGGCTAGTATACAGTAATACGGATGAGCTAGGTGCAGGAGTTGAAGATTATCTTTGTACAGAGTTGAAAAGGTCATGCTCCTGCCTAGTACACGCACTAAAGTTTGACCACTCGCCTTTCCGCCAAGACCCAGCAACACTAGCGAAAACGTTCTTGTTTCAAACTCTCACCTGACGAAGCGGAGAGCTGCAAGAAGCGGCATCGCCATCATGTCCAGTGCGGGGTTTAAAAAAGCGACCTTTCTTCAGACAGATCCCGAAAATACACACTCGTCCACCTACTTCCCCACCCCCGCCGTGCCCGAAGTAGAAGTAGCAGACCATGCTGTAGGTTTAGACAGACCCAGAACTAGCACAACGCCGCCAGACGTTGACGGTAGCCTTCGCGAACATTGTCCATCTACTACTTCGCCGGAGGATCACATCCACGGCGGCGACCCGCTGTCTAGTGACAGCTTGCTGCAGGCCGCACTGCGCGATTTGAGGAATTTCAAGGTGCAGCTGCACATGCGTCCGATCTCCATGGCTCCAAAGCTGAAGAACAGCACGTTCTCGATCGACGGATTTATTACGTTTGGCGAGTTTTTTCGGAAAATGAAACAACTGCTGCGCGTGGAAAGCTTGTATCTGTACCTGCAAAGCAGCTTCACTCCCGAACGCGACGACTGCATTGCGGATCTTTACAATTGCTTCAAGGGCCCCGGCGACCAACTGGTCTTCAGCTACTCGTTGGAGCCGAGCTATTCCTGAGGCGAAACGGACAGCAGGAGGGTGCGTCGAAATCAAGCACTTTATTAGTTGTACAAGAAGGACAAGAAGAGGACCTGCGCTTGACGTCAGCACTTCGGAGGTCGTCAGGCGTGGTGGCGAGAGGAGCCCGCCTGGGACGAGAGGAAGGACATCAAGGAGCCCGCCGCGCCTGGGAAGAACAGAGTGATCATGAAGACGAATTTTTTGGAGCAGGCAGCGTGGTTCGAGACCGTTCGCGGCGATGTGATGAAGACCGTGGCGTACGGATTCGACGTGGCGGTCGTTCGCCAGCCGCAGCACGTTGACAACTGGGTCTTCCGGGCAACCTTGCCACAGTATGACACCGCGCTACAGACCGGAAGTTGTCCGGGAGACGCGGCGGGCTCGGGAGTCACCAGGGCTCCTTCTGGAGGATCTTCGATGCCAAAGAAAGCTGCAAGTGGTGGTGGTCCTCCAACCCAGATCATGACCACGGCGCACGTGCCCGCGCAGCCCGTAGTTCCTCCCGGCGGTTCATCATCACGTGCAGCTGGTGGCGGGCAGACGTTCACAACAATGCCCGCGGAAGGTCAGGCGACCGGTGCGGGCGGTAGTTTGGATAACCGGGGGAACATGATGACGATACCAGTGACAGTGGGTGCTGACACGGCGGCGACAGCCGCGCCAGCGGCGTTCAGTGGCGGAGGTTCTTTAATAATGCCCCCACCTACAGTATCATGTGTAAAACCTCTTGCTGCGTTGCGGTTGGCCCCCCCAGACCCTGCTACGACAAGTCAACATCAAGTTTTGGCTGTTTTTCCTTATGACGAGCTCCTGCTCGAAATGTCATTGTCATCGCGTCTAGCGACGGAAAGATTTTCCAGGTCAAGCGTCTGGTCCTGATTCGGGCATGACAAATTCTGAAGGTCTTCTTGTTTTCAGACAAAATAGCACTACCACTAGAAGTTGCCCCCTATTGTGCTCCTGCGCATGAGAAGCATCATTTTAGGCATGCGGATAATTATTTGCTGTAGTCTGGCAACTGTGGGCGGGTGGACCCGTTTTTACACACGATATACAACAGCTCCATCCCGTAGTAATATCAATGTCGGCGGGCTACGGCGCGGACTTGGCCTCGCTTTTGCCACGGGACCTGCCGGTCATGACGTTGTCGTGACCGAAAAAAGTGGGACACGACAAGGCGGCACATTTGGGCCGACATTTATTCAAGAAAACGCGGGTCCTGCCCCCGGTACAACTAGTGGAACAATTGCTATGGATGTGTCAGGTTTGAAATCGTCAGAGTTGAAATACTTTGTCATGCATAAAATGGATGCCAGTTGGAGCCCAGTTTGCAAGTGGCGCTTGACAAGTTTTGGTGGTGCCTAAATCCAGTTTGTAATGCTGTTTGGGTAAGGAAAACACCTTTTGTCATGCTACTTTAGCAGCTCTATTTCTACCCCTCAACAGGCTTGCAATCGGCCTCCCTTGCCTACTCTGCAAGACAGGCGCTTTGTGGGTTTTTTTTATGCATCACAAATTATTTCAACTTTGACGATTTCAATCCTGACGCTTCCATAATTGCCACTGGGGCAGTAGCACGAGCAGCAGCCGCAGTGTCGACTTTCGCCGGTGGAATGGAAAGAGTATTCACTACGGGAACTACGGGTCAAATGCCAGCATCTGGATCTGGCACTGCTGCGGCCGCAAGTTCGTCGTCGCGGTCCCAGTTCCAAGCTACAGCGACGTTTGGCACATCCGCCAAGAACGCTGCAAAAAGCAACAAGGATATCAACCCAAGTAATCCACCGGCCGCAGGTGCGCAAGCGCACGCGCTTCTGCCGACGACCTCTGGTGACCACGCGACGACTTTTGACACCAGCACGACGAGGACATTTGCTGCTGGTGGACCTTCGGCTGGGGCGTCGAACAGAATAAACGCAAGGAACCTCTACCAAGAATCTGAAAAAATTGGCAAGATGAGCAGCAGAAGTACTTTTTTAGGTGGCCCGCTGCAAGAAGCTTTTTCGAATGCAGTGTCAAATGGACAACAACTACTGCAAAGCGCAACAATGCCGCCAGCGCCGTCTACTTCTTCTTTGCAGTTTGGTTATAATTATTTCGGTGCTGGACAACCCCAACCCGCAGCTTTTGGAACCTCCTCCGCCAGCGGAAATACAAATGGAAATCAAACTCATCAACCGAGCGCGAACACAAAAACTTTCAACAGCAGCAGTTCAGCTTTGACACGACCCGTAGTTGGTGCAGCTGCAGTTGTACAGCCACCTCAACAATCGGCGAAGATGAACAGCAAAATAAATACAAATACTTTTAATACTAGTTTCGGCGGATCGGGATCTACACGACCAGCAGCTACATCATACCCTAGCGACGGGTCGTTTGCGGCCTTTGGCGCTACTACAGGCGGATTTTTTGGCGCAGCGACGCCGTTTAACACCACGTTCGGTGCACAAGCAGAAGGTGGCACAACAACCAAAAATAATACTCATCAGGGTGGAGCACGAGCAGAGGCAGATGCTGTTGCAGCTTCGACCGGAAAAATTAAATCAGGAGGTGGTTCCTCGTCACAACTACAACTACCCTTAGGTGCTGGTGGTGGTGGAACGACAGGGCAGACATCAAGTTACACCGCTTCAAATTATCCGAATATGGATCAAGATCAACGAAACCACGCAACAAGAAGAACGGGGCCCGAGGTGGATTCATCTGTAGTGAGGGATAATGACAAGAACGCGAACTACGCCTACGCGGCGGGGGCCTCGTCCTCTTCCCTCGCAGACCGTAACAAGTCCATTCTGGAGCGCATGCGGGCGCAACGAGAGGAGGGCACTAGTGTGGGTAGAAGTTGTGCAGGCGGAATTATGTTGAGCAGTGGTTCTGGTGCGCCAGCAGTTCCACCTCGTGTAGTACCTTCTTCAAGAGTAGACTTCCAGCAGCAAGTCGCTTCATCCTCTCAGGCGAAGCGGCGTCGAATGTCAGCAAATGATGTTGAGGTAATCGACCTCACGTGAAGATGTTCTTGTTCATCTTGCGTTTAAAGAGAAAGTGTCGTGCTGCTACGTAAAAATGTAATTATCGCTGGCCAATGTTATGTTGTTGCCAGAACTTCTACACAAAACAGAACCAGATCGATCCTGAACAACCTGGGATGATTGATTTCCGTACGCGCGTTTTCGACCACTTCATGCGCACGAGTTCGTGCGTATCTATAATTTTCGAATCGAACAAGGAGCTTCTGCTTCATCGCCGGTCGTCGGTTCCTTCAGGATTTTATTCTCTTTCTCGCACTGCCCGAAATAAGATTAGCGAGGAGCACATCAGCCGGTGCCGCGCTACAGGTACGAATGAGTCGGTCCTTTGGCATCACAAACTTGTAGTTGTAAGTACTTTAGTGGTCGTAGTCCTCAACGACGACTACGAGAATTGTATTTTTCGGTGAATGTTGTTCAGAATCAGACCTCATCCGGTTTGTGAATCGTCGACCCTGTCGTGCAGGAGCCCTACTTGCAATCCAAATCGGCATCTACAACTTCCCTTTGGAGTTTTACTTTTCAAGATACAACATTAATCGGTATCTACAACTACAACTTCCAAGTGGTTTCTTCGGTTTTTCTGTGAGTGCAACTCGTCCACTTTCACTAGTGCAAAACTCGTCGACTTCTAATATTGCCACTTGACTTCTACTAGTGCAAGAAATTGTCCACTTTTTTTATTCGTCTGAGTCGGTCAATCCTTCCGTCGAGGGGCTGTCAGAAATCGCGATAAGACTAGGATCGAGATCGGTGCATCCAAAGAATATGAATAGACTCTGGCATGGATGTTGACGTCAGTCTTGATCGGTCGGCCGCCGTGCGTTTTGGTCTGTCTCATCGTTTCTTCATCGATATAAGTTGGTCGCGGTGCTGTCGTCTTAACCGCCAGAGAAGCTGCCAGTAACACATAACTACATGTTTATTGATAATGATATCGCGCATGGAGGAAAAGGCGAAATAGCATATCCAACTTCTTTTTGCGAATTTATGTTTAACAAGTCATATTTGAACAGAGCTTCAACTTGTTCTTGGCATTTTGTTGCCGTGCGTCCAACTACAATTGTGATGCGACGAGGACGAGGAGGAGGACCTCTCCCACCCCGATGTTATTTTGAAGTATAAAAGTTTTACTATTTGTATTTGATGAGGCACCCCCCGCCTAGGAGATCGACACTTTGAATGATTTTAGTTCTTACTTTCTGATTCTGCCCGGCTCGATTGATCATGAAGATCAGCACAGCGATGGAACGATCTTCTTCAAGGGACGCGACCTAGTTGTTGCACTCGGGGACAAGTTCAAAAGGGTGCTACTTTTAATCGAGAGCCACGATATCAAAGTCAAAAGGCTGCAGCTGCAGAGCTTCAACTTCATCGAGGATGCGACCTCCGTTTAGTCTTCAGCGCCGTGGCGGCTTTCTCAGATCGCCTATCGACAGCGGGAAAATCAATGCAGCTGTTATTGAGGACAGGAGGTTTTTACGCGCACACCATCACCAGGGCGAGCACTCCAGCAGTCGAAGGCTCGCATCATGCGGGAGAAGGGGGCTGGTCTTGGTCCTTTTCTATTTGTTCGCGATCAACATGTTGTCGCTGCTGGGTAGTATTTTCACACTTGGCGTATTTCATCTCTTCTTGGCCAGAGCGCTCGAGCTGGGAGGCAGTGTTGATACCGGTATTTTTACCACGATTACCGCACCAACGTTTCCCGGCTTCTTCGTTGCTGCAGAGCTGATGGAACTGCGAAGGAAGGAGGGTCAGGAGACTGAAAACGACTCATCTGAGGCAGATGGGATAACTAGTAGTATTCAGAACACCGACGACACACGCTCTCTCTCGCCGCGGATACTGGAAACGGACCAAGTCGTGCAGAGCACTGCGCTACAGCGACGGGCATACTATGGTTTGGAGTTTGCCCAGGAATTCGGACTAGACCCAGATGTCGCCGCTGCGCTGGACAGGGGAGTACGGGAGAGGGAGCAGAGGTTGGCCGAGGAAGCAGCTCAGAGGGCCGCCCAGAAAAAAGCTGACAGGCTGGCCCAGCAAGAAGCTGACAGAAAGCAGGCGGCTGAGGAGGCCGAAAACTATCGTCTTCGGGTTAAAAATGAGGAACCACCCACACTAACAGATGACGACGAGGAGATGAATGACGTAAGTGTCGAAAACGAGAAAGATGACAAAGTCGAGCGTGGGTATGGGACTACGACTCTCAAACGTTACACTGATCGCTGTTGCATGATCATTTGTTGCCACACAGAATCACTCGCACCCATGCATTGCATGTTCAAGCTAATGCGCATTATAAGTAACCTCTCTGCTCATGACCACGACGACTGGAGAAGTACGTTGCATTCGAAATCTCCAATGCGCGACACGCAAGCCCCCCCCTGGCCCTGACGGTTCCGCTTTTTATGCATCTACTGCACAAATCAAATAAATCTAAATTAATCATTTGTTACATCATAGTAGCAGCTATCAATGTAAAAAAGCTGAAGAATTCCATACTGCGGTGACACACTTTTTGTTGGCACCGGATACGACTGAGGTCTTCCCGAAAATGGATAACAAGTGCCCAGCTCCTGGTGGGGAAAAAGAGAAGCGGATTCAAGCTTGGTTTCCCCGGCGAATCTTCGACACTGTGGGGCAGCTCTGGCACAAAGCGAAGGGAAAACTGCGGGTTCCCGATTTGAAAAAGCCGTTCCGGTTCCTGTATCAAATGCAAAAATGTCTGGGTCTGGAACAGTGCGCGATTTGTCATGCAGCTTTTCCATGACCCACGAGGTCTGGAATGCAGGACCTAGCGTGACAGATTCTGTGCGATCTCTATCGTCCCTGTCCTGCATGAGAAACTCCCTCCCGACTTGGTCAAAACTGGACGACTAATCATGCAACAGAGAACTTTGCATGATTCAGATTTAGCGTGACAAGTTGCATCCTTCCAATCCCAGACATTTTTGCATTTGATATCCTGCTCGACAAAGCGATGTGGCTGAAGGACAAACTGATGGATGCGGGCTCTAACGCCGTGAAGTGGATTATCCAGGAAAAAACACCCATCCACATCATCATCCAATTTGTCATGCAATACACGTGTAAGATCCTCTGTTTGTCATGCAAAAAATGGATAATATGGATGAGCTTTTTTCTGTGGATATGGATTACCAAGATGACTCTTGGGGAGGCGCGTTTTACGCGTATGTTCGGGGTGCTGACCGACCGCTTGGCGCAGACCACCAGTTTGACCCTTGGTGTGGCAGCGCAGGCGACCCTGTTTCGATTCGTGCCCGGGGTCGCGGTGCCCATCGGCGACTACCTTCACGGCACCGTGAAAAAAATGGTCGAACGATTCATGAACAAGGGGCCTTTGCAGTTCTTGCGCAAGTTACTTGTAGACGTCGTGGGCCGACGCCTTGTGGTGTCCATTGTGCCATACGTCGTGCGTCTAGCGCTCGAGCAGCTCTGGAAGCTTGTTACCGCCGCTTTTCTATCCACTAGTTACAATGATTGCCATGTTCTCCAGGTCTGGAAGATTGCGCGTCTCTGTCATGCGTCTCTTAGTTGTAAATCAGGATCACACTTCTACAGATGGTTATGGTTTGGTCTGCGTTTCGAATCAATTATAATTATGTTGCACGTAAAAGCGGCGCTACAGGTTCTGCCCAGGCCACCTTGTGATGCCCATACCCGTTCCCCATGAGAAATAATCGCTAGTATCGTTATCCGAGCAGGACATCCCATGAAGGAACACAGAGTTTGCTGTGGTCCAGCCAGGTGGCGTTGGGCGCGCACGACCAGTACAAAGAGTAGTTTGATGCATAATTCTTCCAAACGGAGTAGACATTAGGTTTGCAAAAATGCATATTTTCCGAAGGTTGTCGCCCTGCTCGAAAACCTCGGGAAGTTTGCCTGGTGGGGTGTGACGGCCGTGGGCGGGCGAGTCAAGGCGGCTTTAGGGCACTTGGCCCGCAAGCTCGCAGAGCTCGGCCACGGAGTGCTGAAGAAAGCCAAAAAGCTTGCGGGGGCCCTTCTGAACAAGCTCTTCGGAGAAAAAAAAGCAGCCCCGCAGAAGGACCACGTGGACGAGCCGGCGGCGGATGTTGAGCAACGAGTGCCATCTTCCTCAGGTGTGCTTGCGCATGGAGAAGGAGGAGGAGACCCTCAAGAACAAGAAGTACGTGATCCATCCGTACCGGACGACAAGGAAAACGAGGATAAAATCACCGAGAAGGTGGACGATGAAATGAACGACAAGGGCCTGAAAAAGACACTGGATGATGTGAAGGCAGACACGAAAGTGGACGCAGCGGAAACGCAAGTGAAGGAGGGTTGGGAAGCCGTGGGCGGCGAGGTGCAGACCCTGGCATTAACAGCCAACGAACAAATGGCGGAGAGCGTCAAGACCGAGACAAGCAACCCGGAGAACCAGAGTAGAGAGGGCTTTTTCAAACGCGTGACAAGGAGGGTCCGGGACCTTTTCGGCTCCATATCGTTGGAGACCGTGATGAACAAGATGTGGAGTGCAGGTGCGGGCATGGTCGAGTGGCTGTCTGCAAATATTGCTCGCCTGTTTTCCAGCGTGCTGTACAATGCAATGCTGTTCAAACTGGCGGCGATTGTTTCCGACCTCGTGCTCGGGGTGCTACATCTCTTCAAACTGCCCGCTTGGCTCACTGGAAAGCTCGCAAACCAGTTGGTGCAGGCAGTGGTTTTGGTCCTGGGTATCCAGTTCGAAGGCAAGATTACCGAACTACTGGAACACGTACTCAAAGACCACTTGCCCAGTTTGGTTAAGAAATTTGTCGAGTTTATGAAGGCTGGAGCAGAAAAGCTTCGGACTTCGCTCCGCACAATGCTGCCTGAGCGGGCACTCGAAGCGCTGAATTCGTTGAAGACAAGTGTTTGGAGCAAGATCACGGCACTGTTCGGTCGCGCAAGATCCAGCGCAGGTACCGCCGTGCAGGTAGTAAGGACTGCGGTCGCAACAGTTGCAAGAACAGCAACGTTCACGCGAAACAACGGAGGAGGCCCGGGCGGGGACGCGGCCACATCCGGTGGTGGAACAGGCAGTGCCAGTGCTGTTGCGGAGGACGGCGGGGTGGCATTTCTGCAAAAGCACCAAGCAGCCGGCTCCGGGGTACCAAACTTGGACCCGGACGAGGACGCGGAACTCAGAGGGGAGATCTCAGCGGGGGAGAACGTAGAGGATTTTTACGAAAAGGCAGATAAAAGGGCACGTATCCTGTGTGAAAAGAGCGCCCCCAGAAATCCAAAAGTCAAGATCGAAATCATTTTGCATACTTACAACACATCAAAAAACGCAGAAGAGCATGAGTAGGGAGTCACGCATGCCAATTTTGTTCCATTCGTCGCGTACTAGTAGTGCAGGTTCTCAGAAGGGACGGCCGGAGCTCACAAAGCCATCTGCTGGCTATGTTAATCTGTTTTTAGTCTTAATACGAGGGCCGTGATGTAGTTGAGAACACGACTGCGCCTGCCACTCATGAAGAGGCACACTCCACTACAAATGCTCCTGTAGATGCAACTACGCATGACATCAAGTCTGGGCCGGGGACGATTTTATTCAGGATTGCGCAAGACATCGAGTCCAATGAGGTCCTGCGTTTAGCCCCTCCTACTGCAGATGATGATGGCGACGAAGAAGCCGCACCACCCGCCCGCTCGGGCGGCCACCGCTTGTCATGGCTTCGCACTGGCCTTGGCCGCGTGGCGCAATTCGTGACGCCGTGGCGCGATAACGCCCACCGAGGTGCCGAGCTCGCGGTGCAAAAGTTTGGTGTCGCCACAGAACGCGTCCGCCGTTTCATCCGTTCGAGCTCATCTTCATTCGTGGAGTATGTGAAAAACCTCGGGGCCCGGAACTTGGGCGCCTCCGTGCGTACGGTCACGGAGGTGGTGCTTAGCGCCGTGGTGGATTATGTGTTTCCCTACATTTTCGGAGTGCTCTCCAAAATCGCCCCGATTTTGATCCCTTTCGAGTTCATCCTCCGCCTGTTGATGCACCAGCTCGTGTCGCAGCTGTGGAAATTCGAATTACCCGCCACACCGGAATATGGAGTGGTCAAACGACGTTACAGTCTCAACTGGTGTCACTTACGTGATTTTTGTCATGCAAAATTACTTTTTACCATCCGAATCGACACGAAGCTGCAGCTTCACGTGTCAAATTTTCGAGGAAGAGGAACCAATCAGGGCCATAAAAATCTCCGCAGAGTCTGTCATGCAAGACGCGCAAGGCCCTCCCTTTCAAGTACTTTTGCCATTCTTGCATCGCAAATTCATGTAGCAGTCGATTTGTCACGCGAGAACAGCAAGAGTGGAAGCGGGAACAAGATTGCGCGTTTTGCACATACGAATTTGGAACGGATTTCCAAGCAAGGCCTTGCCATGCGAGGCAACGTGACTTTGTAGAGTCTGGTGGCAATGATTTTGCATGAAAAATCGTGGAATAACAGCTGAGAATGTAGCGTTTGAGAGTCCCATACTAGATCGCGATCACTTTTGGAAATTAATGAAAGAGCTGCGGGCGTCGATGACGAGCCGGGAAGTGCTCAAGGTGCGGATCCTGCCACACAGTTGGGCGACAAAATTTACGAACACTTTCTTGATGAAGCGAACGGATACATCCAGTCCGTAATTCGCGGCACGTTGAAGAAAAAGATCTTGATGAGAATCAAGGAGACTTTTGGTTTTCCTGGTGAAGCGCATGATGTTGATGCAGGGAGCTCGGATGAAGGACCCCGACCCACCGACGCTGAGGCTGGGCAGCAAACTCCAACAGCACCAGCAAGAGGAGAAGAAGAGGAGGACGTGGTGCCAGGAGTTGTTGGCAGCAGTAGCTTCCTCGAAACCACCGCGGATGGAACTCAACTACCGGCGACGCCCGACATCGCGACACCCCAGATTGCGCCAGCAGAGAACAAAGGTTTTCTGGCCCGGCGGCCCTCGTCGTCGGAACCGGGGAGGCCAGCTGAAACAGGTCTGGAAGGTACTATCGCGGGGGGGGACACCAGTGCGGGAGAAGAGGAACAGCATGGTGGAACGGGCAACCCTGCGCGCGTGCGGATGAGGACCGCAGCTGCGAAGCAAAACAGGAAATTCTTGTCCCGCCGAGCAGATGTTGTTGTTGACGATGCGCAAACTGATTTTGACGCTAGTACAACAGTTGTAGAGCAACTGTTGGGGCAATCGGATGATTTTCAGGCGTGGGCGGGCTCCTTGATGGAGCAGGGTTCTGGCGGCGATGATTCGGCTGAATCGGATGATGAAGATGAAGAGCGACAAGGCACAGGTTCCAGCAGAGCAGTAGAAGCTGAGCAGCACGACCTGCTGGAACAAGGAAGCCTGGTCGAGGTTTCCCGCGAAGTGTCTCGTCTCGACGAAAACGAGGAAAAGGATAAGTGGGAAGACCTCCTGAAAGCGAAGGAACAGGAGGAAGCCATTGGAAAAATCGAGACGGAGTTGTTCTTTCCCAAACCCCATACACCACGGGAAGAACAACATCAAGATGAAGGAGGGCAACCCGGTGCAGCAGCCGCGGGGGCCGGCGGTTCCCCCGCGAGCGGTAGCAGCGGCCTCCGCGCCCGGAGATATGTTCAACCCAGTGCAGCAGCCGCGGGGGCCGGCGCTTCCCCCGCGAGCAGTAGCAGCAGCGCAAGCGGAGGAGAAAAGACGCCGCTCAAGAGGTTCCTCCACAGCATGGGCGAAAATCTGAAGCAGGCGGTGACCAAGCTACTTGATGTTCCGGACACCGAGCTAGTAGAAGATGGAGAAGATGGTGCGCCGGTGCCCGGGAAGGCGCGGGAAGGTGGGCATGCTCGTTCCGGACAAGACGACGAAGATGCGAGGAGAGGGGGCCAGGGCCAGGTAATGAAGGGAGAAACTACGCTGCTGGAAACTGTCGTAGAAAAAGTGCCCTTTTTTAAGAATATTTTTCACTTCATCACGCTATCAAGTGCAAATGTGTCTGGGTCTGGAAAATTGTGATGCCTGTGCTGGGTGAATTACTTACGCACGGCGCACTGACTGTGATGCACCACCGAGCTGCATCTGCATGAGGAAGAAAATAGAGTTTTCTGTGTCTCTGTGTTGCGTTTTCCGCCCGAGAAAGGGCGTTTTTACATGACAGACAAGACGAGCTTACACTGCTGGCCACGCAATACCAATTTTACAGAGTTCAGTGTCAGTATCATGTTCGTTGCTACTAGACTACTAGCATGACAAGAAGCCTGACAAACTTCCAGACCCAGACATGTTCGCAACGCATACGCGCGGTCCTTTTACAACTCCATGATGTCCATTATGGCGTTCTCAACTGTTACATTCTCAACTGTTGCATGAATTTGCGATGCAAGAATGGCAAAAGTCAAAGGGGTGTCCTTGCGCGTCTCGCATGACAGATTTGGAACAGATTCTCGGCCTGTTTGGCTCTTCCAGAATTTGTCATGCGAAGCAGCTTGATCGTATCAATTCTAATTGTGATTTTGCATGACAAATCATGGAACAGTTGAGGATGTAACGTTTGAGAACGCCATATCCATGCTCACTTCGGCCGTCGCCAGGCTCCAGCTGATCACGTTCCTTCGTTTCTACACCCCCAGAACGCCGGTAGGCGCGAGCATTCCGATCGCTATACGGACTCTCACGTACGCAGTCTTCACCCAGTATCATTTGTAAAAACGCCCCCACCTCCTCCCCAGATTAAGATTTGCATTGGTCATGTAAATTTGCATGAACAGGATATTTGTCTTGCGGGTCTCCACCAACATGAGAGATGTTTTCTAAATGGTCGCGCCTGGGACGAAAACGAATCTGTCTTGCGCTATTAATCAGGATAAAAATCAAGCGGATTTCCAATGTTTCTGGAGGTGAACTACTAGTACTAGCTTGGCACGACTACGCTGCAAAGGCAGCGCGCTTTCTCCGCACGCATGACTCCCAAAACTTCTGGACTTGTGGTACCCACCAGTTCCCATCCTGACTCTGGGGCGGGGACGACGTTTTTGCTCAGGAGACCACGGGGAAAGTTGCTGCAAAAATGCGAGAGTACACGGACCGCGCGCTTTTTAAGAGCTGGGCCCTGGTTAAACAGGTGGCCAGTTCAGTTTTTCAGAAGCTCATTGCTGTCGTGCAGCACTTTGCTACAAATTCGGTGAAGAAGTTCCAAGAGTTGTGGGGCAAGGCGAAAAAGTTGCTATTTCCTCCGGCCGCTCAGCCGGAAATTCCGGCCGCTCAGCAGGACGAGCCTCGTCCTGAACCGCACGACGAGCCTCGTCCTGAACCGCAGGACGAGCCTCGTCCTGAACCCTAAACCCGACGAGGAGCAGTCGTAGCAGAGCAAGAAGGGGGAACTTGTCACTGCGACGGACAGGTCCGTGACGAGCTATAAACAACTTCAAAAACATAAACTCCCACTATATCTTTCGTAAATTTGTTTACTTACATACATTTTTTGTAACGAGCCACTGTTTTTCTGTTTCGATTCCTACGTTGTACTTGTTTTTTTATCATTTCCATTGCGTACTATTAGCATTCAGATTCATCAGCGATTTTCATTCTATCAGCAGAAGCCAGTACTTACATTTACTCATTTTCTAAGGAGCAACAACTTTGAACAAGATATTGTGTCTAGCAGTCAATCATTACTCGTCGCTCGGATCCGATCTCCACCTCGGTCGCCTTTTATTCCTGGAAATCGGAGTTCGGAGAGCTAGAGGCTTCTGTAGCTTTCCCAAATTTCTACTTCATCCGCGCATGGAGCTTAAGTGGATGATCTTTTTCTGCAAGCACACGACTCTATACTCAAGTAGCCAAATAAAAATAAAATAAAAAACCCAACTTGCGAAGTATTAGTATAGTTTCTTTCATTTTATTTTTACCATTTCATTGCACCAGCTTGACTTCCAATGAAGGCGAAACTGAGTGGGCCACATCATCGGCGCACTCTGTAGTTCCTGTTGTTTCTTATAAGCCTTGACGATGACGAAGAAGTGCTTCCACTAATATCTGCTATCACCGACTTCTTTACTACCTCGAGCGCTAGCTTATTTCTCTTGCCCGGCATGCTTATGGGCGGGGTCTTCCGCTCTATCAGCATGGAGGTGGCTCTATTTTTGATATTGAATACTTAATGCTATGAGGACGGGTTTCGTGAGTTTGTTTACAACGCGTACATTTAATTTTCATCTGATGCAGCCCTCTTTATCCAATTACAAATTACTGTTAATCAAAGTGCTTTTCAATACCATTGTGCTGATTTGTACTTCGTTTTTCGTTTTCTCATCTAGTATTGTTTTTGCCTAGTGTCGCGATAATGATCGCCCGGACTTCAAGAAGAAACTACAACCGGGAGTGGTGTCGGAAATTTATGTGGAGTACAAACGCCCCTCACTCTGGGACGATTTTTCACTTACACAGTCACAGCAATACAACAAATAATGCCCGGGCTGCCAGCACGCGCCGGCGCCGGCCACGTGGATGATTCTCAGTGATCTTCAACGTGGCGCAAGAGCTCTTCCGCTCCTGGATAGAAACAGCTGTAGAAATTCCGACTCTGCTCCCAGCGACTTGAGAAAAGATACGAAAAAAAAAAGCACGAATCTCCGCACAAAATGTCGACTCGAATTCAAAAAAGTATGTAACTATAAAGATAAGCGTAAACTTCATCCTGCTGCTCGTCGCTCCGCACAACTTCTCTACCAAGAAGCGGAGTACGTAGTAGAGCATGACAGTGTTTTTGCGCATTTATTGTTTCGGGTTCTCGGCGTTCACAAGTGTTCCGCTACGTACTCTTGCTCATTGATGTTTTTGTTTCCTGTGCATGGGTTTTGGTAATGATAAATTGTCGTGCTAGTAAGAAGAAATTTGGAGAGGAAGCCTATTTGTCCTGCGAAGCTGAAGCTGTAGTTCGAATCAGAATCTGCTCTGCGGCTGTAGTTCTCTACTTTTCGTCCTGTGTCTTTCTCTTTTCAAAATATTCTAGTTCTGCTTTCTGACCCCTTGTCAGCTGGTGCCCAAGGACAGTCCACCGAGGGAGGCGAATGTAATCGGTAATCAATCGTTGCGTTGATGCTTGATCATCTTGCCATGATGCAGCCCACGACCCGCAATTATTGCAGCGCGTCATCTTGCATCTTCCTCTGTAACACTAACAGGTGAAATCCCAAAGGGCGGCGCTAGGGTCAGGGTCAGCACATGTTGCACATGGACCTTCGATCGTCGCTTGATGTTGGCTCGTGGATTCATCTACCTACTTGTTAAGTAGCATCATTTTCACTTCCCTCACGACGACGACTTCTTGAATCTTATTTGTCTACCTTTATTTTTATGATTTTTTATTTTTGGTGCGGCAAGAGAAGAAAAGTTAAAGTAGAGGCACCGACCAACCGCCAAGATCTTCGCTCTGATATGTAGGACGGCACCATCAACATCAACATGCGCAGACTCTTTCTTCCATTGTTCCGACGTCCGTCTCAGTTCTCTCGTCGTCTACTGCCTGTTTGCTTTTACTAGGCAGCATGTGGGTTGCTGGAGTGAACACTCGTCGTCCAGTAGAGTTGTTCTTGTATTTTCGGCGCAGCTGTCTTCACGCAACGAGGAGAGCTGCAACTACTTCCGCGGTAATATTGGGACCTTTGCCGCAGAGAATTACAACGCAAGCTTTGACGTTTCACAGGTTCGCGCCCTCATCTACTCCAGCACGGTTTTTTTCGCACCACGTGTCTGGCACCATAGGTCGTGCAGCTAGAAACGCGAGGGCTAGCTACGGTGGAACAATATTAAACACATCTACCTCGTTCTTCAAGCAAAGTCTGACTCTGGGCCATCTCCGTGGTGCTCTTCTGAGGCCAAGCATTGGCCGAACAACAAGTAGCCCGCCCGCGAGGGCCCGGGGCATCGCGTCGCAAGCGTACTTGTTTGTTAAGACACGTCTGGTGCCAAATCTGTTCTACTTCCAGCGACACGGGTGCGGCGCGAGGAGCCGTCGCTTCTTCACTGGTTCAGGTTCTTTCCGCAGTTCTACTTCGCCTAGTGCTGCGTCGGGACGAACAACAGCAAGCGCGAAGAGGAGCTTTACGCGCATGACGATCCCTTGTCGGAACGGGGACCAGCAGGAGCAGCTCTCCCTTTGTGAGCGGTTCTGGGCCTGGACTACCAAAGCCGAACCGGAGAGGGCGCGCTGGTCACAAGACTGGTGGTTGGATGGACTCCTGAAATGCACCGTCTTTGCAGTATTTCTATTCCTTCTTGTTGAAGAAGGGCTTGAAAAATGTGAAAATAATTAGTACAGGATGTTGTAGTTGCTCTAGCATTCCTCGGTACATGTTGCCCATGCGGCTAGCAGAATGATATAGCTTTTGAATCAACAAAGCGAAATCACACCACCTCATAAAAAACTTACATGATCTCGCATCAGATCACCGGCACGTCTAGCGTGACCCTTGTCCGACCCGCGTTGGCCAAGGTGGGCCTCGTCGGATCGCTGAAGGACGGCCCGAATAGCTACCGCGTGCTGAGCATCTTTCTGGTGTCGCCCGTCTACACGCTGATCCTCCTCACGGTTGGGACCCTTGCCGGCCGACACACGTACTTTGCCAAGATGGCGCAAAAGATGTGGCGCCGGTTTCTCCCGGCGAGGTGGGTCGACAAAATGCTGTGTCCTCCCGCTTGTGTGCTCAAGAAGACTATGATCTGCAAAAGTATCGTACTCGTAATATAAATGCATTACAATGCTAATGCATGACTGCAATACGAGTGCGATACTTTTGCACAGGATAAAGACTGGCGCTCCGCCGGGACCTGCTGGTGGAGCAGGAGGAGGTGGCGGCAGGGCTACGACAACGAGTGTTGCAAGTGGTGCCGGACCACGAGGGTCTGGTGCTCTGGCAGACAAAATCAAGTAAAGATTGTGAGCAGCATGCGCACGTCGCGAGGACGGAACGATGATCGTCATGATGATGATTGAATGAAATTGAAATTGAAAAAAAAAACGTCGCACTTTTCTCACCAGACATCCCTCTCCCTGCACAAAAAGATCAACTCTCTTATTTTACCCCGAGTAAGTGTAAGCGACGTATTATTAGCTTATTTGTGAAGAACGGTGGAACGCGGGACGCAACTATGTGCTTTCGGCTCTTGCGGGGGTTATTGTGTGTTCCTCGGTGATTTTCTGCGTGCCGACGATCGCGTGCTCGTCATAAATTAACGCTCCATTTTTGCTCTCGCGCCCAGATGCGGGACCGACCGAAAAAGGATCAGAGTGCTCGAACGCAAAACACTTGAACTTGTTGCAAAGATTAGATCCAGTGTCGCTAGTACACTATTTTTAGTTGAAAATCATCGTTCCCTAAAAAAGAAGAAGAAGCGTAGAAGCAAGCGAGTAACCATACTCATGAGCCTGACCAACGTGATCTGCTATTAGCGAAGGAAGTGATGTGCTTGATCATTGAAGATGAAGACCTGCGAGAATTGATCCAGATCCTGAAATTTGTCTGAAGTAGATTGCTTTATTTCTAGAAGCATTTTTGCGCTTGAAGGAGCGGGGTCCACGATCAGAAACAAATAATACGATCAAAAATGAAATGCCGAGAATCAGTCGACGGAACTCCTTTTACAAAAATAGCCCCCGACTTCGTCGTACTATCAGCACCAGAAATTATGTATGATTATCGCAACTTGCTCTTGATAATCGCAACAGCTTTCAAAACCGCAGTGGAAGCTTTTCCATTCACTCTGAAGCGATAGCGGAAACCAGCAGACCCAGACGGAAAAATAAATAAATTGCACCTCCGACGACCGCATACAAGAACTAGCGCAAAATCGATTGTACGCACATCTTCATCATAGGGCGAAAATAACTAAACGAAAAATGTCAATGTCCTCCACTTCCACGACGTCCACGTCGCAGCATGCTCCCAGCTCTGGGAGCAGCAAGAAGAAAAACTGCGCGCCGGGGGGCACCGTGGAGCGTCTGTTGCCCCCGGCAAGCGATGAAGAGGAATTATCTTCGGACATGAATCGCGGACCATGCGCCGCTGAAGATGACGAAAAAGACGATCTTCAGGACGAAGATGATGTCCACGGAACGATAAATTCCTTTCTCAATCTTAAACTGTCTGTGGAAGATGAAGAAGACGCGGGCGGCCAAGAAGATGTAGAAGATGGGATGAGCATGATGACGAGACAGGCCGACGTCGAGCCGCAAACTTGTAGTACTAGGACAAGACCAACTACTAGAAGTGCTGTCACCGCCACGACCACGACCGCGCCCGCCTGCGAGAATTATGGAGCTGCGGCACTTCTGTCAGAAAATTTGAGAAGTACAGATCTAGTGCACCATCAAGGGCCACAAGGGCGCGCCGGTCAAAAAGAGCTGAACGCGGAGGAGGAAAAGGAGCTAATCCGGGAGTTCGAGGACAACGCGAATTTTTTTAGCACGGAGGGCCTAGAACAAGAGCAGCGACCGGCCGAAACATTGTCTATGGAGATCTGTGGCGAAGATAATGAAGATGTTAATATGCGACAAAACCTTTTGAAAAATTTGTCGGGTAGTAGTACTTCCACCTCCTCGTCATCCGCGGCTTCTGCCGGCGATATTAAAGCTCCTGTTGAAACAAGAAGAACCACGTCGGCTACAACAACTCCGCTCCTCCTGTCTTCCGAGAAGGATCCGCGGCAGCTGCCGACGGTGATTCTGAACGTGGGCATGGCGGGGTCCGGCAAGACGACCCTGATGCACCGCATGTACCTGGAGCTGATCGCGAAAAAGAAGCGCGTGTACATGATCAACCTGGACCCCGCGGTCCAGAACCTGAAGTACCCACGCCACATCGACATCCGGGACACCGTGGACTACAAGAAGGTGATGGAGGACTACGGCCACGGGCCCAACGGCGCGATCATGACCTCCTTGGGGCTGTTTGCCATGAAGTTCCACCAGGTGCTGCAGATCCTGGACAAGCGGTCGAAGGACTACGACTACGTGTTGGTCGACACGCCGGGACAGATCGAGGTCTTCGGCTGGAGCGCGTCCGGGCAAATTATCGCGGACACGCTGGCCACCCCCTCGCGGGACAACCCCCTGTCGGGGTACCCGACCGTGATCAACTACGTGGTGGACACCGCCCGCTGCACTCGCCCGGTCAGCTTCATGAGCAACATGCTGTACGCGTGCTCCATCCTGTACAAGTTTCAGCTGCCCTTCGTGCTCACCTTCAACAAGTGCGACGTGCTCGGCTGCGGCTACGTCAAAAACTGGCTCACGGATCAGCAGGCCTTCTCGAAAGCCCTCCGGAAGGACGAAAACAGCTACCTGGAAAGCTTGAGCAGGTAAAAAAACAAAATGGAAATTTCAATTTACTTATTGACTCATCAGCAATGCGAAGTAGAGCAGGTGCAGGTTTGATATCCTGTGTCAGTATCTTGAGTCGAACGCTTTTCATCCTGAAAAGTTTAGGCGTACAGCCTCGACCTATTTCAACAGATACATCAGAAGCGGATTCCCTAATCTATCTGATAGATTTGGGTGTCTTGATCTTCATTCTCATTCACGTCGCACAATACATCCCAGGTCGATGTCGCACGTGCTGGAGGAATTCTACATGAATATGGCTTCCTGCAGCGTGTCCGCGCACACGGGGGAAAATCTTTGGGAGGAGCTGCTATCCGTGAAATTTCCGGAGGCCCGGAAGGAATATTACGACGTGTATTTGGAGTATCTGCGCGACCGGGCAAAGTGGGTGCAGCAGAAACGCGAACATATGAACTGCAAATATGTCTGGGTCTGGGAGATTGCGAGATTTGTCATGCTAGTCTGGCATGACTCTAAACTCTGTATTGCGTGCCCGCGAAGAGGTCCTCTTGTCTGTCATGCAAAAACGCAGTTTCTCATGCGGAGTACGCAAGAACTCTGAACCACGGAAAAACTTGTCATCCTGGGGAGCGCATTACAGTGTCACACTGTATTCCCTTCCTTGCATCACAAGTTTCCAGACCCAGACATTTTTGCATTTGATAGAACAGGATGCGGAGCAAAAGATGAAAGAATTCGAGGACCGCATGACCAAGACGAAGGCTTAGAAGAAGTAGAAGACCACTTGTTCATCTACTCAAGATATCCACGACGACGACAGCGGAGAATAGCTGCGTGTTACCATTGAGTGGTGTGCAAATTAGTTCTTGTTCAGTATGCAACCTCAACTTTGCTCCGCGTCCACTGCTGCGTCCAGCTACTAGCAAGAAACTCAAAGCAAGCACTCAGATTCAGCTTCTTCTCCTGGGCAGCACCTAGCAAAAGATGATGATGAACTAACTGGTATAAAAATACATACAAAACCGGCGCACACATCATAAAAAGCATAACCAATGATCCTACCGAGGATTTGTTTGTCAGAAACTTCTTTTTGTTTTCATCGTTTTGACATATCAGGACGGTTCTGAAGGTGAACAGTAGATCTGGAACATGCGAGAAAGGTGCACGGAGAATTGTTTATGTTCTTTTTCTCGTCGATAGTTTATGCTTACAAAAACCAACTACGTCGGATTCGGAATCGGTATCGGATGGAAATGCCTTGTCGGTTTGGTGCTACTTGTCGCTGTTGCAAGAGCTCGTACTATTTCTTGTGCTATCAGCAATGTCGTAGATCATGATGGACAAAAAAAATCCATATATCGGTTGTCGTTTTCCTGCAAGTAGAATTACACTTGACGCCCGTTGAGGACTCCATCGTACAAGAGGAGCCACAACATGAAAACGATTTATTCACAGTCAACATCGGTACTACTACAACTAGTGCTGCAACTTTATAAACTCGGTTCTGCCTGCAGCCATTGGACGACGCCAAGTCGTGGTGCAGTATTATGATACCACTGTGGTCGGTTTTGCCGCGCTTTTCGTCTTATTCAAACTCCTCGGTGATGTAGTGCTTGCTCTAATGGTGCGCCCGTGTACTAGTCGTTCTTGTGTGTTTTGTACTATTTTTCCGAATCCCCATGATGCTGGATTTTTAGAGAACCTTGATTGCGTACTTGCGTCTTGAAAATTGTTGTTGTTGAATATGAATTTCCTACAGGTGTGGCACTGGTGAAATTTCCTTTCGGAACTGACAAGAGTCATTTTATCGCACCTGAATATAAAAATATTTGTAATTGTATCTTAATCTTCTGTATGTCTACTTTTTTCCTGAATGTTCATGTTTAGAAGAATTTTTATGTCAGGCGTTGACCCCATCAGCGTTTGGCTATCATGACCGTTTCTTTTGCCTTAATCTTTACCTCTTTGAAATAATTTTATACCCTGATTACATCAAATTCAACTTTTATGTCCCTGAAATCGTGCTGCGCATTGCGAACAAGATCATCTCCGTCCTGCTATAATCAGACGGGAACCAACTAAGTACAAGCTCCGTAGAAGTTGTACTCAACAAGAAAATTATGGTGATCCCTCTTCCAGCTGTGGCGGTGGCGCCGACGCCCAGCCGCTGTGCGTTGCGGGCACGCTACGTGTTGTTTGTGTTTATCCTCTTCCTGTTTGCCCACGCGGTGCAGCAGTTCGTGATGCTAGACATCCTCGGCGGCTTCGTCACCATGCTGCTGGCCTCCGTCGGACTCTTCACGCTGCGCGATGGCTCCGTGGACATGCAGTGCCTGGTATAGAAGCAAGTTCCTCCACGACGTATTTTTACGACTATAGACGTCTTGATGGATAGATGAAGAAGAAGTAACAATAGCTTCGATGAATGCAAATGGAGATGTTGAACTTGGGCTAAAATGATGCAACTGCACAAGCTGCAATGTAAGTATGTCGTAGTACTCATACGTGACGCAACTATTAGTAAATAGAATACATCCAACAGATGAAACAAGCGTCCACATAGTATAGAGTTCACGCTGAATCCATATCCGGACATAGGTAACCTGGGGCATGGTGACGTTTCTGCAGGGAATTTTTGCGATCGTGATTTTGATCGACCGCATGGTGAAGCCAAAATCGCCGCCGATGTTCACCAACGACGCCAGCAAGATGCCGGACGGTGTGTCCGTGACCAAGTGGAACTTTATTTCCGCATTGTCGCTTCTCGGCATCATCGCGCTTTGGGGGGTGTCCATCACCAGCTTCATTGTCTACAACAAAACAGTGGAGGAGTTCGAGAACATATCAGAGGAAAAAAGTGTTACAGCTACACATTAACATTTGTTGGAGTTTCTGCATCGCAAAGTCGCTCGACATGGCAAAGAAAACCTGTGATGCGCAGACCACTATAAAGAAAAACACGATATGAAATGAGGCTGGCACGACGCACTTCTTGATTTCCTGCATGACAGAGGTCGTCTGTCTTGCTTGTCTTCCATCAGAGTGTCGTGTAACTGCAACACTTACACTTTTTTCTCAGGATAGAACATGGGTGGTGTGCACGCGCCCATCCAGCCGGACAATCAGCTCGGGAGCGAACGAGGCGGCGTGCAGGACTACGGCAGCGGGCAGCTGGGCTCCACACCCTCCGCCCGGGGGCAGCAGCAAAATACCTTCACGCCCTTTTCCGGGGCGGGAAATCGCGTTGGCGGTGACGGGGATGAATAAACAAGCTGCTGAATAAACAAACTATGGCTGGTGCAACGGAAGAACTACATTTTCGAACGAAAAGGATGAACGCTTCTGCGCCGGAACTGGAAAATAACAGATCAGCGTTTACAATTCTACATCATGATGATTCAGTAGGCTTCAACATCCATCGGAGAAGAAGAGGAAGAAGAACAACTTAATCATATGATCGTAACCATAATGTCGTAATACCTCACCCACGACAGCGGACATGGTGATGTCCCAATGATCGTGGTTTTTGTGCAGCGACCGGCTGCAGAGCCAGAGCTCCTAGCTGTTGACACAGGAGAGGCACTTCTACTTACTGGTGTATTAGGGACTCTGGCTGTTACTTCATACGTATGCTGACCCGGTACATGTTCATGTTGTAAAACTCATGACCAGCCGCGGCCGCCCATTTCTATTGTTACGATCTGCTGAATCACTATTTTGCTACTTTAACTTTTGCACTTTTGTCTTTATGGTCTCCACTATTTCTCTAGTACGAATTTTTCGGCGAGTTGTTGTCAATTCGACGAGGGCCTTGACTTTATCACCTCCGCGATGAGGAGCCTCCAGCACTACACAGGTGAGGTGAACTTTTCGCAGTAGAAACGATAACGAGAACGTATATACGCTTTTTGTTCGCTAAGAGTAAGATGATAGTACATAGGTACATAAGTAAAAGGAAATCTATCATCGATGAAGTACATTTTTGTATCAGTACAAACGATTGGACAGGGAAATGAAAACGCGTCCGCATCACATTCAGTAGCCTTCTAAGTGTTTTATTTCTTTTTGAACATCCTGAAGAGTAACGACAACGAGGCGACGAGCTGAAGAGCTGAAGCAGCGTCGTCGCAAGGTCGAGGAGCAGGAGACAAATTAAGGATCAAGCTGACGGCCGCGAGGACGACCGATGTGGATGTGGACGTCGGGAGAAAAGCAAAAAAATTAGAGCAACCAGATCGTTTGGCATGATGAGTCACCAGCTTTCAAACTTTCATCACCACGAAAAAAAAAACACGACGCTGCTAGCGCGAGGTGCCTGCTGAGTGGTCACAGATATGAAGCTGTTGACCTGCTTGTTCTATCAGAAGTTTATTGGTGTTCAACTACGCAGCATGATGATTTGGATTATCGATCTCATGGCGGCCGCCGTCGAAGGTGAGAATGGATGGACCATCTTGATCTTTGCTTGTTCTCTAAACTTCAACCCGACGTCGAGTCTTACTTTCAGCTGAAGTTTTATTTCTGGGCAGCTGCACCGTCGATGATCTGCCGGGCGGTGCTCCTCACCTTCGCGATTTGCATTTGGGCGAAGCAGAAAGATGAAGCACATTTACAAGATCTACTTTCAACATTTTTCCGTTGTGGAGGTGGTAGTCACAATGTGGGTGAAGTAGGTCACTTTATTTGCGATTGCGAATTCATCCAAATTTGATCTTCTGGTGATGAAGCTGAAGAGGAAGAATCTCACTTTTCCAATAATTTCCACGACCTGGACCACGGGAGAACATTTTTTGGTGCAGGACGCAATTCCAATTTTTGCGGTTAGATTCCTTCGATTTGGTCGTGTCGATTTCCCTAATATATTCGTTAGGAAGGCATCAATGGCAACATGTATTAGTTTACTTGGACCTAGTCCCCTACCCCTTCCCCTTCCCACCATACATCTTCGCCGCCCCACGTTCAGTAAAAATCATATGTTCATCATCGTGGCCGGATCACCAGCACGACCTATCGTTCTTGTACTTGTTCGTACAGCATATAGAAAAGAACACTAGCAGCAAGAAAAGGAATACGATAATGATCGACGCACCTGGTGCAGCGGCTCCCGCCCCAGTCGACCGGCACCCGGAGGAGGCTCCCGCACCACCGCTCAAGTACCGTCTGGTGCAGTTGTGGCAGACCTTTGTGGGTTTTTTTGTCGATAGCGACTACAAAAATGCAGCAGCTGCAAGAGACAATTATCATTACAGTAGCGACGGGTACCGCAATGCGGATTTGGGAGCGGAGGAGAATCTTTTTTACTACGACCAAAGCGACAAATGTTGGAAAAAACAGGGCGAAACGGAGGAGCAGCGCCACCATAGGCACGTCGAGGCGCTCCAGCGATCCGGCCTCACGTCCGCGCAAATTGAGGCGAACATGCAGTTTGTGGGGCCGCAAGCCCAGCTCCCGGCCTACAACGCCGCGGTCGCCGCCGCGTACGTCCCACCCCCGCCACCGGACAAGCGGACCGCCGCCGAAAAGGAAGCCTTCGCGAGGAACATTAACGAGGAAAAAAACGCGCATTGGAGCTACACCGACTGGACCACCGGGCTGGAAGTCCAGCTCGGAGGTGGAAGTAAAAATCATGCTGGGACGGGCGGCGGCAGTGGAGCTTTGATACCCAAAACCCTCGCAGAACTTAACGTGGAACGGGGATTGAACCAGCGAGCGCAGGATGTGGCGTACGGACCAAACACTATGGTATTGTCAGGATCGAAATCGTCAAAGTTGAAATAATTTGTGATGCAGAAAACGGAAACCAGTTGGCGGCTAGTTTTCAAGTGGCGCATGACAAATTGGGGTAGAGCCGAAATCCACTCTGTAATGCTGTTTGGGTAAGGAAGACGCGTTTTGTCATGCTACTTTAGCAGTGCTATTTCTATCCCTCGACAGACTTACAATCTGCCTCACTTGCCTACTCTGCAAGACACGCACTTTGTGGGTTGCACTTTATGCATGGCAAACTATTTCAACTTTGACGATTTCAATCCTGGCGCTCCCATAAACACGGTTCCTTTTGTAGTCCCCCCGACCACGGCTGAACCGGCGACAACATCGCTCCCTGTTCATCCTACTTTCGGCGCAACCACAACAACTGGGGCTCCATATGGAGCTCCTTCTGGTGGTGGTCCTCGTGGTGCTGCCCCCGGTGGACTTTCAGTTTCATCATTTGAGGGCGCCTCTAACTACTACACGACCTCCGCTGCAAATGCAATAACGCCAGGCCACACGGAGTCTTGTTCCTCTCCAGCTGCACATGTTGCAAAGGCTCGAGGAGTCACGACCCCAAGACGAGGTAGGGCAGGCGGCACGGGACAAGCTGCTGTTCGTGAAGACGGCGGTGGTGGGCCGCAACAACATGCCGCCAGACCGAAACCAAGTCCTGTGGTAGCAACAACGAATCCATTTGGATAGCGGTAGCGAATGATGAAGATGAACTCGTGCCGCTGGTGGTTCCTGTCCCTGAAGACATCTTCTACGGCAAACGGGGATTCGTTGGATCCTGTGGATCTTCTTTCATATCGCGATCGAAGCGTAGAGTTGTTGTACTAAGTAAACGATCGCGTAGAAATTGCAAACGCAATATAGTAGTTCCCTTTCTACGTCTACTGATCGTGCAGAATCGCAAAGAATAAAGCCGAGAAGTTAAACTGCACGACCTAGACGCCAGCCACGGCCTCCGGGCGAGAACTGGAAGAACATCGTTGGCTGGATCGAAGGATGCACAGCGAGAGGCAACTACAACATCTGCCCCTGCTCATGCCAAGGAATTACGTCTTCGATCTATTCTACGATGAAAGCGACAGAACTGCAACGCCCGGGAGTGAGTTTGGTCGCGAACCTGTACCTGGATGCATTGCCGTGGGTTGTTGCTCGTTTGCGGATTAATGACTCGATAATTAGATTCAAAGACGACAAAAGCCGAACTAGGGAAGATCCTCAGGAGCGCTGCATTACTAGTATCAGATTACCTCTAGCCGCTTGAAAAAAGTATTGCTATTTATCCATGGCGAACATTCATAATCATAGAGCTTGAGCAGGAATGTGAATGTCACGTACAACATCAAAAACATAGTGTCACAAATTGAGGTATAGGTATATGACAGATCCCTGCACTTCTTTTTTTGGTGCTTACCGAACCAACGGCTCGATTTTTTTTCGTCTCGCTGACGGTCCCTAGCAGTCTCCTTAATTTTTCGTCACGACAAAACGTACACCTACGCTCGCTGACCGTGATATACGTTTGAAGATCATTTAGGTTTTTTCTTTTTTTTGAAAACTACAGCATTTCGCGACCAGCATCTTCTTTCTTCATTCGTTGACCGTACTACCACCCAGCTTCACCTAAAGTATAATATTACTTCGCTCCTTTTCGTCCTTCGGAATCACATTGGCGGCAAAAGTAGAACTTATTGAACAAGATCCGCCGGCACTCGGCTCCGAAGTATTCTGCGAAAATGGGTCTCCCCAAGGAGATATACGAGCACGCGGAGGAGCACGGTTGGTCGCGGGAAGAGAGCAAGCAGCAGAACGGCGGACACAAGATCTGGCGGGTATGCAAAGAAATATAAAGTTGCTCCCGCACAAATGCAACACAAATTGGACATGGAACTTGTCATGCTGAGTATGCATATGTTGGGAAACGGAAATTAAGAAGTTTCCTCATGCTGTCTCCGCATCATGTTCATGTCGATTAGATTTGTTCGTCCTCGTCGTGTACGGTGGAGTAGAAGTTTCTTCCTTTGGACAGCGGCGCGGGAAAGGTGAAGTGATCGAGTACTGGACGAACACCCAGACCTATCGCAAGAAAAAAGTGTTGCAGTTACACATGGTGTTGCAGGAGCCGCAAGACAGAAAACCTTTGTCATGCAAGAAATTCTTGCGAACTTCATTTCCTGCGTGTTTTCCCTTAGGATGTCTGCATGGCAAGTTTTCTCTGCCACACAGAGAAAATTTGTGTTGCTGAAGTTACAACAAATGTGATAACTGTGACACAACTTTTTTCTTGTGATAAGATCTGTACCACCAGCCTGAAGCACCCTTCCGGGCGTCGTGGAAACAAGTGGAACACGCAGCTGCAGCGGTACGAAATTTCGCTAGAGACGTTTATGAGAGTTCTTGTACACAGCAACTCCCCCTGGTCGACGTGCCCCTCATTTGTACTTATGTGGCACAAACAGCAATACAACAAGCGTCCGCAAGAATGCGGGTTCGTATGACACAGGAGACAGGGCAGCTGCCAGAACCTGTGCCTGTGAATAAAATGCGAAAAGTGCCAGGAAGCAAAGGCTGGAGGTGGATTTGGAATTTTGCGTGACCGATGAGGGGGAGGGGTAGTTGTGCACTCTCATACCGCTGTGCGAGATTTTCGAAACGCCACGGACGCACACCGGCAAGGGCTACTACTGGAAAAAGGGTAGCGGCGGGAAAAAAGGTGGAGGTGGCGCAGCAGCGAGTTATAAAGGCGAAGGCAAGAAGGGCGGTGGCGGGAAGGGCGGGAGTAAGAAAGCTGTCGGAAAAGGGTCGAAGGGCAACGGAGGCAACAAAGGCGGAGGAAAAAAGATGGCTGGAAAGAAGGGCAAGGGAAAGGCCGGTAAGATGAAGGGCAAAGGAAAAGGCGTGCGGAAGAGATAGTAAGGTGGCACCATCATGATCATGAGTAGTTCGCATAGACATCAGCGACTTTGATGCAGCAGCAGCCATTCTCGTTTTTCCGAATTTGCAGCTGCCTGAATTCGTTTATTGCCTCGGCTAGAACAACTACAAGATCATCTTCCATTTGCGCAAAAGTCGTGCGGTGAGCAGCTACTGTACGAAAGGACAATGGCTCAAAATACAAAAATCCTGGCAGTTACATCGTGTTGAGCTGCACGGGTCTTGATGCTGATTGGGTGTTGATAAGAACACAGAAGCTCAGGTTTGTTGTTATTCATTGCAGTGATGTCGGGGGAAGCTCAATATGCTTAATCCCAAGCCGATATTTTCCCTCGTATGGAGGTCTATGGCGAACTACAAGAAGAAGCTCCAGCACGATGTTCGATCAAATTTGATTCATAATTGAAGTCGCAAACGCAGGTAGCAGGAGGAGGACGGCGTTGATGCGCTATAGTCCCGAAAGACACGACTCATGTTGATGATCCACCCACGCACTACTTCATCGTTTTGTGAAGATCATGCTTTATTGCACGTGTATATTGCTGTTGGTAAATTTCTCTGGATGTCGAGGCTCATTTTTTGGTATGCTTTTGGAGCAAGCGCACAATAGCAGCGTTCCTTGTGCTTTTTGCCGATCAAGGAGTGTAAATGCAATGTTACAAGAAAGTGAGGGATTTTTTTCTTTTTGATAAAAGTAGTTGTAGTTCCTGACTTTTCACGTCTTTTCTCTGAAAAAAATGTAATTTAGATACTGAACAAGAACAAACTTCTCTAAAGGAGCAGTAGCTGACAGATTGGGCTATCGTAGTGCAGCTTGTTTGAACCTGTCAAATTCTCGTACAAAGCTCAAGAGCAGCCTCATCCTCGGAAGTATAGCTTCTAGTGCCCGCGCTTTCATCGTAGAGCCATATGCCGAAACCATGTCGAACACGAGAAGAGTGCACTTGTCCTCGTGTAGTTTCCTTTACGCGCACCTGTTCTGGGTGTGGTCCTGGGTGCTATTCGCGTTCATCGCGCCGCACAAAAACACAGTCACCACAGCCTTCGCCCTTCGCGCCGCCGGAGCCCGTGCCAGCGGGGCGGCTCGCGGTGCCACGCATCAGAAGAAGCACTTTTTCACGTACAAGCAGCACTTGCCGCTGCTCAGTGCTGCAGCCACCGTGCTTACCGTGCAGGATCCGCAGGATAGCGGCGGTAGTAGTACGGGGAAACACGACCAGGAGACCACGCAGAGCCAGAGACAGGTGGGAATTATAGACAGCAAGAGAGACCAGGACCACGAAGCTCCAGGTGCAGGGACGAGGACCACGACCTCCACTTCGCTCCATTATAACAGGAATCCTGGGTCGTGTGCGTATGATGCAACTTCTTCTGCCCGTCGCTTTTTTCACAAAAATCGAACACCCGGCAAAGCGGCCGGCGGTGCCGGACGAGAAGGCGAAGCTATAGTGGATGAGCTGATCTACCGTCTTCCGGCTCAGCCTAGTGCTCAGAACCGTCTGGCGCCCTCGTACCGGCAGCTGATCTTTCCGAGTCCTATGGAAGCGATACGCCCAAGAACCGGAAAAATCACCAACCTCGCGCACTGTTCGACTCTTCTCGCCGCTGCTAACATGGTGCTGCGAGACACCGACATCGCGCAGAGATCTACTGGTGCGTCATCGGGATCATTATCCACAGTAAATTTCCCGTATACGTTGTACAACAAATGCGGTCTGTGCATGACAAAACTTGGCTTCGATTCTAGTTTAGCATGACAAGTTTGACGCTCCAAATTGGCGAAATTTGTGATGCATCTTCTGCATGTGCGGGAATGGAAATTTGTCTTGCATAATCATCGTCGCCCACGTCGTTCTTAGAGACCGTGACTGGCTGGCGCTCCGTGGTCGTGCCATCTTTGATGCCCGGTGGTGGTGCGGGAGGGGCATCAGGTGAACATCAACCACAAGTGCCGCAGCATCACAGTCTGGCCGCAAAGACGGGGGCAACACCAACACCAACATCTTCTAAGTCAGTGGAGGTCGGCGCTGAGGCAACATGTAGCATTCAAGATTGTCTCCAAGATCAACAGGATCAAATGCTCGGGGCGGATGAAGGCCTGCAATTACCGCAACCTGATCATGCTGAACAAAAGTCTACGTCTACCAGCTCAAGATCTTCTCAATCTCAAACGGAAGCGCAAGCGGCAACGCCACGTAGCAGTTTCACTGAATCTGGAGATGTGGAGATGTTGCAACAGGAACAAGATCAAAGCAAAACAGACGGCGCGGAAAGACAAGCTCGTCCCCGGAGCAGGGGCGGGTCCGCAAAAATGGCGGTTTTGCACTTACATCTCAGGAATTCGGATTCAAGTTCTTGCATCAAGAAAAGCGAAGATGCCGTCGATGGAAAGACCGAACCTGCCGATCCGGCCAGAACAAAAGGAGACGGTTTTATAATGTCCTCGACCTCAACGCTTGAAGTTGAAACAGAAATTCCGACTGTACAAGGGTTAGGGTTTGCAGCTCCGGAAGTGCCTGAGAAAGGCGAGCGTCAACGATGTACCTCTCCAGCAAGAAGAAGCCAAACATTTTTGAATCAAGGAAACATCAAAGCGAAGTCAGCTTCTACTGGGGACGACAATGACGAAGGGTGGACTTGTTCTGGATCTGGAGGAGAGACTACACAAACCGCATGCAGTAGTGGGATCATGAGGCCAGCACCTGCAGGCACATCAACATCAAGTCGAAGAGCTGTACAGCAGGGAGCTGCTGCATCAAGCCCGAATAACGTCGTACTGCTCGAAGTCCGCGACCTTGTCGCCGCATTCCAGGCGTGTCACGACCACGATGTGCGCGTGTTGAAAATTCCGTTGGACGATATTACGACTTGTACAAGTGGATTTCTAGCTGGGGACACCAACGGAAGTTTCTCGACTGCGTTTGGAGGTGGAGGAGGTCCAACCTCTACACCGCTTGCAACAACTACAGAGTCTGGATCCGCGCACGCAGGGTCTCCTGCAGCTGAGCTTGACAGTCTCGAGGTGGAAAGCTGCAACCATCACGCTGCGGAGGACTACTTTTTCGAGAGCGCAGCGATTTCTTCTCGAACCGCTCCCACCTCTCCTACTGCGTCGCACTTTCGCCGCGGAGATGAATCGTCCAAGTCCATAAAAGGCTGCGCTTCTTCTAGCAGCAGCTCCAACAAAACTACGAGACCATCGTCCATTGACCACCTGTATTTCCAACTTGATCAGGGCTTTTTTTTGGACGCCAGTCCACCAACAAGGGCGCCGCAGTATAATGACCGCGCGGTCGAACAAGCGAATCTTCCTTCCGGTTCCGACTACGCCAAGGATCACTATAATTTCCCGCCGGGTCCTCGTGAGATGAGGCCGCGCGACACGACGACGACCACCCGTAGAAGTGCGACGCTGAGGACCTCCTCCTGGCCAGATGACCACGTAGTAGAACGAGACGGTGACGAACAGCTATCGCCCTCTAAGACGACCCGGAGTCCTGGTTTCTTTTCTTATTTCTGTCACCGCGTCTGCAAAACAAAAAAAAACGAATCTAGCAATCATGCCATATCTTTCGATAGCACAACTAGTACGCAACATCAGCCTACTTTCGGAGTAGAAGAACAACCCGCAGCACCTTTCCCGCCGATGATCACTGAAGATGCAGAGGAGGGCTCAGCACCAGCAACCTCCATTGCAAGAACTTCTACCTGCTGCAAAAACAGGAACATGAAACATGGCAACGAGAAGAAGAGCATTAACATGCTCATGAGCGGACGCGGAAGCGATAGCATGACCGAGCCGTCAAAACATGACTGTGTGGTTAATTTTCATCACGATGGAGAACTACACGACGACCAGGACGAGCGGGAAAAGAAAACTCTGCAGATTTTCCTCCATCAATGGGTGGATCCTGTGCTAGGCAGGCTTCCTTCCGCGCCCTGCCGCCCGCTGGAGGTACAGTTTTACTACCGTGGAAGGCTCGTGCGGAAGTTGGATGTGTAGTTTCTATAAGTTGTGAAAAAGGATATCAAGTAGAACACGGGCTGGTATTGTGCATGTGCAACCAAATCGATTATAAATATGTTGGATACAACCGAAAGGCCGGAAAAAAATGAGTATTTATGGGTAGCAGGAGGCTTTGTTTGAGTATGAGTTGTGTATTTGTGAGTGACGTCCCATCTTCCTCCACCAAATACAAAAATGTACGTATTACTAATCTGCAATTTTTGGTTGAACAATCCAGAAACGCCTCTCGTCTATGATTATGCTGCAGTTTTGAGATGTAGTACTCGACGGAATCCTCGTATGTAAGTCGAACTAGAAGTAGCATTAGGGAAAACAGAGTAAGTATCAAGAATTTCAGATGTACTTGCAGACCCAACGCAGCTGGATGCTTATCTCAGAAAGGTTCATGTAGTTGAAGCGGTGCTGGTTTTTTTTTGAAGTTTTGAGAATATTAGACGTAAAGTTTGTTGATGTTCTTCGCAGAAATGCCACAGCATCCTCCTCTAGGGTTTCTGAACTGAAATAGTCACAAACTGTGAAACTTAGAGCAATCAGCTTTTTACGTATTAACGCTAGAACGTACGTGTTGTCCTACAACTAAGTTCCACCTTGAAAAAATACAAAAAACTCTGGCTTAGTTCTTTGAATTTCCATGTCGCTGTTTTGATGGGTAGAAAATCGCAATCAGTTCTTGGATTACTCAAATAGAGCAAGCGCTCCCCTAAGACATCAAAGGCTGGCGAGCTGCAACGTGACGCATTGCAAATGCCAATGCATATGCAAATACCTCCCTGGTACTGGTTGCATGGTCCGACTTGGGTTTGATGTCATTGAACAGGAAAAACAAAAAATAGAGATGTTTATGCCAACTTCCTTCGATCTTCTACATGTCGTCGTCGTGGTTATTCGCTTATTAATTTGCGTCCACTCCTGTCCCAAAAAGTCGTGCTGCTCGAAGGAAAGGATAAACTCGAGCGAACTTTTTCGAAGAGTCAAATACATCTTCGCGGAAAAAAAGAAAAAACAATGAAGGCACATGCAAAGGAAAAGCAAAACGCAGGCCATTCCTATTGCAGGTCGTTATTTTCGGGGCCGCGTAGTTTAAGAGTGTCTGTGTACAACCACCACATGATGACTAGGACGATGCAGCTTAATATGTGCTTTATTTTTCCCAAGTCGCGGAGAGACCGACGAGAGAGGTAGAGAGTGTCAACATTAGGTACACGGCAAACTACCAAAACCGCTCAAATTTCAATCATTCGAACCAACAGCATCGCAAAGGAAAGCAAGAGCAGTTTTTGCTCGAGTGCCTAGCAGTAACTACGGGCGGACGAGAGGCGAATACTAAGGAGAAAAACGGCAAAAAATTTCAGCATCTATAGTTCTATAAGTAGTTCTTCAGACTAGTAGTTAACGAGTTCTTGCCTTCTACCACGCGCTCCGCATCGATGCTTAATAAGCTTTTTCTGTTTCATGAACAAAGGCTATTCATGCCAGCACCTAATTGCTGTCTTTCTTGCGGCTGTGGTTGCGGCATTACTGCAGCATCTCAAGATCGAGATCGTCGTGCGTCGTGTGCTGGGTGCGAGGACTGATCGTTCTCCAGTTATGCTTATGAACGCCATTACATCTTCGGCATATCTTTTTCGGCACGAACTCTGTCTCCTCGAGGCTGACGGTTTGGAAACGGACGGCAAATCCTTAGGGATGGTGGACAAGTTCATCTTCCAGGTTTAGTTCGTTATCACCGGACGAGGTGGAGGCTGGGGCTGCCACGAGGAGCCGCTAAAAATATCCGCCTTCATCTACGACTACGAGGACTTCTGCGCGCACCACGACAGAATGAAATACGTATCCTGTGTCCTATCGTAGTTGTCCGAGGACGTCCCATCAGCACTGTAGCAGGGGGTCGCGGTGTCGTCTTAACAAGCTCCTGCAGTCCACCTCCGCCTCGTGCTTCATCGCCGTCGCTGTAACAACAAGGAAACAAACGAAGAAAAATTATGGCAGACGTCACCGCCGCCCCGTTGGTGACGCTGGTCGCGCCGACGGTGGACGGCAGCTCCGTTTGCGGCGGCACCTGCATCGCGCCAGGATGGCTGCACATCCAGCAAATCATGAACTTGATTTTCACCGCGTGGCTCGTGGCGACGAGCTTCGCACTGCTCTCCACATTGAGGACCTGGGTTACAGGTACTTATCCTCATGTTCATTTTTGACTGTTCAGCTCGTCATTGAGAAAAATCGGATTGGATCGTTGCAACGTCTTAATTATAACGTAATCGTTGTTCAAGAAACAAATAAATTATCATGATCAAGATCAACCCAACACTGTGAATCTGAATGATCCGAAGCGACTTTATTCCGTTTCCTGCTTCATACCTTATCACAACCCCAGGCGAGCGCAACCTGTTCGGCATCGTGCCTGTGACGGAAGAAACGGTCGACCGGGTGGTCGGCGTGCAGTACTGGTTCGCTACGCACGGAAAGTGGTTCCTGCTGGTGTTCTCCTCTTGTTTCGTGCAGCTATTTTTTTTCATCGACCGCTTCGAGTCCAAGCAGGTGGCGCCGTTGCACAGCACGCTGGAGCTGATTTTCGGCGCGTTGGTGACCATCGAGTTCATTGCGGGGCTTCTCCACGCCATGTTCTCGCCCGTGGCGGTGGCCATGATTGCGTGCTTCACCAGGTTTCCGATCGATCTCACCATCATCGTCTCCAGCTTCATGCTGGGCAGAATAGACTACGACACCACAGACCAGATCGACGCGCTCACCGTCCCGGAAAACGACAGTGTCACCAGCGTGCAGCCGAAGACATGGTTTGACATTTCTAATTCGATATTGCAAAGCAATTGGTTATTTTGTTTTTGATACCGCAGTAAAGAAACGCATGACAATACGGAGTCCTGGCGCATCGTAAGGGAGGCTAAGAACGTGTTTGAGACTCACTGCCGCTTCTAGCGCTGACCTCGTCCGTAAGATGAAGAAATCGATGATCCTGTATTCCAGGTATGTGCCGACGCAGTTCATCGTTTTCCGCTTGATGTACGTGTGGCGGCGGTGGTTCACGAGTTTACCAGTGTCCAACACGGTGTTTTTCCATGTGCTTCGCGGCATGAACACGCCCCTGGTCATATCCTGAGTAAAAACATCCCCACCCCAGAGTTGTAATGCAAATCCGCATGCTGAAAATGTTTCTCATGCGGAGACCCATGAGAAGCATTTTCTAGTGGTGTTTTGAGATTTGTGATGCTAGAATCCGCATGATGTGCTAGATTGATCTGTGATGCTGCTGAACTACCTAAACAGCATTGCACTACAAGGACAAACTTGTCATGCGAAGCAACCAAAGCTGGTTGATTTGTCTAGCAGATTTCCCATCTTGACTCTGGTATGGGGACGTTTTTACACAGGATAGGTCACCTTCCCGTTTCTGTTCGTGTCCGCCGTGTCGATTGCCATTTTTGAGGAGGTCGGGTTCGATACCCGGTGGTACCTGAAAGGCCCCCCGCTCGCGGAAGACCGGTACGCCGTTCTCAACCGCAAGTCGTTCGCCGACCCATACGGCATGGGCATGCCATTTTTCCTCTACGGCCGTTTGTGGGCGCCAGTGGCGGGCGGCAACAAGGTGCCGGAGGTAGACTACAAAAACGCCTACAACGCACTCTGGACGCCGCTTTCCACTGCCTACTTCTACTTCATACGCAATACAAATTTTCCCTTCTACACGGCGGCGCACAGAATCGTGCATGACTACACCAACTTGGCGTGGGGACTTGTTATGCTGAAGACTGGGATCTATCGAATCATCGCAAGTTTTGTGTTTGTAATGCAGAAATCGCACCTCCTCTTGTCTTCTATTTGGACGTCGTGCACCACGGGGAATTTCCTGTGAATACTTCATGTCCCTCCTCACAATCGGCCCAGGAGATCTCACACCCGCGACCCTGCTTGGCCGAGTGATGACAGTTATTTCTCTGGCCTTTGGGCTAGTTTCCATTCTCACACTTCTCAAGGAATGCCGGAGGCTGTACAGGGTACTAAGTCTAAAAACTTGAACTTCTTTTTATTGCACAAAGATACAACTTTATGAGCTTCGATGGGCCCACGAATAGCTTTTGATGTGTCCCGCCGTGATAGTAATTCGACTTGCTTTCTTCATGTTTTAGTTTTTCATGTTTCCTACTCCGGCGGGCGAGATGGAGATTATGTCGATGCAGCTCCAGGAGAGGAGACAGGAAGAGGACTACAAAAACAAATCGAAATACGCTGTCGTAAGAACAACCAAAAACACTTACAACACAGACGATGTTGGAGGGCAAGCAGGCCTACATCCAGAAGCGCGGGGTGAAACACGTGGTGGTCACGGGCACGCCGTGTTTCCAGCAGATCCAGGACTTTGTCACCGAAATCTATCACGAAGAGAAGATGGTGATTCCGCCCCCGGTGTCGGCCGAGTTCGAGCCGCCCCCGACCGGGCTGAACACGGAGACCGTCGTGTTACTCGAGGACCCGGAGACCTGCGACCGGGTGCGGACCTGGCTCAACAAGCGCGAAAACGTCAAGTATCGGTCCCGCGTGTTTGTGTACAACGGGTCGGTTTGGGATGGCCTCATCCCCGCGCGGGCCTACGACGCACTAATGATCTTCGTCTTGCCCAATCTGTACGCGGAAGACATCGAGAAGGACGATCAGTCGAACGTGATGCGAGTGCTGCAGATGAAAAATTCGCTCCTGCTGGACATCAGGATCGTGGTGCTGCTATGCATTGCGATGAAACAAGTGTCCTCGTATGAGTAGGCATGACAAATTTTTCGAAGAAGAAAAACGCAATTTGTCGTGCTGGGTAAGGTTGAATGTTTAGATTTGTCATGCGAGGAGTACAACGATAGAGATACTACAAGTTTTGCATTGCATAGCTGCTCCATGTCTCGGAAAAAAAGGAGCTGCTGCGGTCCGCCGGCGTTGCCGACCAGTACATGGTGAGTCTGGACGAT